TTAGGGGAAAGAACGGTGATCCAATCTCCGACCCCCAGAAACAGGTTTGCAGATTTGCTGAGCATTTCTGTGAGGTCCTGGGGGAGGAGAAATCCCTCAGCCTGGAAAACGTGGGACAAAGTGGGGATAACCCTGCTGAGGCTGAGGTGCCTCAAATATTGAAAGAAGAAGTCACCCCCTATGAGTGGCTACTGAGGTGCCATCTGTTGAGGAAGTACTGAAGGCGATCCAGAGCCTTAGACCAGAAAAGGCACCGGGCAGAGATGATCTCCCAAGCGAAATGCTGAGGGTGGCGTTTGTGCACAGACTGCCCGACATTACATCATAATAACAATCTGGGCCACTGGACGGGTTTCGCAGGATTATAAGGATGCCCTGGTGGTTCCCCTCTTAAAGAAGGGGGACCGCACAGACTGTAACAACTACAGGAGCATCTCACTCCTCAGTGTGCCGGGAAAGGTCCTGGCAATGATTGTTCAACATCGCCTTGCTAGGCACGCTGAGGAGAGGCTTGCGGAGCCCCAATGTGGTTTCAGGAAAGGGCGGTCCTGCACAGATGCCCTATTTTCTGTCCGTCTGCTACAGCAGAGGTGCAGGAAATTACAACAAGACCTACATCTCTGCTTTATTGACCTGGTCAAGGCCTATGATACCATCAGTAGGCCTTGGCTCTGGGTTGTTCTTCGTGCTTTCGGAGTCCCTGACCCTCTGCTCACGATCATTAAGGACCTTCATGATGGTGAGCAGGCCCGGGTAAAACTACGTGGCCAGGCGTCGGAGTCATTCCCTGTACACCTTGGGGTGCGACAGGGATGTCCTCTGGCTCCCACATTATTTAACATCTATTTCGACCACGTAGTTCGTGAAGCCTTCAATAGCTGTACCGGAGGAATTTCCATCTGGTACAGATACAATGAGAGGCTGATCGATGCCCCGGTGCGGTCAAGGGATGGCTCCCTATTGCTCAAACATGTTATATATGCTGATGATCTGGTAATTGAGTTGGAGGCGCTGCTGCTGAACCTGGAGCTTGCCACTAAGAGGTGGGGACTTACCATCAGCCCCACCAAAACTAAGCACCTGCCTGAGTAATTTGTACCATCGGACACTCAACCCCCACAATTCCCAATTAGTGACAGGGCAGTTGTGGAGAGAGTGGAGAGTATCCCATACCTAGGCAGTATGCTCATGACTGGCTCCGGTTTAACAGCAGAGGTCTCACTCCAAATCAGTCGAGCGACATTATCTTTTCATCGGTTGCATAACGCTGTGTGGAAGCTACCTAGTCTGTCGCTCCACACGAAGCTTCAGGTCTTCTCGGCCACAGTTATTCCCTCCCTTCTCTACGTTTGCGAAACGTGGACCACCATAAGGGAACATCTTCGCCGGTTAGAAACATTTAGGCTGGCCTGCCTACGATCCATCCTGGGTTTAACCAGGTTGGATTGTGTGAGGAGCTCACAAATCCTTGAAAGATCTGGACAAAGTCGCATCGGTGAACTCCTCCGGCAGGCAAGGCTGCGTTGGCTGGGTAATGAAGCCGGCATGTCCAGCTACCGCATGCCTAAACAGCTTTTGTTCGGCCGGATCGAGGGGGCTAAACGGGCGCAGCACAGGTTAGAGAAGAAATTGAGTGATGTGGTACAGGAGGATGTGGAGCTAAGTGGACTTGCCGATGACTGGTCCCAGCGGTGTCAAGATCGGCCTGTGGAGGAGGCTCGTGAAGGATGCTACTGGGCGGTTGGAGGCAGTCGCCCTCCAACAACAATGGAGGGCGGAGGAGCGACGTTCACAACAACGAGCAGAGCGCCGGGTGGTTAAAGCACAGCAAGTTGGCACAGTAGGGGGCAGAGGTGGTGCCTCAGCCAGTCATGTCATTCAGTCGACCCGTGGTACCTGGGTCTTCCCCGTAACCTCCTGCCAGCAGGTGTTCGACACTTCACGTAGCCTCAAGGTGCACATAGCCTGGCACAAGCATCGTGGTGACGTCACCGCCACGTCGTGGCGAATGGCGGTTGTTTTTATTGTTGGCGTAGTGTACCGGTTCGCGTACTGCGGCTAAGAACCCAGCGACCCGAGTTTGATTCCCACTCACGGCCAACACCAGTGACGATTATTTGAACCGGTCCTGGGTCTCCCATAGGTCGAATCGGCCTCAAATGAGTACCTGGTGCGGTGTGTAAACATCACCACTGAGGAGACAAAGGCGGCCGGGTGTGGTGCTGGCCACCCACTCCCTCGTATGCCATGCTGGCCTTCATAGGTGCTCACAAACAGCACTTGCCCCAACAGTCTGTTAAGGCTATACGGGGGATATTTTTCTTTGATCAAGCCATTCGGGGGCAGGGGGGGGCGAGGTGGGAGGGGCTCGCAATCCCGAGCTCTAAAATCGATATTGACACACACATGACGACACACCGCACGCTCTTCCCGCTGTCAAGGCAAAAGGTGACGAGGTCATCACAGTTGATGTAGCCAATGTTAGCACAACACATGGGAAACTAGGGGAAGAAATCAGTAACAGTGAGCAGCTTCTATCAAAGCGAACAGCACTGGTGTGGAATAGAGCGTGGCCGATGCGTAGATTATTACATCGCAGAATCGCGAGAGATGGTGGCCACTAGGGAAGGCCTTCATCCAGCAGTGGATTGACCAAGGCTGACCATACTATGAGTCAACACTAACATACGCTGTGGAAACGTTAACTTTAGGATGGAGGAAGGACAATAAAGGACAAGCCGTTGAAAGGAGAAGTTGATGAAATAGGGTGAGGAAGAGGACACAGAGGCATAGTAGAAGGTGAATCTCTGCAAAACAACTATGGTCACATCAAGAAGAGGGAAAAACACTAAAATCTATTATTATTTTACGAGGTAAGGTCCACTGAGCTAAATAGCTCTTTTCCAGAAGTGACCTGCCTGGCCACAAATGATAGCTCAACGAAGTGGCTTATCATGTGTGAATGTAAAGCAGCCAAATACTCTAAAGGCACGTTTCTAAATGTGGAGGGGAAAAGTGGAGGATCCAGAGAACGATCCATGCAACCACAGATGGGGAGAACTCCAAATATACAGCAGCAGCAGACGTCAGCGTCGAGATCACACCCACGACCTCCTGTATACTAGGCAAGGTAGTTAACATCTCGTCACCACTGCACCCACATTGCCAAGGAAAGCTAACTTGAGAGATGGGAATAGAATAAAGAACCAGATAAAACCGTAACTGCTTTATGGTTGTGTCTATCATATCTATCATACCTGCCGGGTACTGGTCTTTGTTTCCGAGTTAATTCCCCCCCATCCACAGCTCTCTCGGCCTCCCACTTCCAGCCCCCCCCCCCAGCCTCACGTCCCCTCTCCTGGCGCTCACGCAGCACCCCCCTACCCCCACCTCTCTCTCCCCCCTTGCCCATCCACCCTTCTTAACTATATAACATCTTGCCACGGCCGCTCTCTCTCCCACTTCAGCAAAAAAAAGATCTTGCTGTGGTTTTCCCACCTGATGACGATTGCTTTTGTAGCAATCAAAACGTCGTGATTTGTTTTATTTTAATTTATTTCTAACTACGTGACTTTACCGAAAGAACCAAAGAGTATAGAATAAAGACGACCAACAGGGCCAAGGAAGGAGCGGGACAGATGGCGTTATGGAGGCCTTAAAAAACGAGAAGACAGGAGAGTGTTGGAGCAAGAGATGAGAGGTATAAAGGGAGGCAGGGAGAGATGTCATCTCGCAAGTGACCCACGAAATTCCTGGACATGGAGACCAATGATGGGTAATGATGACGATGATGACTGACGGCGATGATTATGAGAATGATAAGTACAAGCTCATGAGGCTCTAGCACTTGGCGGTGATTATTATAAGACACGTCTGGTCTAGGAGCACCACCAAAGCTGAGAATTGGCAGAAAAGGTATATTCTGGTAATGTGTAAAATGCCTGGTAAGTATGATGATGAGAAAAGTTAATAAACATTTATTAAATTCCATAAAATATTTCATTCGTGCCACAAAAGACAGAGTAACAGAAAAATCCTAAAATCACATTTTGAACACGTACTGTATAGTAATCATACACTCAACCAAATATCACCAGACAGGACCTTAGACTCCCTTGGTTATTGTTTTACTTCATGTACATACCAGTTCTACCAAGGTAGCTCCATCCCACTCAAAGAAGTGCATCCAGTACAGGTGTAGTGACATAGAATCGGTCACTTAGCAACATAGCGCTGGCTGCTGGCAGGGAAGGGGATCTGCAGCTCACAGCAGCCCTGACTGACAGCAGGCCACGTGATCGACCCGAGAGCGATCGAGGGGGAAAAGTCACTGAAGGGGCACATTGAGAACCTGCTAGAAGGTTCCAGAAGGGGGGTGGAGCCAGCAGGCCACGCTGGCAGTAGAAGAGGGGCCCCGGGAGGGGACCTCGGGGCTGTCATGTGGAGTGGGGGGGGGGGTCCCCGTCGTTGCTGCTGAAGATCGTCACCATCATCGCTGTCGTCTCGCCACCTTCGACGCTGTCGTCGTCACTTGCTACATTGCGCTGCTGGACGGTAGTTGGCTGTCTTAGTTCAGCGCCGTCAGTGTCAGACGGCGAGTGTTGTGTGTAGGCTAGCAACCAGTGTAGAGTTTCGTATAAGCGAATGGCAGCGGAGTGTGTAACAGTGTAGGGTGTGTATTGTACAAAGTGTGCTCGGTATTTAATTAAAGAACTGCCTCCAATAACTAAAGCCTTATTATCTCTCTAATAAAGCCAAATCCCTCCTTTACAGACAATTTGTAGGACGAATGCCTCCCCTGTGGTTGCTGAGCATGGCTACAGGAGAGGTGTGAACAGCGCAGTGTTGTGCATCTGGCATTATGACATTCAAACAAATGAATCTCCTGGACGAGATGGAGCCACTTTGGCAGACAGAGGATTAGTGTTCACCGATTAGTAAATTGGAAAATGCGGCAAATTTAGTTTTGTTAGAGAATTTAGTTTTGTTAACAGTCTTACCTACGGTGCCATCTTTTATGCAGTCATGGATTCCTGCTAGACATTGAATGAGAGAACGGGCTAACTTAAAATGAATGTTAACACTCCAAATAAAAAAAAAGCATAAAAGGCAACAAAAATGAAACACAAGTAGCACAGGCAGAACCCACTGACTCTGTATCAACCATGTAAACATACAACACTGTCCATATCACAATGCACAACAGCTTTGGAGAGTTCAATTTGGAGCATTCCATTGTATATGGGGGGGGGGGGCTTCTATTTGTCAATAACCTTTCCTTAAATATGCGACATTTCAGGCAATGGTCCTTCTTAATAGCAGACAGGCCAGCAAGGTAGAGTGATATCGAGTTGACACAGAGTCTATGCCCTGCACAGCAATACAAATCAAATGATTGAGAAAACAAAACAAACCATGAAAATGTAATGGAATTGCTTGTGGCCATGTTCATACCTGTGTGATTTGAAAACTGCACAGAGTTGATTGTGTCCACTTCAAACCCCAACACCTGGGTAAAACAAAGAAAACTGGTTAAGATTCCGACTCATGTCCATAATAACATTAAATTCCTCAGAAAGCAAGCCCGTTTAAGGTGCATGCTGCATTGGGAGGTGGGCCAGAGCAAACATTGACACCACCTAATGTGGAAAGCTTTAATAGCACCAATGTATTGATATGGCCTATGAGTGAATAATTTGATAACCCACTGATTCCCAATGGTTATCACACAATACGCTGTGATTGACCACAAATAAATTGTAACCGCTAAGTGAAACATCTCAACACACGCATCAACAACAACCTCATGCAGCAATGGATATAATAGGACACATTAAAGGCAATGGCCATTTTGCATCTACTGCCTAAAACGTCACCATTTATATATTTATTTTCAAGGTAGCGTTAACGTGTGTTGAGTTTTGTGTTAATCGTATTTTCACTCCACTGCCAAGTGAAATATCTGGTCTGGGCCCAAGGATCAATGAGTAGGAGAACACTAGAAAAACACCCACACTAAAGAGATTATAACACTCAAAATCAAAACAAATGGATATCAGAATCATAACATTTATTTCTACTGGAGGAATCCGATGTGCTAGAAAGCTCTTTCACAGATATCCAGTAGGATGGGTCATGTAATGCCCTCCCCTCCTATACTCCCATCTCCTCACAGCCCCAAGCCAACAACAACTGCCAATGCCTGGAAGTCTGCCATCCAAATGCTAACTAATCTCATCCCTGCTGAGTTCCAGCGATCCACCAAGATTGAGCTGATCAGCGTGACTTGTCTCAATGCCCAGCCGGTGGTAAAAACAAAACACCTGCAGCCAAAAATTCTGAAGAATTTGGCAATTACATATTCTACAGATTCTACTTTCCTACAATCTCCTTGAAACTTTTCTGTTCCAAATGAAAAAAGGTGTATTTGGGCAACCAGTAACCGCGTCCTATAAATGTGTACGAGCGAGAGTTAGCCTCACAGGAATTCAAGGTTACCGAGAAGCCCTTCTGTTTGTGTGCTACCCAACCAGACAGTGACATTGTGCATTGATGGCTCTGCCAGGGGAACATCTGTCCATACCAGATCCATCTGCTTCCAAACATTAATGAGACAGGACGATCTATCCCCAGAAGCAGGGTTTAATATAGAATCAAACTCATTATCAAGCATGATCGATCAACTCCTGAATTACGGCCATTCCAAGCCGACGCTATCTCTCAGGGTACCGCGATGCAACAATCCACCCTGCACACGTGCCGATCTCATCGCTCCGTCTTCTTGCTGGACGCACTCTTCGACGCACTCCCTTCTGTGCCACTCTGTCACCATACTTGACCTCCGATTAGCACGTATGGTGCGAAAGAAGTTCAACATACATATATATTCCTTCCAGAGTGTGAATGAACCTGCTCATGTTCTGTACTCCGCGTGCTCCTCTGCTGTCTCTTGACGTCATTTACAAGTCTGCGTCGCTCCGGACTTCGAAGCAAACTTTTCAGTTGTTTTCATTTTTTGTTGATGACCATGTTTCTAAACTATATGGCCGAGCAAGTAATATACACTACTCTGAAATGGCTCTGATATTAGCCAGTTCACTGATTTTAGGTAGGTCAAAAATTACTGTCAAAAGCCAGATGTTTATTTTAGCATTGATGGGAATGCGGAGGCACATGCTGTTAGTGAGCACCTGTTCAGGTCGGTAGGCCAAAACCAAGCTTATTGTTTTTCATCTACCCAATGCTGATGATAAGACCACACTATTTAACCAGTGTCGATGCCTCAGGTAAGGAAAGGTTAGGTTCAGAAATTTATATTCCACTGGTATAGTTCACGGATCAGAATCGAACCCAGGTTCATTGGTCCTGTAGCACATTGGGCTCACAACCACGTCATCGCCACTTTCCCTCAAAACGCACACGGACGCACACGCGTGCGGGCGATTGAAAAAAATCACGAGCACAGATCATAATGGCTACTCTACAAAAATGCTAAAGAGGTCCATGAATCAGATGATAGTCAACACGGCACCATTAAGAGATGGTAAATGCACACAGCGTTCACTGCGGGATCCAAACGCGGCGATCGCTTTGCAAGCGAGGCATCTGGCACTCCGTGTGCGCAAGTGGTTTAGACCCCCCCCCACCACCGCCCCATCATGACTGCACCCCTGATCCCAACCTTCTCATCTCGCCTATGCACATGGCTAGGCAATAGGACCATTTTGCCAGTCAATTATTTTAAAGGCCACCTGGGGAATTGAAACCCAAGGCTAACCCAACTCACAGCATCTGCTCCAATCGCAACAGCAGCATCACATCAGATGGGTTATTTTATTTTTTACACAGTGTGTATTGAGCTCATTATAATCATAATCATCAGCCATGATTAGTCCACTGGTGGATGGAGGCTTCCCCAAGCCATCGCAACCCCTCACAGTCCTGGGATGTAACATTCCACCTAGCAACACGAGCTGATTTCATCACTCCATCTCTGCAGTCAGGTGACGACGTCCCTCTGTTGGCTGCCACTCTTGAATTATTCTGAATCCCTGACAATCAACTCTTGACTGGTGGTGAAGAATAATGAGGGTGGTCACTAATCTTATAAAAACAGACAAATTAGATTGTTTGATGCAGTAGAATGCAAACAGCTTCATGCATGTGCTTCAAAAAGTGAATTAATTTGTTTACTATTGCTTGTACCTACATACTTAAGTATTTACTTTGAATTATTTACATTTACTTGTTAATTATCTGCATCAGGCCATTAACTACACTCATTAATGTACAACCATTTGTGTGCAACTTTTCCAGTTACCCATCAAATCTTTCTTTAAATCTCAAAACCTTTGCGGACTGTAATGTCGCGTAAGATTGTCACTGTTTAGAGTTGAGTAAATTATTATTGATTTCCCTTTTAGGATGGCGATCAATTAGGGATTTTATTCACCAATTTTTTTTTTGCAGGGTGTAATTGTGTTTATGAAATATTAAAAAAAGGGCAGCTCAATATAATTTACTTTTCCAAAAGTTCAACGAGAACCTCGAATGAGCAGATATTTATGCAGTCACGTAGCGGACAACAAAATATAACATTTCGATGAAAAGATTTCGGAGATAATGGCCATGCAAAAATGACATGAGGTTGTAGGCAATTACGCTGTTATAAACCACGTGTAATATATATAATAAATATGCTTGTTTAGCATACAGAAACGTATATTTGACAACATGAAACATGACAGGCAGGTTATACGATGAATATTTAATCTGTTTCTTAATACCAAATTGTATAATACGGTGAAAGTTTTGGACATTTGTAGTTCATCTTACAAACACCACTATATGTACAAGATACTGGATTAAACCGTTCAACGGGATGCACATATGGCTGCTCGGCATTAAGCCTAAAGACACATTGAATGGGTTAGTTTATTAAATTAAATGATTTTTTTAAATACTGTCAATTTCAACAGTTTCCACAAAGAATATAATACTTTAGGAAATGTAAGAGGCAATGCATCTTCTGCCACATGTCACATTGTAATAGACAAGGGCATGTAACCTCCGAAGTGTCACTGTGATTAATACATCATTATAAAGCTGTTTGCTCTAAGAGAACATCAATACATATATCACGTAAATGGCATCTTCTACGTAGAAAGTTGCCATATCGCAAACTTCAGCCATTTACAATGTTCAAAACAGCATCACTGTCATTTTTTATAGAGCATTGCCATACAACAAAAATATAAAACATAAATAGTGTCAGAACTGTGCGTCACGGCAATGAGACACCATTGCCCACTTCGTAAATAACCTGGGTTTTGTGATCTCATTGTAGGCAGGGCTCATTGCACAACGCCAGGATTCGTGGTCTTGAACTCCGAACCCGAATATAATACCGGGGCAACCGCTCCACTGACTACAAAATGACAGTCCGGATTTTTTTCAGCACCTAACACACAACCGCAACACAACACACTGCACATCAAAGACGATGTACCTATGTGCACAGGGTAGGATTAAGGTGGTAGTTAATGGAGGTGGGGAGGAAGATAAGACACTGTATGGATGGAGAGAACCTCATGAGAGGCATATGAATGAATGTGAAGAGTGATCATGATTTACAGCTGGATTGTCAATCCAGTGGAGGAAGACCACACGATGCCATATGGTCATGAGGGGATGTTTGGCCATACATCCCCAGACTGGCCAGCTGCAGGTTGGTGACGGGGAGGGTTTAAAACCAGTTCAAATGTCACTCACCACTGATGCTGGCCATGGCCGGGAATCAAACGGAGGTTGCACGGTTCATTGGGTAGCGAGTAAACGACTGCGCCACCACTCTCCACCGAGATTAATTCGTATTTTTACGTGAAAATAATTTAAGTGTTTCACCGCTCCTCATCTCCATCAGCAGCCATGAGCCAACGGTGTCATGAGACTACGCCGTCGGCAACAGCGGGGACAGGACAGCAAAATCCATTGTTGTACTATACATCCAAGGTCCCACATCTATGCTAGCTGCCTTCACCATCCACACTGAACAGCATGGGAAGGCTGTGCTAAGCCAAAACCCTGGGACAATGGTGGAAATTCCTCCCTCATTTCCTATGGTATGAGTGGGCCTTCATCACATCCCAATGACAAGTGTGAATGATCAAAATTACCCCCAGGAGCCACATGGCATGGTGAGGCCATCATCCAGTAGTGGATTGACAAAAGGGACCGTAGATGTATCATACAAGGTTTTGTGTAGCTTATTAAATGGATGGGTGCTTGTGTTTTAACATGCAAAAAACAAATATCTTCCACTTAGCCCGATAAAGACAAGCAAGTGCTGTGATTACGCGCCTATTAATGCCAGAACGTCACACGCGAGTTAACTATTACTAAACTACGAGTGGGTGAAGCAGTGGTATGGCCATGAATGCAAATCCCATGAGTAGGGGAACCTATCTAGGGCCTGTGGGCCGCATTGCATAACACCCACAGCCACTTGGAAAAGGCCTGTCAATTATACTGATAGGAACCTCCTGGTTACATCAGCCCGCAGGGGATTATTGTGTCCGTCGTGCAGGAAGGGGCTGGGTGGGGTGGGAGGGGCTGGGTGGGGAGGGGCTGGGTGGGGAGGGTGGGACAGGGTGGGGAGGGTGGGGCTGGGTGGGGGGTGGGAGGGGTGGGGCTGGGTGGGGAGGGGCTGGTCACCCCGTGGTGCCCTTATAAAACTCAACGTTTAACCTACTCACGCATATTTGCGGAATACACCACGCCGCCGTTGACCCTGGCCATTGACCGAGCAACCCAACGTTTCTACCAGCTCCCTCCGCAGGAATGTATTATACTTATACTACCCGTCACTGCAAGCATATTGCCACACTAATCGGGCAGTAAAGGGGTAGATTTTCGAAACTGTTAACACTGCGTATATCATTTTTGTGGGTTCAGTCACTTTTATGACTTAACTATGGGTTTTAATGCGGACAGTTAGAAAAAGTGAAATTCCTGTTCAGCCCTGAATGATGAAAAAGTCCTCCTACACCTGGCCTAGCCACGAATATCCTCGTGCGTATGTTCATGAGCACACTGAACCATTCCTCATGAGGATTGTGGCAGATTGATATACCTATTGGGTCAATGGAATCACAGTGCGCTAAATGCAACACTACAGTAGAACAGACACCGTACAAAGACAAATAGTGTTTTACCTACGTGACTTCACCGAAAAAACCTAAGAATACCGAAAAAAACCTAAGAATACAAATAGCAAATTCAGGCATATTCCAGATGAGCAAGCGGTGTTCACGAGCACCCATCAAGGATGGAGTGGCACACCAGAAAGTCTCTTGGACGCAGCCCCCTGTCCAGCCAAATTTGTCTCCGCAATGTCGGTATTAACGCCTCCAGCAGGTACCGATTTCAGGCCAAGTCAACCTAAAGCAAGTCCAGTACAGGAGGTTCTAACCTCTCGCGCCACTGATGATATCTATGGGCAGACATTTAATCCAAGTCAATGTAAGCATTGCTGTGTACCATAACCCAACAACAATCACCGCCGTTCACCACGAAGTGGCGGTGACGTCAACACGGTGCTTGTGCCAGACTAGGTGCACCTTGGACTCGAGGTAGATCGAGCCACAACTCGACACGTACACACGCCAGGCACCCAAGCTCCAGCATTATGTAACTGAGGGTACAGGCGTCATCACAACGGCAGTGTGGATGACTCGCTCGCACACAGCGGCAAGCACCGGTGATGGGTAGAACATAGAACTCAACAAGTCGCGTATGACACATCTCCCCGACAACCTTGCAGAACGAGTCCAGTACACCACGATGTGTGCGTCAACACACGCGATCGTGTAAGGGTGGGTCGATCTCAGGGTGGCCAAGGACAGGGTTCAGGTGCCGCTGATTGTCTGTGACAGAATCGACCCCGCGTGACCCGAGATCATAACGCACGGTGAGAGCCACCGTGCCACACACGTCAATGCGCGTACTCACTCGCATACACACACACACACACACGAGCATAGGTACACACAGACACGCGAGCATAGATACACACACACACACGAGCATAGGTACACACACACACACGAGCATAGGTACACACACACACACGAGCATAGGTACACACAGACACACGAGCATAGGTACACACAGACACACGAGCATAGATACACACAGACACACGAGCATAGGTACACACAGACACACGAGCATAGGTACACACAGACACACGAGCATAGATACACACAGACACACGAGCATAGGTACACACAGACACACGAGCATAGGTACACACAGACACACGAGCATAGATACACACAGACACACGAGCATAGGTACACACAGACACACGAGCATAGGTACACACACACACACACGAGCATAGATACACACAGACACACGAGCATAGGTACACACAGACACACGAGCATAGGTACACACACACACACACGAGCATAGATACACACAGACACACGAGCATAGGTACACACGCACACAGACACACGTGCGCCAAACCAACTGCATCCACATGGACCACACGGAGACAGTGGAGGAGTGACTGACAGATACACGCTCCAAGCTCCCACTGGCAACATTGCCACAACAAACATCACCATCACCAACCTCTTTTACCACCACACCCACGCCTAGCCCCAATACCACCAACCACGACGATTATTACATTATCACACCAGCAGTCATTCACTCCCCACCACCATCACTAAGCAACATAACCACCATAAAAATTCACCACGGCCACAATCACGACGGTTCTCCTCACAATTGGCACCATCACGAACCACCTCCAACCAGTCACCACCCAACATCACCACGACCACCACCAATAAAACCACAACTCCCCCCACCACCACCACCACCGGCTCCTCTCCCCAGCCCCGTCGTCACCTGCAGCGGGAAGGCTGCCGACTTGTTGCCCACGTATCCGCGCACCACGTGGCTCTGGATGGAGAGCACGCGGCACTCGGGCTCGCACTCCATCTGCGCGGCGTCGCGGCTCTCTGCTGCTGCTGCTCCTTTTCCTCCTCCTCGGCGACCCGGTTGGAGTCCGGCTCCCAGACCCGGCGGCGTGGCTTCGGTTCCGGCTCCCGGCTCCGGCGTGGCTCTCGCTCCGACTGCGGCTCCCGACTCTAGCAGCGTGGCTCTGGTGGTTCCCGGACCTGGCGTGGATGTGGCCCCAGCTGTGGCTCCCGCCGGTGTGGCCCTGGCTGAGCCACAGAGCCGCGCTGAGCTCACCACGTGTGTACGCAGCGCGCGCGCGAGCATCGCTCCTACAGCGGCCCCGCCGCCAATCACCGTCAAGCGGCGCCAGGGGGCGTGCTCAGCGCTGACCAATCAGAGCGCGCTGGAGCGCAATGTAGGCGTGACCGAACTCGCGAGATGACATCATTGAGACGTTGGTTCAAGAGGGCTGCCCAATCGGAAGGGGACTCTAACGTGACATCACTTTAGCGTCTCTGTCTATGACGTCATTTGATTATATACGTTACATTTTTAACTAGGTGACGTCATTAAAATTGAGGGCGTGGTATCCATTGGCCAATCAGCAGTGCCCTTAGGGGTCGTCTTGATTCTATTTATAGCCTGCATAGAATACAATAGACACAGCCCAGCCCCCCCATATACAGTGTTGTAGGTGTATAATAACATTTAAATGAAGGTTAAAAAAATAATGCAATGCTGTATTTTCAAATGCATTTCATTACCAGCTACACAATAACCTATTGATATTGTAATGGAGAATTTAATTGCAAAATATGGTTCATGCTAAAGCAATGCACCAGCATGCACGCTCAAGCCCTCACAATTCATTATCAACAATGGCTTATTTAAAATGGCAGTCTTGCCAGATTCTCTTGGTTTCAAAGTGAAGGACTTCCACCCAATCCCCCAGGCAAGCCACACAAATGATAATATCCTGTGCTGTAGGTTTGGGAAATCTGCTGGACTAGTGGCAATGACTGTGATGTTCACCCCACATTGTTGTAAAAAATATTCCCAAAATCATGAGCAAACACAAGATCCAGGTTCGATTTAACATAGTACTGTACGTAAAATTCGTGATCTGATCCCATCTATGAAGGATCTGATCCCTGACATGCAATACCCCGGCGTCTACAAACTAAGCTGAGTCTGCGGCAGTAGTTACATTTGGGGAAACTAAGCGACATGTCTCGGACCGTGTTCGTGAACATGAGGCAGATCTGAAACACGGTAGGACCAATACATCGGTCGTGGCTGATCATTGTTGCGGTTGACTCACACAAAATGGATTTCTCTAAGACGAAGGTACTTTGCAAACCCACTGGCTATCAACAAAGATTCGTTCATGAAGCCATCCATATATGCAGACATAGACACAATTTCAACTGAGAAGATGAGTACAAACTGAGCAATCACTGGAAGGACGTTATCAACCAGTTTAAGTCATAACTGGCTGTAATATTATGCTGAAGTGGGAGAGAGATGCCGTGGTAAGAGGTTATATAGGTAAGAGAGGGCGGAGGGGCAAGGGAGGGGGGTAGGGGGAGGGGAGCGTTGCGTGGACGCTTGGAGAGGAAAAAAAATATTGCTGTGGTTTTCCCACCTGATGATGATTGCTTGTGTTGCAATCGAAACGTCGTGGCTACTGCAAATGAGCTGGCCTCTTCTTTCTCAGTGTCCACGTTCATAATCTATCTCGTAACAGCTCATATGCACAGATTGAAAGCTGTGTTATGTGGGCACATTTGGGTGTTCTTTTTCATGAAGCTCCATTCTCCGAAGGTACTCCAATCTGCTCTGGCACGTTCCTTTATTTCATTATTAGATCCTGGTCTGCCTTCAACAACTGTCCTGATCCGCCGTGACGGCGGTGAAGTATGATCACGTGACCCCCCCACAACTGACGCGTCCAGATATTTTTTTGTAGTTTATAACTTGTATGAATTTTGAAGAAAAAACATTTCTTTTTTATAATTTTTACAAAAATCAAACTACATTTCCAGCAGAATTCAGGGAGTGTTTTGGATTGTGATCATATGGCGTAAACACGAGTTTTTTGTATTTTTTAAATCGTATGAAAAACTAAAATAAGTGGCAATCATAAAGGTCAGCAGCGACTGGTGTTGATGTCTATGGCACGTACACACTGTTAGCACATGCACATGCGTTGACTTCATTGCATGTGAAGTTATAAAAATGCACTAATACATATTTTAAAAGATTCCACACTTACTAAAAATGTTTTAAATTTCAAATTGTTCTGACTAATGTATAATGTATACATTTAAGGGCCCTATCACCATAAGCATTCGGTATCAAGTCTACAAATGTACTTATTGTTAATGCGCTATAAACATTAAAATATTAACATTTTTTACGCACCATCGCTAAGGTTATATGTGCATGAGCATGTAATGGAGTGAAATTTTAATATGCACACACTCTGAACAGGATTATCACAGAGCAGTTTTCTTCCAGACCACAGTAGCGCATACACAGAGCCTTATTCACACAACTGCACGTCTAAAAATACAGCCGGCTTTAAGGCACAGGGAGGGATTCTTTTTTCCTTAGTGCATCAAGCAATGAAGCATATAATTCCTCATGTAACTTTGGAGTGGGAAGATTATTGGATAAGATTGAAGTGGCTCACAAATAAGAAATCCTCAATTTATATTTACTGTATCTTGAAATGAATGTTAAAAGCTAAAAACAAAATCTTTCTTATCTGTTAATATTTTCACCACCAACAAAAAAACAGCCTCACACGTCTGGACGATGATCTTTAGACAACACATCTTATTAAAATATTGCCCTAATATGGAACTAACTCTTGCACAGTACTGTAAGTCAAAAGGTACTTAAAGATGTAAACATTTTTTAATCAAATAAGACAACTTAAGGGATTAATTCAATTTGATATGCTACATACCAGGGCTTTAAGAGATAAAATTCGTGTTTTAAATAAGAGAATAATTATTCATCCAAAAACAGTGATCACCGTTCATTGAAAAATTGGTAACCTTTTGCAGCGTTTTCCATAAACTATTTTTGTTTGTACATACATAAGTAAACGTATATAATTTCAATTTGGTATTCTACATACCAGGGCTTTAAAAGATATCGTTCATGTATATAAGAAAATAAGTATGCATCCAATGACAGTGATCACCGTTCATTGAAAAATTGCTAACCTTTTGCAGCATTTTCCATCAACTATTTTTGTTTAAACATACAAACATAAGTAAAGGAAGACGAGATTACAGCAGCCTTTAACCTGGAATGCCAAGTTGATTTAAGCTCAAGGAACCACAGTAGAATTTACTTGAATCACGAAGCTGAGAGGTTAGTGCCCGGTTTGACCTTCAATACGACCTCTATCTCGTACATTGACGTTCGCAGTTTCTCCTTTCCATTAAATGGTCTGTCAATAGAATAAAGGAATAACTTTTTTTATTTTCTGTAGTCGAATGAGATAAGCACCTCTAGGATTAGCAGTACTGGAGAAGCACCATTGGATGAGATCTGATCGAGGCGTATTGGCAGATCGCTATAGAGTTTGGAGCTGACTCGTTGGGTGAATTGAAGCTGCCCTCGTCACTCAAGCAATGGATGCACAACCACCACGTTGGTTAGCATTTCTTTACGCCAAACAGTATTTGCTGCACAGTACCATGTTAAAAAAATTAAGTGTTATACCTAATGCATGCCGAGCAAAATAATAATATTCATACAAGCTTAAGAATGGTATAATCTGCATTGTGTACATTCTTTGAAGCAGGGATTTAGAGTACTGCACAGTATTATTGCATTGTGCCCATGGACTGCATACAGGCAGAAAGGAACATGACTCTATAAATGTAAATAAATTACTGGATAAGTAAAACATTTATTTATCTTTTTAATAAAAGGGTTATATGGCTTATTGTACTGTTTACCCATTCTCGTGGAGAGCCTCTCATCCAGCAGTGTCTTGACAAAGGGCTGTTCGTGTACGTACCCATTGTCATTCATTACGATACTTTGATATGAAGCGTACATGTAGCATGATCATTCAAGATCAATGCTGAGTGAACTGACATTAACCCATCATTATACCAGGTAACCAATTAAAAAGGTGTTAAAATCAAAACCATTACACAACAACATTGCATGGAATTAATTATTATATTTTAGGAACAGCCCATGTGAACAGTTTGGCTAAACCAGATCAACGTACAATGATCCATTCTTATTGCTTTGATTAAAACATTTGTTTTTATTATTATTAACAATGGTTCATTGTAGATTCATTCAAGAATAGTAATGGAGTGGTAACCAAGGAATGGTACCCGTTCCAAGAGCCCGTCTACCGAGGAGATGGAGCAATAACATGAGGTTGTTTGCAGGTGTTGGGCTTTCACACACAGTCAAGATCCAGTTATATATCAAGAAAAAGGACAATAATACAAAAAAAGAGAACACGAGACCGTACGACCACACGAAACAACATACACCGCCGTCTCTACACTTGCTGTGACAGCGGCATGAGGCCACGCTTTGGTAGGAAGTGTTTGCATTGGCGGTGCCAGCAAACGGACATCTGCTCTACGATCATAAACTTCTCATGAAGTCGAACTTGCCACAAGATTCAGCACCTGCACCCAGGCCGCTATGGCCAACATTCTTATGGGAAAGCCGAACACACCCCAGCAATTCTGACAACCATGCAGTTCCGTACTCTCACCCTAACGCTTCTCTTCGCAGAGGGCAAGAATCTATCCATGGAGCCTTTGCACGATGCATTTTCAAATCTTATTTTTAATTCCAAGAAAAATGAATTACACAAATTCCATTACACATAAACCATATGGACACAGTATCAAATTCTGAATACAGCTAACGGATATCATGTCATGAAAAACATACCTGACTCGACAGGGCTAAATAATTATCGAGCATTGGTTGAATTTGCCCAAATCTATTTAAAATTTCGTTAAATATTTTTAAATATTTCATTGATGAAAAATAAATTTACATGAGGGGAAAAAATGGACGTTACCCTCTGTACAATTCATGGCTCACAAATATCAGCCAATAAATAAACTATTAATTGGAAACAACATTGCAAATGTTATATTTTCTATGGTTGATATAATTACAGCAGATATCCGATAATTTGAAGTCCCATAATCCACAACTCACTTGATGCAGCTAATCTGGCTGTGACGGTCCCACCTGATGACAGAGACTTGTGTTGCCTCCGAAACGTCGTGATCTTTATTTTATTTTATTTTTATTAATTTTGATGTTTAACCTACGTGACTTTACCGAAAAAACCTAAGAATATGAATCCACAACTCCCTGTAATTCTCAAAAATGAGGCAGGATTCCGATAAAAATGCTGCCCAAAACCAATTCCATCACTGGTAATTCAGCTGGAGTGTTCTGAAGCAACATCGCAGAACTTAACCGTTGTGAAGGCTAACCGGCGTTACAAAGGCTGATTTGGAGCTGGTGAACTCCACATCTAGTTTGACTTTCCAGTACAATACCCCGACAAGAGATCAAAGTGTGCTGAAGAAAGAGGCCCCGAAGAGAGTCGCTCATCCCTCTGTGGAAGGGACATAGCAGGAGCTGCATGCAGTGGCTCTTTAAGAACTGCTTCGTGACGTTATTTATTAAGGACCACCACCGTCTCATATTCATATACATTGCGGCTGTTGAAATTTTGAGTGTTTTGACAGAATTCGATCAAAATGTCCCTTCTTGTTATTTTTGTTGCCGACCCTTGGGATATGGCATCTGCCAACATGATACATTTTATCCGTATTCACGTTATTTTACGCATTATTGTGCATGGCAGCCACGTTTCAAGATAAAAAAATATATACAAATGAGGTAACTGTAGGTTAGTTACGCCACCGCCTGACCGGTATTTCACTATGGCAGTGACCAAAGAAGATTAGCAACAGTGTGAGGCGGGTGACCTCTGCTGGAATCTTCATAGAGGTGGACACCGCCAAGAGGACCTGTTAAAGATGCCACAGAGGCTTTTAAGCAAATTCTTCCAAATAAAAACGATGCAGGTGAACATGATGAGCGTAAAGGCAAATTGTCTGTGAAACTTTGTTCTGAACTTCTATGAAAAATACTCAATACGTCTGTTACCTCAATAGGATTTCAGGAATTAAAACATGTCTGCTTAGTACCCCAAATAGGCTAGTACCTCCACCGTGTGAACCACGACCAAAAGCAGTGGCACATTTTTGTGTTTGCGAGAGATTACGTGTGCAAGTGTGTGCAATTGCGTTGACTTATGGACATAATGGATTTTATAATTATCATAATCAGCCATGATCAATCCAATGCAAGATGAAGACCTCGCCATTCCATCGCCAAATCTCACAATGCACATGTATCGATCCGTTATACATAACTCATCGGTGATGTGAACGACCAACACTGCAACTTATTATCCACGGGGTTATCCGCATTGTTACTCCATTGCCGATAATGGGATGAATTTGCAGATTGGCTCCTCTTATCTCCAAAAATTAACGGATTATTGGAAGTCGTTTATCAATGCGAGAAAAAAATTATTGGTTCTTTCGGTAAAGTCACGAAGATAGAAAATACAAATAAAATTAAAAATAATATAAAAAATAAAAGCAAAATACCCACGACGTTTTGATCGCAACACAAGCGGTCTACATCAGGCCGCCACCCACCGCAATGTGTGCACTTACTACTATAGGGTTGGTAGATACTCATATTATAGCGCTTAGATAGTATTATTGTAGCGCGGGCGGGGGGATGGTGGGGGGGGGGATAGCAGCCCAGCCCCAGCCTGCCAAGGTGCCACCTCGGCCGGCTGGGCAATCTAAGCGAGGCCGGGGGCTCTGCAAGGGGACTAGGCCTCACCACGCCACTCTGTCAGGTGAGTACTTTGTGCTATAGAGTCGGTAGAAACTGCTATAGAGTCAGCATGTACTACTGTAGCAATAGCAGGTACCACCACGGTCGGTATGCACTTCTGTAATCATAGCAGGAATCACCACAGTCAGTATGCACTGCTGTTATCATAGCAGATACCACCACCGTCAGTATGCACTGCTGCTGTGAAAGCATGTGTTGCTGTTACATGTGTGTTGCTGTTACATGTAGTGTGTTGTTGTTACATGTGTTGTTGTTACGTGTGTGTTACATGTAGTGTTGTTGTTACATGTCATGTGTTGTTGGTATCTGTGTTGCTGTTACATGTGTGTTGCTGTTACATGTAGTGTGTTGTTGTTACATGTGTGTTGTTGTTACATGTGTGTTACATGTAGTGTTGTTGTTACATGTAGTGTGTTACATGTAGTGTGTTGTTGTTACATGTGTGTTGTTGTTACATGTGTGTTACATGTAGTGTTGTTGTTACATGTAGTGTGTTACATGTAGTGTTGTTGTTACATGTAGTGTGTTACATGTAGTGTGTTACATGTAGTGTGTTATATGTAGTGTTGTTGTTACATGTAGTGTGTTACATGTAGTGTTGTTGTTACATGTAGTGTGTTACATGTAGTGTGTTACATGTAGTGTGTTACATGTAGTGTGTTACATGTAGTGTGTTACATGTAGTGTTGTTGTTACATGTAGTGTGTTACATGTAGTGTTGTTGTTACATGTGTTGTTGTTACATGTGTGTTACATGTAGTGTTGTTGTTACATGTAGTGTGTTACATGTAGTGTTGTTGTTACATGTAGTGTGTTACCTGTGTGTTACGTGTAGTGTTGTTGTTACATGTAGTGTGTTACATGTAGTGTTGTTGTTATATGTAGTGTGTTACATGTAGTGTGTTGTTGTTACATGTGTTGTTGTTACATGTGTGTTACATGTAGTGTTGTTGTTACATGTTACATGTGTGTTACATGTCATGTGTTGTTGGTATCTGTGTTGCTGTGACGTTGTGGGTGTTGCCGTTTCGCGAGGGAAGCCCGCACTGACGTCATCACCGCGCGTGCCGCGACTCGAGGCCCCGCCCCCTCAAGAGTCCAGAGCCAGAAGCCTTCCTCCGCCTCTGGTGGAGTCGAACAAACACAACACCGCTCGCTCGCTCTGTGTCTCTCTCTGTCTCTCTGTGTCTCTCTCTATGTCTCTCGTGGGCTCTTGGCGCCTTGATGGTTGACGTGTAAGTTGCTTGGTTGTCACGCATTCTGCCGAGTGCTTGCGGCGTGTGAAGGAACCCGGGTTACTGATTGCAGAGAGCGCCTCGCGTTGTTGACGCTAAGTTGGCGCGCGTTGCAAAGTTTCGCTCTCTTCGTGAGTGACGGGCACGGTGATGGTGATCGGTGAGCCAGTGTCGATCGCCTCTCTGTAACGAGGTGAGAGGGATGCATCGATGAGTCATCGATCGCCTTCATGCACGAGGTGAGGCGCTGCAGTGATGGAGACGTTCGCGAGCTTCGTTGAACCGTGCGAGCGCCACAGACCTCGTCTGTCTGCCGCCTCACGTTGTCGTGATGATCGTGAAGACGCGTGGTTACATTCGGCCACTTTGCCGTGTTTATGTCCTTTGGCATACGATCAGTAAGAACTTGGATTTATAAAGCGCCCTTTTGAATTTATAAACCGCTGTGCATAGAAAGACGGAAATATGTTTAACATCAACCAAGGAAAGAAGACGTGAGGAAGACTTTGAAAATAACTAAAAGAGAAAAAGGCATTTTAAACAGATAACGTTCGTGGCGATGTTAGTATTTGCAGTGTCTCTGAAGGCCTCGTGACTTCGAAGGCGACGAGCTCCAGAGTTGAGGTGCAAAGGCAGCGACGATCACGCGTCAAGCCTCGGCCGTGGGACCGCGGTCAGTGCACAATCTGAGGGTCTTCGTGACCCCGATGGGGATATGGATACGGCTGAAGGAGGCATTCATGTAGGGAGGAGCAAGTCCATTCAAGGCCTTGAACACCAGCAAGGGGAAGTCTGCGAGCACAGACAGGGAGTCGTGAAGGGACAGGAACACCGGTGTGTGTGTGTGAGCCTCCAAGAGGTACCAGATAAGAGGTCCTCACGGTTCTGTTGACATGGGACTGAAAGGATAAAGTTTGGACACCAAGATTGTTGACCTCACGTGTTTGATGCACGTTCCAACCATCAATAACCAAGTTAAGAGGGATTTATTTGGATACCTGATGTGATGTACGAATTAAAATAGGCTGTGTTTTATCATCCATTTAAAGGAAGTTTTGAGACATCCAGGTAGGTATATCCGATTGTCATCTGCGTAACAGTAATAGCTGAGCCCTTGGTGTCGTAATAAAGTTACAATGGGGCCAAATAAACAGAGAACAGAATGTGGCTTAATACTGATCCCTGAGGGACACCGTGAGGAACTAAGTTGTGGATTTATAGGTGCCCATTTTGACAAATTGCATGCGGTTTGAGAGATAGGAGTTGAACAATTTCAACGTGGTGCCTGAGATCCACATGAAGACTGCCAATCGGTTGAGTAAGATATTGAGATCAATTATGTCGAAGGCTGCGCTTAGGTCAAGAAGGAGGAGAGCACTTGGAGAACCTTTATCAGCAGCAATTAGGAGATCATTAATTCTTCTTACTAAGGCTGTTTCAGTGCTATAGTGGTTGTATAGGCGACCTCTACCTTGTATGCCAGATTTCCTTAGGCGGCTGCGGAACTGCTTAGTGAGCAGCAGAAGGGCAGTGCAGAAAAATCTATTGTTGTACCGTACTATGCTTTCATGTCTATGCTCCCCGCCTTCACCAAGATGCACTGACCGGCGTGGTGACGTATGGGAAGATAACTGCCACCTCCCACAGCGTGGGGAGACCCCCTTCCAGTCGTAGGAAATACTCTACGAAAGGGCTCTACATGTGCAATTAAGTCCTCTACCCATATAAGAGTTTATCCAGATGCGTTGCATCTTCGTTGCTGTTTTAATAAAAATAAATGTAAAGCAGCTTTGTACAGGTTTGCATCAGCACATTAAAACCTCTTCATTCGAGGATTTTTCTTTCGTGAAATTCGATTATTCGAAATTTTTTAATTTGAATACCTTTTCAAGTTTCACGCCGCTTTTCCCCTCGACTATTCGCAACGTGGCATGTCAGGAGTGCGTGTAACGCACACTCGACGCGCACAGCGCAAATGTGCGCACATTATTGCCATGTGCATATAGCCGTCCACTCGTTGAGGACGTGTCATATAGGGACGCTGAGATCAGTGCTCTGAACTAATCTTCAGAGGGGGGCTGCTTTCACCGATAATACATCAGTGTGAGGGCCACCACACCGCCTGCAAGGGGTGTTTTCACATTTATGTATTGTCGGGGGCCGCACGTCAGAGGCCGCACTAAAGGCCACCAGTGGCCCGCGGGCCTTGCAATGAAGAACACTGGCTTAGGTGACGCATGCGGTCATGTAAAACATTCCCGACACGCACAATGCAAATGTGCATCCTCTATATTTGTCACATTTAGAAGCTTAGATTTAAACGTAGGCTTTCGTGACCAATATCATTCATAAAGTTTTTTGGTTTCGGTCCTATAAATATAAAAGTGTCGCCAGAATTGTCAGATTTGTCAATTCTGGCAAATCGCCTGATGAAGCTGGTTGTATTCACTAGCAAAACGTCGTACCCAATTTTTTTATTTGTGGATTTTCTCTGTATTACACCGGCGGTGTGCCGAAGTTTTAACCAATTGGCACATTTTGTTTACATGACAAACCTTACTAATTGGCTTTGTTGGGTGCTGGTGGGTTTATGACACATTTATATTTATGCGATCTATCCCAAAACATTTATTATGAATTTAGAAGCGTGTTCTCGATATGTATAAAAAGTTATTATAATGACGACTGCCTGTCCTTGTTTCTTGTAAGCGTGGAGGTGCTCACGTAAAGAGTCACGTGTCAGCATGGCCGTTCGCGATCTCCAACAGTGCTGCCAGCGTTTGGATGGAGAGAAAGTGACAGAACGCAAGGCATGCCACCGCAGCCCACCTGTTTCACCTGACCCGGGAGTCGGCAATCTGCGGCTCCGGAGCCGCATGCGGCTCTTTAAAGACTGTCTCATGACGTTCTCTATTAAGGACCACTGTCCCTTATTCACATGCGTTGCAGCTCTTGAAATGTTGAGTTTTTTTAAATCAAATTTGAAAAATGCCTCCTGTTGTTTTGGTTGCCGACCCCTGCCGTAACCTGATGCTCTCGCATGGCCATTAATTTTCTTCACCCAGATTAGACGGAGCCGAAAGCCATATAACACAATTTGTGTTTTGGCGTGCGTTGGTTATGATAAAAAAAATTGGTCAAAATGTACCAATTCGTTACCAACAATGTGTAAAATTGTAAAGTTGATATATTTTCGCTGTATTGTGTAGATTTCATTAGTAAAAGGTAAACGTGCAGCCGTGCAATTGTTTGCTCTTTCTTCTGCTGGCGGCAGGGCCTCCACTAGAGTAAACTCTATAGATCCCTTCTAGAGGATATTTACCCGACTTTTCCATGTGGGTGAGGTATCTTGGATGAGGTGGGAGTACCCACATTTTACCCCACTTATATGGTTGGTGGAAAGTACTTACTAATAAGTACTAATAGGTCAAGGGTTTCTGGCCATATGACTTGAAATGGGCCTAATTTTATCAGATCTTGGAAGCTAAGGAGAGTTGAGCCTGGATAATGCAGCAGAGGCCAGTGCAGGAATATCCATTGTTGTGCTGTATGTAGTTGTATGCTCCACATCTTTGCTCCTCCACTTCAACCTGCTCTGACCATCCTTTTGAAATATGGTTAAATAACGCTCATGACGCGCATGGCATAGGGAGGCCCTCATTCAGCAGGTTATTGACAGGACTGTACACAGAGGCAGAGCGATTCAACCAATAGATTTAGTTGCACATTTCGGTCAAACACTGCAAGCACTCGAAGTTCCACTTGGTCCTGCCAGTTGATGCCACCTGATGGGCCACGTGGCCCTGTGTTGTCTGATCGGAGCAGAAGGAGGCGGAGCGCTTCGGCAGGTTGATGGTGCTCCCTGACGTGATCGCGGAGCTGGACCGGTGCTCAGACTTGCGGCCTCCTCGTGGCCTCACCTGGGATGCTGTCTTCAAGTGAGCACTGCTTTGTCTGTGCTTCCCGTTAAATGGAATGATTTAGCCACCACCTGGTTTAAATGCGTCAACAACGTATTGCAATTATGGTGTTCCGTGTACGTCACCATCCAGCAATTAAGGCGAATACATCATTGTGACCCTTAATGTTAATGCCAGTATCACACTTGCTTTTTATAGAATTCTCAGCTGTAGTACAGTTAACACCCAACCTCCTGCGTCTGCTCTTATAGTTTCAACAAAGTAATCTGGCTCACAAGGACGATGAAAATGACAATAATTGTGTTATAACAATGGTTTCTTGATGATATGGACATTGTTTATCATGAAACCATAAATCCCTGAAGCAGAGGAGGGGAACAGACAGGCTGGATATTACTAATGAATGGCATGTGTGTTAGTGTGTGATCCATCGAAAGCTTTTGAAAATTCTATCTGGCCCTTAGAAAAAGATTCCACACCCCTGTGTTAAAGCCTACGACCCTGTTAATACGCTTCACAATCGTACAAAACACAAATACGCGGATATCTTAAGACAGATAACGGGGGCCGCTTGCGTGCGTCAGATTTGTGCAGCGTTACATGCAGCGGGAGACTGATGCTCTACAGACAGCGGCCTCCACTGCCTCCACCTCCACCACTGCACGCAGCAACCGGCAGGCGCGGAGCCGCGAAGTCGCCACGCTCTGCAAGCGCTTTGTGCGCATCGCCAACCGACGTGCGTGCACACGCCTGGAGCCAATCCGCTTACTTGTCCGTCGTATACACTCCTGCTGTCAGTGCACTGCTGGATGAGGGCCTCTCCATGCAGTACGGTTTGTGGGGGTTATTTTATCATACTTCACGCTCGTTGGTGAATGTATGTTATGTAAGTTGAACGTCTTTCACACCGTACGTAGCCACCTGTGCTAATTGGAGGTGCAGATTGGTAAAGGCAAGGAGTTTAGATGTGGGAGCATAGACTCATAGTACAACAATGTATTTGTTCCTTCTGCCTTCTGCTAACGACCATATAGTATTGTCCTGCAGTTGCCTGGGGCAAACTGGTGTCCACGGTAGTCACCCATCCAATAATCATCCAGGCTCAAATTTGCTTAGCTTGAAAACTCTGACATATTTGGGTGTATTCTGGGTTATTGGTGATGAGTGATGATTTTTTTTAAACTGAACTTCTGGTCATCTTAATTGTGCTATTGCCCAAGTCATCTCTAAAGGTAAATTAACATCCATCTTAATATTATTGTGTTGCCTAGGTGGCAGATAATGTGTAAATAATAATCAAATTCAAATTGTACTTTGCTGCTCATGTGTGCAATATGTAAGTGTTCATCCCTGTTAAGGACCAACATAAAGGTCCTGGGTGTTTATTTACATCACAAATCTAGCTGCAGATCTGGGAATGTGTCCTGAAGAGCCACTTTTGATCAAACGAGTGGGGAACCTGGAGAAAAGTAGGAACACAAGCCAAGGCGTTAGAGGGAGTCGGAACACAGTCGACAACAGCTTATTTTATCTCCTCCTGCTGCCCTGACAAATGGTAAACCTGTAAGTAATGTAGTATGTCTGGGTAGTAGATTAACACTAATATAATTTAAGAATGATGTTGAATGTTGTCATTTGTTTAGGTGAGTATCGTTTTGGTTGAAGCATTTAATTCAAATAAAAAAAATTCAAGGTCACATCCCTCTGCCAGGTGGCACGCGACTCAAGTGCTCAGAGCTGGTGCGCCACGTCCTTGAAACCCTGAGCAACAAGTGCGCTCGGATGCAGTTTGGCTCCGAGTACATCATGCTGCTCATACGCGACGTTCTCTCCGTGCGACGCTACTGGTGTGAAATCACTGCGTCCACCTGGGCAGGTACGACACAATCGGAAGTGGCAGTGAGGAAGGGGCTGCTTTCACATTGCAGATGCGCAGCACCTTCCCCATGACAAGATCACCCGAAACGCGCCCAATCTTGTCATCTTTGGAAGCTAAGCAAGTCCAGCCTCTATACCGCTTTGATCGGCGACCAACATGGCATAGGGACTCCAGGGTGACGAGATGTTAACTACCTTGCCTGGTATACGGGCGGTCGTGGGTTCCATCCCGACCCTGACGCCTGTATATTTGGAGTTTTCATGTTCTCCCCGTGGTCGCTTGGATTTTTCTCTGGATCCTCCGGTTTTTGCCTCCACATTTCGAAACATGTTTAGAGTATTTGGCTGCTATAAATTTCCGCTTAATAAGTCACTTGGTTGAGCTATAATTTGTTACCAAGTCGCTTCTGAATATGAGCTATATAGCTCAGTGGGCCTACCTGGTAAAATAAAAAACATAGTTTGGTGGAGTAATTTGTGCACAGCAGAGGGCATAGCGGCAAAATCGATTGTTGTAGTCTACTTCAGCTTGATGAAGTACTGTCAAACAACCCCAGCATCCAGTAGATTGACAAAAGGGCAGTGAGTGGACAGAAAGTCTGTTTTTTGACTGTAGTGTTGCACATGTACTTGTCTCTGCGGACTTGTCACCAGACCTGCAGAAGCTGTGCTGCCGATTGCTGGAGAGCAAAGAGGAACTGGACCGTGCTGTCTTGGCCCTCGCTGTGCGGTTGCTGCTCTCTGCCTGCAGCTTCCAATGCGACACACCCTACCAAGACCTCCCATGCTTCTCTTTGCGCGCCCTGCATGCCCTGCGGTCAGCATTAAACGCACACACACGCAAATATCACCACGTGGATTAACACTACTGTTTAACAGGAAAGTACATGCGAGGTTAAAATTGCAGGCATTTGACCATCAGACGAGAACACGGGTAGAAAACGATGGCCTAATCCGTGGCACATCTCCTCATATAGCCTGCAGCCAAATGAGACCTACCACTGTGAAATGACCCACAAACTTTGTACACTTTAATGCAGCCACTTTAGCCACACTAATTGTGATTCTTCTTCTTCTTTCATATGGCATGGAAGCAACAGTTTCTATATATGTCATAGTTGAATGTTAAGGTCTTTAACCATTCCAAGGCGGCAGTAGTTGCTGTATGGATTGCAGCGATACCGCCAGGGTATGCACGGATGGCGCACTCGTCGATATGTTATCAAATTAAAACTCCAGCATGTATCTGCATCATCTTCCACTCGCACGTTTGTTCAAGGTGGTAATTCTCAAGGCTTGTAGAGCCATAGACGACACCCTTAAGATTGCGATTAAAATCCAACTTTCTCCCTGCACAAAGAAGCAATCTCAGCTGGTGGCTCTGAGCGAAATTCAACACTCCCATGGTGAAGGCCAGGATGATTATGGCTCATTGGTAATGCTGACACTATTCATCTTTCTTCCTCTAACCCCCCCCCCCCCGCATATCCTTTACAAATGTAATAGGCTCAGCTAGGCGCACACAACTTCTTGGGAGGCAACACTATTTATTAACACCAACACGTTCCACTTAACATAGGGTGGTAACCACCGACCTGCTCTAACTAACACACACCATCGCTCGCTAACACAGACTCTCAGTTACAATAGCGTGGCCCAGCCAGGTGGGCTACTGGTGGGTCCGCTGACTGGAGGCTTGACTCTTCTAAGGAGGCGTCTTCACGATGCATCTTCTTTCTTGACACGAGCAGCCCCGAACCCGGTGGGAAGGCTGCTTATATGGGCCTCGGCGTGTCCGGGCCCCACCCCGATCACGCCTTCCTTTGAGAACCCTCTCGAAGCTCCTCGGCTGTCCACGTGGCCCCCCAAGGTGCCCCCCAGGCCCCCGGCCCCCACCTTGATCCGGTCACGTGTCCAGCCGGGTTCACTTAGAGTGCCACGGCCTTACACAACCCCCGTGGCCTCACCCACGGTCTCCCGATCCCTGAACCGGCCCTGACGTCATTCCTGCCTCCAGACGGGATGACGTCATGTGTGTAGACCCGTGTGGTAGTGACGCTCCCCCGCATAGTGACGTCACACATGTGTGTGTGTGTGTATCCAGTAGTGACACTGCAAGTCACTACACAAACATGCTGCGTGTTTGCTTCATCAAGCGTTAAGGTCTACAACCAAATCTACCTGAATGCACCCAATCTTTTCACATTTCTGGTTGATACTTGGGATAAGAGGCTGCCAGGTGGTCATACCAGGTGTTGTAGGATTGGGCTGCGAGGTGCCCAGGGGATGGCAGTACAGGAATTGAATCTTGATCATATCTCTGGGCTTTGAGGACTATGCCTTTCTCTCCATGGATTTTTTTCTGGGTATCCGAGTTTCCTCTCACCTGCCAAACACTCAAAAAGGAAATTAGCCAAACTTCCCAATGCAAAATTCTACTGATAGGGAGTGTTGAGATTCAGCGAGGCTCTTTCTGGATAAGGGACATTATTGTAGAAGGCATATCAAAGCAAACTTTGTATTTTAAAGCAAGACATATTAGTGTGTCTTTTATTTTACTTTTTTAAATACTTTATAACTAAGATTGACAGCATTAATGCAATCGTTCTGTCTATATAATATGGGATCTGATTATATCACATTGCAATATGAAGTTGTGTTGATATTAGGGATTCTGCTTATAAAAAAGAAAATCGATCAAATTGACCAGATGCTTCCCCAACATTTGGCAATAAAAAAATCAATTATGTCACATGTTGTGCATGTACCTCACCTCCTTTTTCGATAGTGTCATCACACATGACCCCATCTTGTCATGCAGCTCAGAAGGTAACATTACACATTTCGACATTATCGGCAATTAAATACTTCCCAGGACAAACACGTCGGGGAAGCATTGCAAAATTCACGCTCGTTCGTGATTTTTCTTCCCTGCTTGACGTTGCCATCCGTGGGTTTCGCACTAGCGTAGACACGAGCGCTCGCCGGACGTTCTGGAACGCACCGCGACAGCGGTGACCGCCTTCCTGCGTGCCGCCGGCGCCAACGACGGGCGGCGGCGGCTGCTGTGCCGCGTGGGCGAGGAGTCGGGCGCCGCGCTGCTCTACGTGTGGCTCAACACGCGGCCCTGCAGCTCTGCCAAGCGCGTCCTCTGGGAGTTCTTCCTGTTGCAGATGAGCGCCCACCACCCGCGCGGGGCACGCCACGCTCACCACGGTGTGTCCCCAATGGCTTCCCCGGATGTTTAATGAACATTTCGCGAGTTCGCAGAGAATGAATAGGTGTGGCCATCCCCAAATGGACCAACACAGGCGTAGCCATCTTCGCTGTAATGAGCATTGCAGAGGGTCTTTACAGATTCCATTGGATCTATGTGAATTGAATTTGGTCTTTGTGATGCTGGCGGGTCTGTTGTAAGGATCTTACTGGGACTATATTGATCTGAGTTGATCTCCGCACGTTCCATTGGTTTTAATTGGTTTGCTTTTAGACACAATGTAAAAAAAAACACATTGCATGATATATATAAAATTATCAAAAAAATGTATCTTAAAATACTAATGTACCATACTCTTTGGTTCTTTCGGTAAAGTCACGTAGGTAGAAAAATAAAATAAATAATATATCACGACGTTTCGATCGCAACACAAGCAATCGTCATCAGGTGGGACAACCACAGCTTTTTTTTCTTGATGTGGTTGTCCCACCTGATGACGATTGCTTGTGTTGCGATCGAAACGTCGCGATCTATTATTATTCTACCTACGTGACTTTACCGAAAGAACCAAAGAGTATGGATTCCTGCAGTCACGAAAGCTTCAAATCAATATTAACGTACCACCAAAGATCAATTCATGTAGTATATATAGCAAATTCTGTTGTCAAATCCTTCACCACCACACCTCATACGGCACCGGCTTAATCATGCAGATGTCTCATTCAGAACCGCCGTCCCCACTTCACCCCGCTCTACCCTGCTTCACCCCGATCTGCTTCACCCCGCTCCGCTCCACCCTGCTCCACCCCACTCCGCTCCACCCTGCTCCACCCCAATCTCGCCCTAACCCACTCCAACCCGCTCCACCTCGCTCCACTCCAGCCCACTCCACCCTGCCCCATTCTGCTATGTCCCAACCTGCTATGCCCCAACCTGCTATGCCCCGCTCTGCTCCACCCCTCTCCACTCTACCCCACTCTACCCTACTCCACCGCGCTCCACCCCGCTCTAACCCGCTCCACCCCGCTCCGGCATGCTCTGCCCCACCCCGCTCTATTCCACCCCGCTCCACCCCGCTCTGCTCCACTCCATTCCACTCCACCCCACTCCACTCCAACCTGCTCCAACCTGCTCCACCCCGCTCCGCCCCACCCCGCTCCACCCTGCTCCACTTCGCTTTGCTCCATCCTGCACCACTCCACCCCGCTCCAACCTGCCCCACCCTGCTCCACCCCGCTCCAACCCACCCCACCCCGCTCTGCCCCACTCCACCCCACTGCACTCCGCTCCACCTTGCTCTGCTCCACCCTGCTCTGCCCCGCTCCAACCCGCCGTAGGTGCACTTGCGGGCGACATCTCCGCTTGGCATCGCGTGCTGGCCCAGCTGTACGACGCGGTGTGCTCGGAGCTGAAGGAGATGGGAGGTCGCATCCGCTTCTCGGGCCCTGGGCGGCCTGCTCGGTCCGCGCCCTCCCTCCCGCCAGCCTTCGCTGACCTTGCCGCTCACGTCTGCCATCAGGTGTCCCCTGCGTTAGCCCACGAGCCACGGGGATTGGTCGGTCCTGTTTGGGGAGGAAAATTCTACCAGACTCTACAGGGAGCAGTATCTTCCATGGGCTGAAATATTAGCGTAAATCCTTTTTGTTTTATACATATTCTTCCTGTTTGTTTTCCTGTTCCGTGGATGTTTAATATCACGTAACTTTTTTCCCCCCAAATAATATTCTCTAAAACATACAATATTATCGTTCTTGAGGAAACATTTTCTCGTAAAACTGCCACCGTAACCTTGCTATCACACATTTTATATCTAGGGATAAAATAATTCAAGAAAATAATTGTTATTCTTGGGGTCTTTCGGTAAAGTCACGTAGGTGGTTCAAGGAAAATAACAAAAAACTACGACGTTTCGATCACAACACAAGGGATCGTTGTCAGGAGGAAAGCTGCTGAATGCAGACTGTTTTATGGGGTGTAGTAGTCTTAGGTTCATAAACAAAGTGGGCGGGGCTAGTGATGTTAATGTGAGAGATTAGCATGTTAATGTGAAATCGGAGAGCGGCGTCGGCGACGAGTGCGTGGGTGGCTATGTTAATGTGAGAGATTAGCATGTTAATGTGAGAGATTAGCATGTTAATGTGAGAGATTAGCATGTTAATGTGAGAGATTAGCATGTTAATGTAAGATCGGAGAGCGGCGTCGGCGACGAGTGCGTGGGTGGCTATGTTAATGTGAGAGATTAGCATGTTAATGTGAGAGATTAGCATGTTAATGTGAGAGATTAGCATGTTAATGTGAGGGATTGGCATGTTAATGTGAGGGATTGGCATGTTAATGTGAGAGATTAGCATGTTAATGTGAGGGATTGGCATGTTAATGTGAGAGATTAGCATGTTAATGTGAGAGATTGGCATGTTAATGTGAGAGATTGGCATGTTAATGTGAGGGATTGGCATGTTAATGTGAGATTGTAGAGCCACCGCGGCGCAAAGGTCGGTGTCCGTAGGTGGCCACGTTGGCTCGAGAAATTCAATCTGTTAATGTGAAATCGGAGAGCCGAAGCCACGGGGGATTTTTTTGTATTATTAACATCGGAAGGTGGCAGGAAGGGAACATCACAGCCATACACCCATCCATCAAATTCACCATGGAAGTCGAAAATGATGGCAAGCTGCCATATTCCTGGATGTTTTAATCGAAGAGACCTGACTGTCTACAGGAAAGCCACCCACACGGATTCCTATCTAAAGCCTGATTCCCACCACCATCCAGCCCAGAAGAACTCCCTCATCAAAACACTACACCATAGGGGGCGCGCTGCATCTCCCACCAGCAACACCTCGCCAGTGAGCTGGAGCACGTACACCAAGCCCTCAAGATGAATGGATATTCAAACCGCACAATCCGCAAAGCTGCATCCCCAACCATGGGGAGAGAGCCATCTGAGGACCCAATCAAAACCATCACCTTGCCATACATAGCAGGTGTTACCAAAATATTTCCAAAATCTTGAACAAACACAAGATCCAGGTTCGATTCAACAAAGTACACAAAATCCGTGATTTGATCTCATCTGTGAAAGATGTGATTCCTGAAATGCAATACCCTGGTGTCTACAAACTAAGTTGTGTCTGCGGTAGCAGTTACATCGGGGAAACTAAACGACATGTCTCGGATCCGTGTTCGCGAACACAAGGCAGATTTGAAACACGGCAGAACCAATACCTCTGCCGTGACTGATCACTGTTATAACGTGGTCGGTTCACACGATATTGTTTTTTCCGAGACCAATGTACTCTGCAAACCTTCGGGCTACCATCAAAGATTTGTCCATGAAGCCATCTAGATATTTAAACACAGACACAATTTCAACCTAGAAGATGGGTACAAACTGAGCAATCATTGGAAGGATGTTATTAACCAAGTAAGTCATAACTTGCTGTGATGTGTCCATCCTTCCTGCCGTTGTTTAGCAGTTATTTCTGACTCTGAATTACATCACGTGGTTAAATGTTTTTTACATTAACAGACTAAGGTCTCACTAACATAGCCACCTCTGCTCCCTTTTGCCTCGATGTAACGGTGGCTCTCGCTGTTCAATAGGCTGTATGTCTCACTGGCACGGCCACCGTTACGGTGGTTCTCTGGCGTTGATTCCCTGGCCTCTCCGTGCAGCAGCCAACGCCGCAGCTTGTGTTGCCCACGAGGTGGCGCTATGCCCGGTCCTCTGACACAGACACGCGATCTTCCCATTATACTCGTTGACATTGACATGCCAATCTCTCCCATTAACGCAGCTTCTGTGCGTGCGTGCGGCGACGGGACTCCTTTCCATCTATGGTGGGAGTCACCCTTGGGTGACACCCACCTCAAACCCACATCGTGTTGCAGCAGCCCTTTCTTGTTCAGCAGTTCTACTGCTGTAACTTTCTACCTGATGACGATTGCTTGTGTTGCGATCGAAACGTCGTGATCTATTATTTATTTTTCTACCAACGTGACTTTACCGAAAGAACCAAAGAGTATGGATTCCTGCAGTCACCAAAACTTCAAATAAAGCCAGTTATGACTTAAACTGGTTGATAACGTCCTTCCAATGATTGCCAAGTTTGTACCTATCTTCTCGGTTGAAATTGTGTCTGTGTCTATATATATTGTTGATTATGATCAACAATACTTAGAACTGCTTTTTGTGTTTAGTTAGTTGTCCTTCTCCCCAATTTGCATGGTTGGCAACGTACGGTGCGAACAAAGTTCAACATACCACATAATACTTGGTCACTTCGAGTGGACAACTCTTACCCAACACCGAAAGGTTGCTCTTTCATGCATTGTACAGAGTGGTTTGCTGCATGTCATCCGGCGTGTATTTACAAATGGCATGTCTCTGGTCTGGCAGCTGTTCAACTCGGAGACAAACGTTCTGGAATTGATTGAAGCCGGTGGCGGTGACGGTGGCGGCAACGGTGTTCCTACCAGTGGTGACAGGGGCCACGCGACCAGCGGCGTCGCTTCTGGGGGCAGTAACGGCACTCTCTCGGGAGCGAGCCGTCGACGGGGAAGCTCGTGGGACACGCGTGACGTGGCAAGCAAGAGGCGCAGGGTGGACCTGGGCTGGGAGGTGCTGAGGGAAACTTTGCTCAAGTCACAGGTCGACGGGGAAGTCCTGCCCTGGTGGGAATTCTTTCATTTTTGTTTTACTTAAATAAGGAGATTGATGCTCTCGGCGTGCGATGGTTATCGTACTGGATGTAAATCCAGACGTTGCCTGTTAATTTTTCTGGTGCAGCAGTTGCAACAGTGGTGCATGTTTCTTAAATTCTCCACTGTCTTAATCAACACAGCAGAATAAATGTATACACCACAGTCGCTCATTAGGTCGTGTGTGATGGGATGACGTGTGGCTACCCTCACCTCTTCAAAGATGTCCGGTCAGTGTGGATGAGTAGGCCAATATACCCTTTTGGAGGGCTCCCTACAGTGTAGAATCTTCCACCAGCAGTGGAGTGAGAAAGTAATTGCCTTGGCTCGGTGTAACTGCTGTGGTAAAGCAGCCATGTGGTGGTGGGGTCGGTTGATCTCGCAGAGATGTCGCCATGTGTGTGTGTTAGAGATTGTCACCTGCATGGCAAACAGAGTTTTGTTTTACTCGAGTTCAATTACTGTCCAGGGTTAATTCATTAAATTGTGATTTCAAATTGCGAGTCCAAAGTGAGCTCATCCCCTGTGTTGTCATCGTCAACAGTGGAATCGATATCACCATGATTGCCATCATTATCATACTTCTGGGGTTATTACAATTAATACAGTCTGGTGTATGGGAATATGATAATTATACTGCTGGCTCAGGACTATCATTACAAAACATGATAACAAAGGAAACAAGTATAGAAGCTTTCTTTTCTGTCTGTGGCTGTAGGTTGGAGATCATGAGCCGTCTCTTGGACAGGCACCCCGACAGCCTGCCGAGGAGTGAGCTGGTTGCCACGGTAACCACTCTAAATCGGCTGCAGGCCTCCCGGCGTCGCCAAGGAGATGACCGGACACGGCTGTCCTTGCTGTGCCTGAACCAGTTTGCCAAAATACAGCCGGTGGTGAGTTCCCATTCGTGCCAGAGATTGTAAAAAAAGCATGTTACTCTGTGTGGTCTTCCAGGTTATCCTCGTATTGAGAAAGTTTACTCTCAAGCTTTCATCATACACACACCTGCTTCGATTCCTGCCTACTGCTATTGTAATTGTAGTCCCCTTAGCCACCAGGCCACCTTGGCCAGAGACGTTTGAACAAAGAAGCCAAACCGAATCGAAGGTATGCCAAACTTCTTTTGCACCGTACGTAGCCAACCCTGCGAATCGGAGGTGTGGATAAAGGACAAAAAAACTAAACACAAAAAGAAGTTATAAATAAATTCGTTTTAAATCTAGATTTAAAAGTGCATAGCTCCAGTGGCTTCCCAATGCCACCTAAACAGACTTTAATGGGCCAACTTTCAGTTTCATGTATTAGGTGTAGCCCTGTGAGCCATGCAGCTCTTGACTCGGGTGCAACCACAACAAACAAAAACATGAACAAAGAACATCTTAAAGTGACTACACGTAAGAGAAAAATCCAGGAAAAAACAGCAAAGCCTTACAGAAAAAAACACCGTAAATCAACGCTGTGTGCAAAAATCCCAGTGGGATGCAAGTCAAACAATAACAACCATAAGACAGTTTAGATTAAAGTTATCAGGCTAACTCTGTACTACAACAAACAAACATGGCTAAACCATACGTTTTGGAAATCACCAAAATAAAGCTATAAAAACAATGTAACAGTGATCATAGGAACTGTGATTCAAATTTAACAATAAGCGATATACATAACATGTACGACCAAACTTTGCAGCCATAGCTGTATCAGCAGGAGTATCAACATTTTTCAATGCACTTTTAAAGATCAGCACACTATAACATGCCTCCGACAGCTTCCAAATCGTTCCCGCGTGTCCATTTGTGCTTCCTCCTGCCCAGGATGTGGGTGTGGAGGAGCGCCGTTTGTGGTGCACGTCGTGGTCGCTTGCACTGCGCTCGCTCCCTTCGGCGCCTGCGTGTGAGACCCGCGCGCTCGCTCTGCTCTCGACGCTGCTGCAGCGCGGACTCGTGCTCCCCGAGCCGGACGCCTGGCGTGCCCTGCTCACCTGCCGGCCCTCACGGTATGGCGATAGAGTGTTGCCCTCTCGCATGTGAGTTTTTTCCGGGTTCCCCCGGAATGTGTATAAACAGCTTATTAATTGGCTGAAAACATCTTAAAATAAAAACACAATGCAGGACCCTCCTGAAAATGAGTCCAATGACTCGGTGTGGCTTTCCTGGTTAAGTAAGTAAATCGATAATACATTATCCAAACAACATGTGCAGGCATCGGGAGGTCCTCATCCTAAAGGGATGCAGATGTACATGAAGTTTTGTGAATCAATGTATTTCCAATTTTTGGCTCTCATTAGATCGACTACTGTGGGTTGATATGTGCGTGAGTGCAGCCACTGAACACCAGCCGCGATGACCCCCAAACTGTCGAATCGCCATCTCTGTCTCCGTATGTGCACGATCGCGTGCATTGTTTTCCAGCTCTGCGGTGGAGCTCCTGCTCCAGCTGGTGTCACGGCAGATGGTGCCGGCAGAGGGCGGCACGGCGGCGGTGGCGGCGCTGGCTGCCAGTTGGCAGCCGGGCTTGGTATCGGAGGGCAGCGAAAGCACCTCCCAGGAGAGTGCCGAAGAGGCGGCGTGGACGGAGGGCGACAGGCGGGACCCCACGCTCCGCCGCAGTCTCATGGCATGGCTGCTGGCGAGGCAGAGCTCTCCGAGCGAGGACGGCACCGAGAAGATCGAACCTCCAGCTACCTTGCAAGGGTGATGGCAGAAAGGAACCACGTGTCAACCTTGGTGCTGCTGCTGTTGTTGGCTTTATTGATGCTGTCCAGACGACGATACCTGTTCCCCTGTGGACCTGATTGGTCCTGATTTTGTTTAATGTCATTATCATGTGAAAGTGAGCACACTTCGTGTAACATCACGTGAGCGCATTTGTTTCAAGGGAGGGCCTGGGTCACGAAAATAACAAAAACAGCAGTGGTACAGAACAAATGTCAAAGGAATCTTGAGGAATTAAAAACATAAATACGTAACTTATTGCCATCTTGTAAAATAAATTATTGGTTTTGTTTGTGTTCTCTCCACCTTTTGTTCCCAGAGATTTTCCCCCTTTCCTGGTGTCCCGTGCGCTCGTTTGCCTGACTCTAAAGGATAACCGGGCTGCAGCTCGGACGATCTTCTCTGATACGGATTTCAGGCACGTGTTTAACATAATTCGCCACTCGACCAGCATACCGAATATTCCGATAGTAGCTCTGTTAATTTCTGCAGGGTGTTATTATGAACAAATGTTGATTCCAATAACAGTGACTTCACTCATGGTAGTGCTCAAGTGGCATCACTCTTTTGCCGTTTTGAATTCACAACAGTTGTGCTGCAGTGATGAGCATTGTCCATCTTCAAAAATGTGAGCTGTTGAGCTTGTGTGCCTGCATGCCTGACTCTAAGATTGTTGTAGCTCACAGTCCTCCCCATTTGAATCCTCACTTCTCAGCAACGAAGACAAAACCTACTACCCTCGTGACGAAGGCCTGGAACAAATGGAGGAGCTCTTCCTTCTGTCTACCTTCGAGGTCTCCGACCCCGAGCCTACACTGCCTGGCCACGCAAATGCCACGCACTTGAGCATGGCATCCATACACACTGGGGTCACGGCCGGATCAAAGGTCATGACCCCTGTGAGATTCATCCTCGAGGAAAAGGTGGTGGCATTCGCCGAAAGCCTCATTGGAGGCCAGGACGTCCAGGTGAGTCGCTGTCTGTTTCCTGTCTCTCTGATTCTCTAATTTTTTTTAATGTATCTGTCTTTCTCCCTCTGTTTCTCTTTGCATCTGTCTTGCTCTGCTTGGCTCTTGCGCGTTCCCTGTCATTCTGTGTGTGTACAAATCTCCATCTTTTACATTGATAACCACATTTTGAATATCACATAGTAAAGATTACGATTGGAAATGGCAGTGTCAAATGAGGGGCTCGTAGACACATGTGCGAGACGGGGTCACTGTGTTTATGCCTGTCCAGCCGGTGCCTCCAGAGTGTCTGGCTCGTGGTGCTGCCTTGCTCTGTGGATTGGTGGCTGGGTTCCGACTGGTGGGGGCGGACGCTGATGATGCTGGCAGAAAAAGTGTGCTACTTGAGAAAGCTAAGGTATGAGCATCCACCACCTTTGTCCTGGCCTATGATGATCATGTGAATAACAGCTGAACTATCTGATTACTTTACCAATGATCAACTCTGACTTAGTCATGAGCTCACATTCCATTTATGAGTTGACTTCGTCCACCATTTTTCCAAGATCAATAACAAATAGTACCACTTTGTAGGAAGTCAATATTGGTTGTTTTTGGAAATACTAGTCCTTGCCAGAGAATATGAAGTTCATAATATTGCCTTGTGGCTGTCAACTGAGACATGCAATCCAGATTGCTTGCCTGAGTGTGGGGTTTATTGTTTATTTGTATCCTTTGTCACCACTTATATCCACAGCTGCTGATGCGGTCGGTGGGTGAGTTCGTCAGCACCAATGTAAACAAGGCGACCGAGAGCCATGTGGCGTGCGCGATGAAGGCTCTCGTGGCGTCGTGCACTTCCGCTGTTGAAGCCCTGGACTCCACACAGGTTCGGGTGACTCGTGACTCCTTGGAAGAGCATTCTTCCACACTTGTCATGCCATCATAGACAATAGCGTTAGTCTCGTTGTCTCACCCAATGACAGGTGGATTGTTTAGCTTGACAATGTGAACCATCAGGATTTGGACTAATATTTTGAATTTTTATTTAACACTTTACTGAAGTGTTATAGAAGAACTGAAATCAGGAAGCCATTCAGACCAATTTTGTTGATGCCACCACTCCTTTCCATTGCTGGCTTTATCTGCTATACCTTGTAACTATTCCAAAGTGAACACCTGCATCTTACAACATTGGAGTCTTTTTAAGACCACGATAACACGCTTTTCAGGATCCTTTGGGGCAGTTGGCGTCTTCGCTCTTCCTGCTCACCATCCCTGCGTGTTTCATCACTGACCTGCTGGGGCTTGTCAAGCATATGGTAAGGGCAGCTTATGATTAAATATGCATGACATGATTACACACTGCCTCTGCAGATTATATGTTTATGACATTTTTAGGTAAATAGTTTACGTCAATTAACAAACAATGAGCTGGTGCTTATTCTGTTGCCTGCCATAATCCAGTGGCAGATTTTCAGTATCTCTGCTGTAAGGGCCGGTTTCTATTTTATATGACCAGTGTTGACTTCCCAATATGTGGTACTCATTTCGTAGACCCAAAGGGGTAGATGAGCTGAGCGTACTCCAACCAGGATTTTAATTTGCAATCTAACCACTGCTATACACCTAGAGTTTGGTTTAATTTCTGAAGTGAAATACCATTTAATCCCTGAACCAATGAACATTCTCAGTAATTGTATCTGCATATATATTTTTTTACCAACGTTTGATACTTTAGCTTTCCGAATCAAGTTTTCTGTAATTGTTACACTTAAAATGCATTGATTGCTCCACTGATATTTTAACTTCAAGATTCTAAATTAACTCTTCATTTGTTGACTCCAGGACAAGCAAGTTGGGTCAACCGACCTTTTTTCAGATGATATGGACACTAGCACCACAGCAACAACCTCTAATTCCAGTGACCTAGAAATGCTCGGTGACAACTTGGGTCGTGGTGGGGAGAGCTGTGAAGACGGTGCCGGAAGTCAAGTTGGAGCAGGTTAAACAAAAATGTGCAAACACCATTATTGTAAAACTGACATGAGTTTCCGATTTAATGGAGTCCCTGGATATCTCATCAATGCTACCAAACATCCTCTCGTTTGGACCATCCCATGTTCAGAAAGGCTGTGCTTGTGACTATTTACGTATTGATAAAATATGATATTTTGTCCCGGTTTAAAATGTTCGAGCCTCATGGGCCAAGCTAATTGAGTAGTGGGTGGTGTTGGCAGAGGAGTAGGCAAGGACCTAGGAGCCAATATAAAGCATGAGGCCACTCTGTGTAGGTGGGGCTAGTGATTGAATGGGTGTGGTTAATACAAAGTGGGTGGGACTAACTGAAGGAGGGGCTGCCAGCTGACCGCGTGTTCCTGGTTGAGCCTCCAAAAAGAGTGATAGCTTGAGAACTCTTCATGCTCATGTCGGGTGTCTGGGTTGATGAGGTCACGGATGATCTCTGAGCTAACAATCCTGAGATGCTGGTTTCGAATGTGGGATTCAGTCACATGTCATTAAACCACATTGTTGGTGATGGGAATGTTATAGTCTCTATATTTGTTGTCAATAACTCCTCGAAAAGTATGTCATGTTGTACATGTTTTTTTTCTTTTGATTCTGTCAAGGCCACCACTGAAAATGTGTGGGAGCATTATGATGTGGTCGAGTGCTCTTATTCTTAACCAGTCAGCACCTGCATTCCAGGAAATCCAGTCAGTATATATTTAATGCAGTTACATACTACCTTGTATGGAGAGTAAAGTTCATAAAATGGTTAAATTCCTCAACTTATAGTCAAAAGGTTTTGAGTTCAAATCCTGGTCATTATTCATTCACATCCTAGTTGGCATTACTGCTTTATGACGCGGTGTGCCCAGCTGTACAACGCGGTTTGCTTGGACCCGCACTGTGTGAGAAGGCCCTCATCCAGCAGTGGATTGACAAAGGGCTGTACATTTACACATGCCTTCATCATCAGCCTCGGTTAATACGTTGCTGGTTGAAGGCCTCCCTCCAAAAGCAATTGCCGTCTCTCGCGATCCTGCAATGTAATAATACAGCGAGCAGCTGCACTCAAGCTGATTTTATCGTTACAACATCCTGTATGGACTTTCTCTCGGATGCGATCCGTTCCTTGGCTGCCACTGTGATTGAACATTGGCCATCATCCCTTCTAGCGGTGTGCCCTGCAATACTCAACAGTTGAATGATGTCATCAGTCTGTGTACATTCTCTAATTAGCTAATAAATGCGTTCCTTTTGCCGTCTCTCATACACACACTCTTCTAAAATTCCTTAGCTGGCAATGCTCTGCTCTGATCTTGCCGCCTCTGCCCTTTGCCCCCCGCAGTGCCCCTGTGTGTGCTATCGGACGAGCAGCTGAGCCGTGCCGATCAGCTGGCTCTGGACACGACTGCCTTCCTGTGTGCGTGCGCGCGCGGCGCATCTGTGGCGGCCCGAGTCTCAGGCACCGCCCCCCAGTTCAACCCCAGCCAGCTGAGGTGTGGCCTCCTGACCCTGTGCAGCCCGGCGCAGTTGGACCTCAAGAGGGCTGTGCACGTTCGGATGGTGAATACAGCTCTGGCAACAAGGCCAGGCGGCTCGTGCGCCATATTGTAGCACCGAGACGGCACTGATCACAATATAAAATGCTTGGGTTTTTCTCGTATCTAAATACAACCACCTCTCAAAACAATGTAAAAATGCAATGTGACATTCTCTTTTCGTAGTTGGTAATATATGCAATATATGTAGATAATTTGTAGAGAAAAGGGAAGGTCTTGTGCCGTTAGGTAGGGCTGTGTACGGTTGTAGGGGGCTTCCCACTCTACCGTATAATCTGGCGAGTGGCGAGGGTCAGACGGGTGTCGTGAGAGTGTCTTGTCACCCCATCGAAATGACGGGCTGCCCGCTATTCTTGCTCATGGCAATGTGTTCAATGGCTAAATGCCACTGTCGAGGTCTGCTCGCCATGAGAGGGCTTCAGAAAAGAGTTCGTGTAGTTTTGCTACTCCACCATTGAAGGAGTGCAGATTATAAAATTGTACGTAGAATTATCGTGATTTGAGATGAAGAATGGGGTTATTTAAAGTGGCGCTGTAGTTTTAGTGCCAGGAGAACAGGCGGAAGTGTTCAGGAGAGGTTGTAGTAGCCTTAATCGTAACTGGGGGACGACGAAAACTTGGAGGGCGGAGAAGTGTTGAGGCATTGCATTGGGAAGACAAAGAGGGTCGGCCGGGGGGGAGCCGGGTGGGAGAAGGGGGCCTCCGCGAGTGAGTCTACAAGGGCGTGCCGACTCTGGGTGCAGTGCTCTAAACCCTGGTGACCATAACATGGCACAAATAACATTAATTCCATTTGTCATGTCCACAGTACCTCTGCCTGCTTGAGAAATTTCCAAGTACAGGAGGAGACTCCTTCGGCATGGACTACAGCTCCTTGCTTACCTCGCTCAGGTGTTGAACTCGGTGTTGCTTGATTGTGGAATGTTAAAGTAGGGAATGCAAAGCCTATTCATAATATAGGTTTTTGGGTCGGATCGTGTTGTTTATAAATGTGTCGTAACCCTCCACCAACCAACACGGCCAAACACATTTTTTACTGTTTGGCCGTGTCAGGTGGTGGAGTGTTACGACACATTTATAAACAACGCGATCTGACCCAAAAACCTATTTTATGAATAATATTGGTCGCGAAAGCCTACGTGCAAAGCCTAGTTCACATTCCTTAGGAATGGTGCTCTAACTCCTCTGTTAGGATGTGGACTTGGCAATTGTAGACCTTCATAAATGAGTTTCTGCAGTCAAGGTTAAAAAAAATAGTTTTCTTTGTTCCATTGTTTGTTTGAAACAGTATTTAGTCTTTTTAACCTTGACTGCAGATTTATTCCATTGTCATGTGTAATTTACACCATTGGCCCGTAACCAATATAAGGGCATTTTTACCTTTTATTATCACTTCTTATTACTTTATGTGTATACCCTTGTGAATGACTCTAAATCTTTCATGTATGGTGGGTAGACAATCATGGTATTCATACCTACTGCCCTTGTCATGTAAGATCTTAAATGGATACTTGCACTATCACAAGTCAATCCGTTTCAGCATTACAGTTTGATTTACTCACCGATTCTGTTTTGCTTGCTGTGTGGTATGTGTCAACTCTGTAATGCGATGATGGACCCATCTGAACATACATGGCTGAGAAGTATGTTTTAGACAGTTTAAAGCATCCATTCATTTAATAAGTTATTTTATTGAAACCAAGTGAGATATGATTGAGACTAAAAATCTCATTCAACAGGGGGGGCCTGGGTTACAGAGTGATACAGAAGTAACAGCAAAATGACATACATTTTGTTGACGTAGTGAAGAATTTATATTAATAACTGAATGTTCGATTTTTTTAATTCAAACCGATTCTTACGCTCATGACAAATATTATGAGCATATGCCAGATGCTCATCTGGGTAGGAACTGATTTTTATCGGTGGATGCATGAATCGTTACATACGAAGCCCTGCTGACGTCGCCTTGTGCTGTTCGATGTGCGTATGCTCTGCACAGGACCGTTTGCTCGCACTACCGCAGCGATCAGGAAGTGTGTGCCGCACTGCTGTGCCGGCTGCCCCCGCTCATTCGTGCTCTGGGTTGCACCTCGGGGTCAGACAGAGACCTCACAGATGCCCGTCAGAAACTTCGGGCTGCGCTCTCCGGCTTTTGGTAGATGTTAACTTCCCACCCCTGACACCTCATACCCCACTGTCTCCCTGCAATGAAACCAGCACCAGTGAGCCAGTCCTATGCAGCATACCGCTCGGCGCACCTGCGCTGGAGACTCAAATATGAACACACAAAATGATAATCATGCCCTTTATTCAGGAGAGCCTCACCGAGTGTCAAGACTTTTTCAAGATGTTTGGCCAATTCCACTGCTCGATGTGTTGCTTGTGGAGGGAATTCCAGGGGCAGTTAAATGATTTGCAGGAGCGATTTGAGTGTGGCATTAGAGTAAGTTGGGAGAACGCAAATGTCGTGTCAGATGAAGTTTCGGGATTGAGTGCGGACCATAAATTCCACTCATTTGATGCATTTTGTTGTTTCTGTTGCTTCCCAGGTTACTCCGCGGCAAGGGGCAGTGCACGGCTGCAGTGCGAGCCGCCTTGCTTACATGCATGGCCACGATGCTTGAGGTATCGTCCCGGTGGTGAATGAATTAATGAATAAGAAAACAAATGAGGAATTGAATGAAGTGACCCAGTGACAGTAGGCGCAATGGAGCCCCACAACACTCCTCGTATCATTCTTACCTAAATAATAAAATAATGCATTATTGTCATTGTCAATCAGCAGACTATGTACAAAGATAGCCTTGATATAGATAGCCTTGCACTCACAGAAGGCTGTGAATATTGTAGGTACCTATGATTTGATGATGCTTTATCATTGGTGGCCAAGAGTGTCCGTGCATCATCTACGCAGCATGCGAGTTGCTGTCCTCACGTTTCCATCTACCCGTGGACATCTGTAAAAAAGAGCTTCATAGCTCATCCGGATTCCTCCAGTATAGATATTCTGATTCTGATATCCGTACTTCGCGTGCAGGTGGACGCACGGTGCAGGTGGGCCATCCTGGAGGTTGAGAGCACCGCCCTGCCCGTCCGAGAGGCCTTCCCAGAGTTCCTGGGCGACAGGCAGCACCGTGTGCGCATGCTGGCGGCCCAGGCACTCCACAGGTGCACCTGCCACTCCAACCCGCTACCGTCACCTGTGTGTTGGTTGTGTTGAAGGCTGAATGCGCAGAAGGCATCGGTGTATATTAGGGACACACCCAATTTGTCATTTAGCCAAATTTTTATTTGAAGCAGGTTAGTATATTTTTTTGTGGATTTCTTCCAATAATTAGGTAAGTCTCTGTTTTCGTTTTTCCTCTGTCCCATTTAAACATTTTCTCCCTGTCTCTCTGTCTTTCTCTTTGTCTATCTGTATGCCTCTGTATCTATCACTGTATATCTGTGTTTGTCTCCCTCTGTCAATCGTTTGTTGCGGTTTCTCGTCCTATTTTGTCTCCATTTGTGTCTCTCTACCTCTGAATCTGTTTTTCCACCTACCCTATCTCTCCTTGCCTCTGCGTCTTTGTCTAAATCTGCCATTATTAAATTCCTTTATATTAAGTTCGCTTGCTTGCGTGCTTGCGTGCTTGCTTGCTTGCTTACGACCGTGCAAATCTTTCGGTCGTTTTTTAACCCACTTCCCGTGATCCAATCGAGCTGACATTTTGCACACAGACTCGTTGTGCGAGACAATTAATGTTCGTGAAAATTTTTTTCCAAAATTTTACACTGTTTAGGGAAAACAAATTAAATATTTAATTACCAATTGCTTAATACTGGCAGACAATCATCTGACCCATAGGTGGCAGCCATCTCAAGCCAGGGGACGAGAGGACTCTAGCCGCCACACATATAAAGGATTTATAGTGAAAAACTTTGTTTTTACGGGTTATACTTATTTTTCTCTCTATTTGTCTGTCTTGACTCGACTTTTTTCTCTTCTCTAGTTCTGCCTCTATCTCCATATTCACTTGGCTACAAATGTATACATTCAAAAAAATCACAAACATCCTTTTGCGCAAACGATAACTAGGCTCTTCCGTCCTGAGATAAAAACCCCAAAACAGGCAATCTCCCAAGCATGCTCCAACATGCCGCCAGTCTCAACTTAATAAAATATTTAATTAAAACTCGCACAACATGTGGAACTGTTTCGGCGAGAGAACTTTCTAATTGAATCAGCGTTTATACGCCGGTTAATGATTTATTAATGTCGTTATGTGTTGACTGCAATGTGGTGTTCATTGCATGCAATGTGCAGGTATGTGTTACTTACTTGACACTATCAGACTACCATATCCTCAGTTGCACACAGTCAAGACCAGATGCGCAGGAAGTCGTGATTTCTAGACGCACACACGTGAACACACCAGCGGTGTGCTCAAATGGGCATAGCGCTTGAGAGCAATCCAGAGCACTTATCTATTTCTCGACCTTTAACCCCAGAGCGCTTAGTTACAAGAGCTCACGTTCTGTGGAGCTGCCTTGCTGAACATTAAGTGGGCTTGTCAAGATGGCGGACATCCATTACCAATTCAGAGGGTGTCCACGTTAGTTCATTTCTCCATTTTAAAACTCACCCTCCTAACACCATTCAAAAAGAGGTAACTTCCACCTCATAGCGCCACGGCAGAGCGCTTTGCCTATTGAACATACCGTAGATTACACTGTGTACAGAAATACACACGGACACATTGACACTCCAGATACACTACTCACAGCAGTAACGCACAGCATGTGTGCATTGTAACACGGAGAGCAGTGATTTGTAAGTAGCTCAGGCCCACACAGTTTGCGGCAGCACCGAATGTTTTCCTGTGTGTGCCAGTCTGTTTCTACAGCGGGCGGGTGACGGCCTCTCAGCTGAGTGGCAGCCGCTGCCGCCAGCTGTGCAGCAGGACTCGTTTGAGCGAGTACGGGAGAAGGTGTTTACGTGCCTACGCACCGCGGTGAGTGAGCCACTGGTGTCATGACCGTCCATTCGGGCACCACAACAGCCATCTGGAACGCTGTTCCTTCCAATATTAGGAATCCACTTTTAAATCTAGATTCAAAACTTCAGACGTTCAACATGCATACAACATTCTGTCTGCTCCGTAGCTGAGCAATGCCCCAACCATCACTCCTATTACTCTCTCTCTTGGCAGGTGAAGGAGCAGGGCACGGACCAACCCGAGGACAAGTGTGTGGATTCTGAACCCAATGGCGCGTCGGTGCTACTGGCAGCGCTGGGCACAGTGGCTCGCTGCAGCTCGCTGTGTGAGAAGCAGGCGCTGTATGCAATGGTGCAGGCACAGCTGAGACACGGCGTAGCCATCACTGTCATCGCGAAGGTGGGACCGTGTGTGTGAGTACATGTGTGTGTGTGGGGTGTAGTGTAGCAGTTACTCTGTGACCTGAATTCTGTTCCCGCTCACGGTCAACACCAGTGACGATTATCTGGTCTGGGCCTAGGCCTCCCCTAGGTAGACTCACCCCGAAATGAGTACCTGGTGAGACAATGGCGTCCGGGCGTGGTGGTGGCCACCTACCCCCTCGTTTGCCGTGCTGGCCTCTATAATTGCTCGCTCACAGCACTTGCCCCAACAGTCTGTTAAGGCTTTACTGGGGATTTTTGTGGGCTGTGATGGCCCATACATGAAGGTGCAAACATGTGTGAACACTCGTCCGTGTGTGTGGGAAGCAGGAGTGCGGTGGTTAGTGCACTGCCTTAAATTAGTCCCTCCAGCGTGGAAACTTCAGCATTGGGGAGACAGCTGGGAATGTTGCTGGCCATACCACCCCATTGTGGACAATTCCAGCCTTCATAGGTGCTCGTGAATAGCACTTGCCCCAAAAGTCTCTTTGCCGTTTTGAGCGCAGTTGTGACTGCTTCTAAGGAGTGTAGATTTGTGTATGAGTGTCTATGCGCTTGCTTGAATCTGTGCTTCCAACCACTGCACTCAATCCAGATTATATTCTTTTTACTACCAGTTCTACATGGCATTGTGTCCAGAAAAAGTTCTCCAAGATGACACTACTGAACCACTTATTTGACAATTGAATAGATCTCTTTCTCCCAAAGCTTTACATTTTTATTAAATCATCAAATGTCCATCGACTGAAATGTTATTTTGCCACTGCTGCTTTTGTTGTTGCTGTGCAGGCAGTGCGGGTGGTGTCTTTGGCCTTAAATCAAGCCAGTCCGACTCGCTACCTGGAGTCTCATCTGGGCTACCTGCTTCACCACTGGCTCTCGGATAGAAAGACGCTGGAGAACTTTCCCTTCCAGCTCCTGGAATGCGACACGGTGGAGGAGTTTTACAGGTGAGCTCGCTCCCCCAGTTCACCCACTCACTCGCCATCTCGCACACCCTTCCCCCTCAACATTACATAGACACTTTCCAAACCACTCTCAGTTGTACTCAAGTATGTTGGCTAAATACTACATCAGAGGCCTGTCTCATTACCAAAAGATCATATCAGGGACAACTGACATTATTGTCTATTATCAGACTCTGATCTGTCAGTGTTTTGTCTAAAGAACTCATCAGATACCAGTTTGCCAGTCTGTTGTCTAACGACCATATGTGTTAGACAATAGACAGTAGTACAATAGGTATTTCATAAAATATCCATGACGAGTTTGGCAGCGTGCCAGCCCACTAGTAACTTGCCAACCCGAGTTTGATTTCCGACTGGTTAATGTTAGTTGCAAGTAGTATCTGAACCAGACGTGCTCCCCACTTCACGAACCCGCACTGGTGAAGTCATGTCAAACAACTCCTAATACTGACATGGCATCGGGAGGCCCACATCCCGAGGTAAATTGACAAAGGGCTAAAATATTTTTTCATTCATTATAAAATTGACACAGACTGCAAGTAGTAAGAGTAAAATACAGAGGTGGGTGAATCCATTGGGGTCATTGTTACATCGCATGGCCAAATCGCTTGGATCTTGCCCGATCCCATTAGATGTCAGAAGCTGAGCAGGCTACTATTTTGGATAGTGCTTGGATGGGTGACCACCATGTTTCGCAGGCTGTTATCGACTGCGGGGGAAGCAGCAGAAGGCAGTGCGGCAAAATACATAGTTGTACTGTACATCTATGCTCAGCTTGTCTGATCAGTAGGGCAAAGCATGGTCAAATAACCCTCTCGACACCCATGGCATGGGTGGCTCCTGACAAAATGGCTGCACATGAACGATCATGAGAAAACGCTATCAACGCAGCTGCTCCTCCGTCCTTTCTGTGTCGCAGGCGGCACTGGCTGGAGGTGGTACCACGCCTGGCCATGCGACAGGACTTTAATGGCGTGCGTGCGGCAAGCGCAGCGATGGGCGTGGATTGGCGCGACGCCCTTGTCCGCGCCTTCCCGCGCCTTTTCACCCGCGTGCTGCCCCTTTTCGTGGAGGAGGGGGAGGAGGGCAAAGGGCATCCGGCGACGGCCGCGCGGCACGAGAGGACCGAGGCCGTGCTCGTCTACGAATTCTTGTGCCGCGACGACTGCCTCGGCAAGAAGGCAAGTGCCACTCTTGGACAGACGTGCACGTCTTGTCAGACATACTCTTTGGTTCTTTCGGTAAAGTCAGGAAGGTAGAAAAATAATAGATCACGACGATTTTATCGCATCAGGTGGGACAACCGCAGCAAGAAATAACTGCTGAAGTAGGCGAGAGATCTGCCGTGGCACGAGGTTATATAGGCCTCGGCAGTAGGGGGGGAGAGAGAGGGGGGGGTAGGAGGCGGGGCAGAAAGTGGACCCCGCCGCAGCACCCGGGTGCACTGGAGTAAAGTGGGCCACCGCGGCAGCACGGGAGAGGTCGGCTGCAGGGGGAGAGAGAAGGGGGGGGGAGGAGGCAGGGCAGATTGGGGAGAGATGCACAGAGAGAGAGAAAGACACACAGAGAGTCGGAAATAACAGCTGACATAGACAGGTAGGATGGAAACATCACAGTCAGTTAAGACTTTAGCTGGTTAATAACGTCCTTCCAATGATTGCTCATTTAGTACCCATCTTCTCGGTTGAAGTTGTGTCTGTGTCTATATATCTGGATGACTTCATGAACAAATCTCTGATAATAGCCGGTGGGTTTGCAGAGTACCTTCGTCTTGGAAAAGTCAGACACTAGACTGATATAACGATGTCTGGTGGGGTCTTTAGACAAAAGGCTGACAGATTGCATTTCAGATGTGGTTTCTAGCTAATAGACAGATCACTCAGTCACTGAAGGGGTGTCTTGGACAACTGACAGACAAGTCCCTGATGACATTTTAGACAATGTTTGACTTATTGACAGACTGAGTGGTTTGACAGGATATTTAAACTATAGACGGTCTGGTAATTGATGGGGCTTCTCGGCAATGACTTGACAAATTTGTCTGGAGTGTTAAGACAGTAGACAGACTATGGCTGGTTTCTGATGGATATTATTGACAGATTGGTGGCTTATAACTTCTTTCAAATGGAGCAGGCTTTAATGTATTCCTTTAACCACAGCCTGATCAACTGACCCTAATTTAGTCTTAAGATAATATGTCACAAACCAGTCTGTCAAGCTATTTTGGGATTAACAGTCAACGTCCCCATTTTTAAAACCATCCTTTGCCTTTCCTGTTTTGCTCACTTCCCAACCCCACAACCTTGCAGAGGATAGATGAGCTGGTGCAGGCGAACCTGCCTGAGGTTGTTACGGAGTTACTTGGGACCTTGCATGAGCCCTCGACGTGTGGCGAACCGTCAGATGTTGGGCGCTATGCCAGGTGAGAATGCACCATGAAGTGGCCTCTTGCTTTGACCTGGTGAGAGCCCTCTGAGATGATGTGCGTGTGTGTGTGTTTTGTGGGGTAACTTCAATGCCCGAGTTGGTCATGATGCTAGCATCTGGTCTGGAGTGATTGGAAGCCAAGGGCCAGATCAGCTCAATAACAACAGGAGGAGGCTGCTAGATTTTTGTGCAGCCCATAGGCTTGTAATTACCAACACGCTGTTTTGGCATCAGCGCATCCACACAACATCGTGGGTGCATGCCGGGTCCAAGCAAGAACACCTGCTGGACTACATAAGGATGGAACAGCAGATGCGGGCCCATGTCCTTGACACCAGGACCTGGTGTCAAGGACATGGGGCATCGACTTGTAAGATGTGCCTGCCATTCTTCCACTCCGGTGGTGGGTGTACACCCAGGACCCCATTCAAACCTATTGTGGCATGGTCTCAGCTAGCTAATGAAAGTTGCAAGCGAGAATTTCATCATCGCTTGCGGCTGGGGTTGGCATCGTCCCCCACTCCTCCTGATGTCGAGGGGAAATGGGCGAGGTTTAGAACTGTGGCTCATGCAGCTGCAATGGCTGCTTTGGGTACATGGTCCAGACCTCCTCAGAGACCCTGGCTGACAGAGGAGGTGTTCAGGCTGGCTGAGAAAAAGCGACAGGCCCACTCTCATCGTCTACAGCATCCCACAACAGAGAATGAGGAGGCTTACCGCAGCCTTCGCTCGGAGGTTCGGAGAGCCGTGAGGCGCTGCAAGGATGGTTGGTCGTCGCGGGTTGCTGAGGAGATGGAGTCTGCCTCAATGGCCCGCGATCACAAATCTCTCTTTAATTCCATAAAAAAAGTTACCTGCAGTGCCACACCTATTACCATCATTAGAGGAAAGAACGGTGATCCAATTTCCCATCCCCAGGAACAGGTTTGCAGATTTGCTGAGCATTTCTGTGGGGTCCTGGGGGAGGGGAAATCCCACAGCCTGGAAAACATCTTGGGACAGAGTGGGGACCCTGCTGAGGCTGCGGTGCCTCAAATATTGGAAGAATAAGTCACCCCCTGTGAATGGCTGGCTGAGGTGCCATCTGTTGAGGAAGTACTGAGGGCGATCCAGAGCCTGAGACCAGGAAAGGCACCAGGCAGAGATGATCTCCCAAGCGATATGCTCAGGGAGGGTGGCGTTTGTGCACAGACTGCACTACATGACATCATAACAACAATCTGAACCACTGGATGGGTTCCGCGGGATTGGAAGGATGCCCTGGTGGTCCCCCTCTTTAAGAAAGGGGATCGCACAGACTGTAATAACTACAGGGGCATCTCACTCCTCAGTGTGCCGGGAAAGGTCCTGGCAAGGATTATTCAACATCGCCTTGCCAGACATGCTGAGGAGAGGCTTGCAGAGCCCCATTGTCGTTTCAGGAAAGGGCGGTCCTGCACAGATGCCATATTTTCTTTCCGTCTGCTGCAGCAGAGGTGTAGGGAATTCCAACAAGACCTACATCTCTGCTTTATTGACCTGGTCAAGGCCTATGATATCATCAGTAGGCTTGGGCTCTGGGTTGTTCTTCGTGCTTTCGGAGTCCCTGACCCATTGCTCACGATCATTAAGGACCTTCATGATGTTGAGTGGGCCCGGGTAAATCTACGTGTCCGGGAATCGGAGCCATTCTCTGTTCACTGTGGGGTGCGACAGAGATGTCCTCTGGCTCCCACATTATTTACCATCTATTTCGACCGTAGTTCGTGAAGCCTTCAGAAATTTTCATTTGGTGTCGATACAATGGGAGGCTGATTGATGCTCGGTTACGGTCAAGGGATGGCTACCTATTGCTCAACCATGTTATAAATGCCAATGATCTGGTAATTGCTGCTCAATCAGATGAGGAGTTGGAGGCGCTCCTGCTGAACCTGGAGCTTGCCACTAAGAGGTGGGGACTTACCATCAGCCCCACCAAAACTAAGCACTTGCCTGGGTATTTTGTACTATTGGGTCATGTAGCCCGCATGCCCAGCCACCGCATGCCTAAACAGCTTTTGTTCGGCCGGATCAAGGGGGCTAAACAGGCGCGGCACGGGCTAGAGAAGAGATGTAGTGATGTGGTACAGGAGGATGTGGAGCTGAGTGGACTTGCCGATGACTGGTACCAGCGGTGTCAAGATCGGCCTCTGTGGAGGAGGCTCGTGGAGGACGCTACTGGGCAGTTGGAGGCAGTCGCCCTCCAACAACAATGGAGGGTGGAGGAACGACGCTCACAATAATGAGCGGAGCGCCGGGTGGCTAAAGCACAGAAAGTTGGCACAGTAGGGAGCACAGGTGGTGCATCAGCCAGTCATCTCAGTCATCTCAGTAAGTCGACCCGTGGCACCTGGGTCTGCCCCGTGACCTCCTGCCAGCAGGCGTTCGACACTTCACGTGGCCTCAACATGCACATAGCCTTGCACAAGGTTCGTGGTGACGTCACCGCCACTTAGTGGCGAATGGTGGTAGGAATGATAGCGTAGCAATTAGCGCGCTGCACTACGCTGCAAACCCGAGTTGGATTCCCGCTCACGGCCAACACCAGTGGCGATTATCTAAATCAGTCCTGGTCCTCCCCTCGGTCGACTCGGCCTCAAATGATTACCTCGTGCGATGTGTCAACATCGCCACTGGGGAGACAAAGGCGGGTGTGGTGCTGGCCACCCACCCCTTCATCATCCATGCTGGCCCTCATAGGTGCTCGCTAACAGCACTTGCCCCAACAGCCTGTTAGGCTTACATGGGGAATCTTTTTTCGTGAAGACAATTAATTGGATACATCAATCGAGAGGCGAGCAAGTTCTTAACGTTTGTATCCACATGCAAGCTTCAACTCCTACAGAACGCAATTGTTTGAATGTGGCAATCGTAGAGCAATTTCAAGGTCACAGATTCTCATCAGCAGGATGAGGCTTCACAAACGAATGGCACTGGTTACCCTTGTATTTTTTAAGGAAAGGGGGAAGGGTTTGGACTAGTTTACTTCCTGGGAGATGCTCACAGCAAGTTGTGCCTCACATTGGTGCTTGGTTGGCTGCTCTTGCCATTAGAATTTGTGAGGAGTATTTAATTTAGACTTGACTTGTCGTCGCGGTTCTGTCACAGCGAGCTGGACCCCGCTCCAAACCCTCCCACGTTCTCCGCTTACGTGATTCGTGCCTCCATGGAATACCTGGGCAAGTGCCACGGCGGCGTTGGCAAGAGTCTCATTGGACACCTGGCACGGACGCCGGTATGAGTTCAAATCCCAGTCCTGGTCGGTTTAGCCTCACGTTTATCAGCACTTCCTTTGTCATTGTCATCAACAGTAGCAGCGTCATTCTGTATTATCGGAATTATCAAGTCATCCTCATCATCGTCATCACTAGCACAGCAGCATTATCATGCATTCATCATCAGCAGCATCATCTATCAGGAACATTGTCATCGCTATAATCTTCATCAGCAGCATAATCACTTTCATTACCGCCATTGTCAGCGTCAGTTGCTGCAGCATCATTATCAGCACCATCACTACTTTCATCATCATCAATAGCAGCAACAAATTCAACACCATTATCATTAATATAATCTATTCTATCAGCTTTGTTGCCACCATCATCATCACTTACCATTACCACTATAGTTATCTTTTTTTTTGTAAATTTTCCAAATGTTATCTCGAGCGTGCTATCGGGTCTTGTTATGAGAAAAAGTATCCATTTGGCAGATCTACCTCGAAGGTCCCTTCAAAGTGACCTCTGGTTCACACAATCGGAAGCTACAGAGAGTAATGTTCATCACACGACGGTCAAGCCGATATGTTTAATTCTCAAAAGCTGAAACTACATTTTATTGCAAGATTTTATTTAATGTCACGAGTTTTTTTTGTGCAGTCTTAGGTTAACCCAGCTGACACCATGAGCTCCCTACACTTGCAAACCCCGTTTAATCAGAGGCAGCGGTCGGCATACGAATCCAAGATCTCAACACTGTTAGCTCAGCACTCTTGACCTCTACACAACCTTGTGATCTCCACTATAATAATCATCGTCATCGTCGTCAGTGCATGTCGCCTTGGAGTTTGCGTGTGACACCACTTTTCTCTCCGCTTCCGCACCCGTAGGACTCCATCCAGAAGATCCTCCTGGCCGTCGGGCAGCAGGTACAGCTGGCCACGGATGCCCACGAGCGCCACCGGGTCCTCATGATGTACCGCCTGTTCATCGGGCACCTGCTAGGGGAGCTGCAGGATGGCCTCGGCGGCTCGGGGGCCTTCGTGCTGCGCGACGTCATCTACACTCTCGTTCACCTCATCAACAGCCGGTGCCGCCGCAACTCCGTCAGCTCACTCTCCCATGGCGGGGGGGGGGGGGGGGGGGTGGTTCGCAATGGCCTTGTCAGAGGCACCTCGGCCTGCATTGCCGAGATACTGGGTTCAGGCACTGGAGTGATGTGACAATTTCCTAGGTGGGCTCTTATTGGCCGTGTCGGAGACGCAGAGCCAGCACTGCCGTGATTCTGCGTTGAAACCCCCCCAGGATTACGTGTATTTCTCAGAGGTGCTTATAATGGCCATCTTGTGTATGGCTGCATGAAAAGCAACTTGTATGTCTATGTTCAGATAATTTAGCCAGGAATGTCTTCAGTTGTGCTCGATGGTCTAGACTATTTCCACAATCACACACTGGGCTTTATTTGAATTTCCACTTGTTTAGGTAGTGGGTGGATCTGGCTTGCGACATCCAACACAAATCCAAACTTTATTCAATGGACCGATACATAACCCCCCCCTCGTCCCACTAATTATTGGATGTCGAGATGCATTTTAGTTTAGAGACAAATGGGATATCACAGTTTGGATTTCTCACGGTACTGGATTAAAAAACAGCACCCACTCTCTTAGTTAAAAAGGGGCTTTCTGTGCGGCGTGTATTTAACCCATCAGCCCCAACGTCCAGGATGAAACATCTGCTCGGAGTTTCAGCCTTTGCCTTGACCTCTTGAACGTGTCCTGCCGTGCTGGAGTCAACTGGAGGCCAGAGGCTCTGGCTCCACACCTCCACGCCATTGTCGCTGCCCTCCTGCCACTCATTACCTGGACATCCCCACCACAACAATCATCATCAACATCTTCATCGACATCGTCACAAAAAAAACATGGTTACGCAAGTGACATCGCAAAGCAGGTCAGTTTAGCGTCATTGCGAAGTGTCACTTTGCGTGAATTGCACAGGGAGTTGGCACCCGTGGGTCGTGTGCTGTGCAATTGGTTCTGTCTGTCTAGGTTAAAAGACCTTGCTGTGCTACACTTAATGGCAATTGGTATCTGAATCTGGCTTTGGGCCTCCCATAGGCCTCTACATGTACAGCTGTTTTCAGTCCACTGATGGATGAGGGCCTCCCCACTCCTGGAGAGTATTGGACTACACTTCACTTTGCTGTTCAGTGTGGGTAGGGGAAGTCAGAGATCAAAGAAGTATGGCACAACAATGCATTTTCTGCACTTTCCTATGCTGGCCACCACATAGGCCCACAGCCCCTTTGCCAACATCGTTATGCATTACAGTCGCCCATCCATTCACTCAACCCAGGCTCAACCCCGCTTTGCTTCTGATATCTCACACGATCTGGTGCATTACGGGGGATTTCGTCATAAGCCCCATCAGGTATATTCTGCCTGAATTGAGTAACTGATGCAGCATTATTGTAGATGTCAGCGCTGGAGAAACAAAGGTGGCCAAGCACGTGGCCATGCCACCCCATCGTAGCGCTTGGAGTTGTCAGAGTGATGTTCTTGCTGCATTGTAAACCCAAATTATCTGGCTTCAATTTCCAGCCCTTTACAACATCAGTATCGAGTTGTTACCTTAACCTCCCTTTGGCCTTCCCTAGGTTGACTGAGCCTTAAATGAGTATTCGGCATTGTATATGAACCTCAGTACTGGGGAGACAAAGGGAGGTGGGCATGGTGCTGTCCACACCACCCCTTCATGTGCCGTTACGGCTGTAATTGGTGTTCACCAATGGCATGTGCCCTTCAATCTTACGCAGACTCATTGGGAATCATCGTGTCTCAGCAGGCCTTGGCTCTGTTGGACTTCTTGGTGATCAACTGCCAGGCTGTAGAGCCTCTATCCCGTGCTCTAAGCCGTCTGGACCCCTTCCCACACCAACAAACCCTGGAGCACCTGCGATTGGCCCAGGAAAGGGTTAAATACCAGCACGGAAAGCTGTCCCTGCTGCAGGTGAGGTGAAGGTGTAACCTGTCACATCCAAGCTTTGTATGGTTTCTTGTTCTGCCTCGATTGTACAGTTATCTTTGCTGCATCAGCCTAAACGTAACATCGGCATTCTATTTCCATATCATTCCCATGTATCTTTAATTAATTGATTCTTATACACGTGATTTGATGCACATATTGTGAGTGTAAGATGTGATTTTAATCAACAAATAAGTGCATTCCTAGCCAAATACTCTCAGATGTGGGATGTGCACATGCACGTTAAAGATCCCTTCACATCATTCACAAGAGTAGACCTTTGTATGCCAGTGTCATGTTCCAGAAAAAAATAATTGGAATATACAGAGCAATCATTGTCACCTGCAAAAAATTGGCAGGACCTTCCTGAAATAGAGTCATGAGACTTGGGCTTTTATGGGTAAACAAGCATAATAATAACAACAAAATAATATTAATCCTGCTTTTCACACTCACCACGTTATTCTTGCCAGGAGTTGGAGCACTTCCTGTCGGCGGGCGTCTGGCAGGGCCTGGCCGGGGCACGCGTCGAGGGTGTTCGTCACCTGCATGTGCAGCTGGCGCAGCGCAAGGAAGAGCTGTGTGGTCTGCTTGCCGCCCAGAAAGGTCAGCACCACTCTACATATGTATGTATGTTGAACTTCTTTCGCACAAATGAACCACAGTAGCTGCTGATCTCGTCAAGGAGCATAAACCATCACGCGAACTCCAGGCAAGCCTCGCAGCGGCTTTTGGCTGGCCATCGAACAAAGACGGTCACTGCAATCTATATTGAAAACTCATTGCTTTAGAACTGCTTTTTGTGTTTAGTTTGTTGTCTATCCCCCGCACCTCCGATCAGCAAGGTTGGCTACATACGGTGCGAAAGAAGTTCAACATACGGGCTGTTGTTGCAGATGCCTTGGAGGGTGGCGTGCTGATCCGTTTAGTGGGTGGCCTGGTGCGCATGAGCCGGACTGCCCTGGCCTCTCCAACCGGGGCTGAAGATACTCTGGGTAACTCATCCTCGTGATCATCGCCACACAACACAGCGTAGTTTAATGTTGAGTTGAATTAAAAGTATATCTCGAGGTGGTTGTGTCGCCCAACATAAAATCCATCAAACTGTTTCCCTCCTCAAGGAAGCATTGTGCGGTGATCATCTCTCTTAATGCCAATTAGCCAGTGGTGGAAATTCTACATTTCTCTGGCAGGGACCTGTCACTCGATAGGGTTCTTCTTTTCGGTGGTATAATTTGAGCATCAATCATAATTAAATACGGGCATTTGAAAATCCAGTTGATGGCTTCAGGAGATAATGAGTGTGCACCACTCGTACGACCTTGAAATGCTCGTAATGGACAGGAGTTTATAGTGTGTTGTTTGGCACGGCGCGGCGCAGTCGCCCACTGGAGAATCTTTGGTGAGCAATTAATAACTTCCCTTGAAGGGATACTTATTGTAACAGCCATGGGGGAGAGCTTGGGCTGTCGAATTACCAACCAGGATTTGAACTCGGAAGTTTAAAATGGTCAGTCGTGTGATCAAACCACAGGTTTATAGTTCTCATGTCATTGCACTAAGCCCACACCTCTGAGGTTCTGTGTTATGCTCCAAGTCAGCCGTGCTGTTTCTCTTGTAGGGACTTGGTAAAGACCGAGTGCACAATTGATTGATTGCATACACAAACTTTTGTGAAAAATTAGTTGCGTGTTCAATTTGGCTTTTTATCCATAGAAGCTTCTCAAGACCACTTCCCTAACTCACCCACACATTCAATTGCACATCCACCTCACATCACTCACCCTCATTCACTAACTCCACACCCCAGTAATTCACACGCTTACTCATCCATCCAGCCACTCACTTACCTATCCTTTGACTCAATCATTTACACACCTACCTACCCACTAACTCACTCATTCAATCACCTTTACACCCATCCAGCCACCAACCCACCCACCCACTTAACTAACCATCTACTTAACTAACAATGTATCTACCTAGCAATTAAATGTCTTACTGTTTCGCTTGACAGCTCAGTCTCTCACTCAGTCACCCACCCACCAATCTAATCACCCACTCATTAAAATCCAGAATCAATTGTTTATTCTCCAAAAATACAGAGGCTGTGGCTGCCTGCCTTGGCGAGCTGGGTCCCGTCGCTTTCTCCACCACGGCCCTGGAGAGGGATACTGAGGGCCAGCCCTGGGGTCTGTCGACCTCCATCACCCCCCAGGACCCCGGATCCATCACCACACAGTGGACGGACATGGCCGTGGCACTGCTGAACGACTCACTGACTGACAGCAGGTGGTGACACTGCCTCATGACGACTTCGTATATTTAATTCTGCTCTTGTAGTTGGGAGTGATTAGATGGATGGCTGTCTGAGTGGGTGCCTGGATGCCTGGGTGTGTAGATGTATGGTTGAGTGTGGAAGCGAGTGCATTTGTGGTTAAGCCAGTAAATTTGTAAGTGAGCATTTGGGTATACGCTTGACTGAACGAATGTTAAGTTAGTAGTTGAGTGAGTGAGAGAATGAGTAGTTGAATGTGTAGATCATTAAGTGACTCAATGGTACCAATTGTCAGTGCAAGTAAATTTTAACTCAACATTTCTCTGCTGCTCATGCTACCACTGCCATCCCTTCCGTCGTCACCACCGCTCGCTGTTTTCCATGCCAGTGTGGAGGTCCGAGCAGCCAGCTCCACTTGCCTGAAGGCCGTGCTTGCCACGCGCGCTGGCGCCGAATTCTGGGAACGTCAGGCGGCCCTGCCTGAGACAGAGTTCTTCCTGCAGATCCTCGCGCCCTTTCGCAACCCTAAAAAGAAGGCAAGTGCGGTGTAGCCAGGCAGCTCTTACAGACTTAGCACCATCTCCCCATCTTTACGTTTAGTCCTGAATGAGAATGAACTGGAACGGTGGCGAAGTGATTAGCCGACTACGCTGTAAACCCGGCGATCTGACTTATATTAAATTCTGGCTCGCTGCTAATATCAATGGTGAGTGATATGTGAGCTGATCCTGGACCGATCCCCCGCAACCACCACTGACTTAGCCTGAAAAAGCTTTGTCCAAAAAAAAGTGAATATGTTAAGCTAAAATGCCAGAACACACAGCATGGGGTGTGCACGGACGGAACCCAGAGCCACCACCAAGGCCAGAGTTATGTGTAGGCCTCCTGTACACACTGTAAGAGGAATTAAATACAATACAGCACTGCATAGTAAAGTATATGCTTTTGTATGTTTATCAGAATCTTGATGTGCCGTACTCAACAGTAGCAGGGGAATGTCACTCCTGTGACAAGACATTTGTTTCCCACTGCAATTTGCATTCTGCTACGATGATGAGCTATGCATTGCTTTTAGGCCTATAGGACACATGGCACTTATATATCTGTCTTAGCCTAATTGTCGATAGTCCTGCTTACATCACTGTTGATAAACAGTGTTCAAATGCATCTCCAATCCCAACAGTTTATAAACTATCACAGTGCAAAATACTCGTATACATTTTATGTTAAATTTTATAAATGCCTTCACTGCTCTGAAAAAGGCTACTGCCCAAAACGACCAGCACACAATACATGTTTGACAGTGTTAACATAACAGTGAAACTTCTTCATTTCTGTTTTCATGCCTGATTTGACCCTTGACCCCCCAGTGCTTGGAGCTGCCGCCCCTGCCACTGGACGGCCGCCCCTCTAAAGAGCTGGAGAGTGATACATTATGGGAGCCGGACGGTGGTAGCCATGATCTGTGGCTTAAAGGCTTAACGTGTGCACTCATCCGAGGCGGTGCAGCTCGCTGCGACGTCTTGCGTCTGCTCGGGCCCATCTGTGAGGTAAGGGGCTCTGTGTGTTTACAGCCAGCTTGTTTATTGAGCCGTTCGAGTGAGTTATCAGGTGGAAAACTTGCCTGTTCTAGATCTTCTAATTTCCGAGAAAATTAAGCACACGTTTTCACCAAGATATTCTCATATGGTGGTGGTGGTGATGATGACCCTTCTGCACTCTGGCCCTGCATGCGTGTGTGCTGCGGCTGTAGGCCAAGGCGGAGGTTTGCGAGCGAGTGCTCCCACTGCTGCTGCACGATGCTCTCCTGGGCGACGCTGAGGTCGGTGGCGGCTGGATGCTTCTCATCTCGAGCCACCTCATGAGGGTCCTTCAGCCCCCACGGCGGTCCTCGGCACAGGGCTCCTCCAGGCCCACCACGCCAATGCTCGCTGCTGGAGGTGGGGCCACCCTCCTGCTTTGTGCGATGAGCTATGGATTCTCGATTCTATCTGTGCAATTTTTTTAGTGTTACCCCCTAAGCGTATGCATGGGTTTTCTGCAGCTGCTCCAGTTTCTTCACGATACTAAACACTCATAAGTGGATTTGGTCAAACATCCCAAAACAGGGGGTCTTCCTTAAAAAGAGCCCTGAATATTAGTGGGGCTTTTTCTCATCTTAATGGGTTCATACTTTGTAAGTGATTGGACCTATTGATTGATTGAATGAAAACAAGTGTATTAATTGCTGAATGTGTCGAAATGCTGTTGCTATTGTATGTGAAGCTCTTCTGTGCCGATGTGGTCACCGTGCGATCTTTTTGAAGATGCCTCGGGGGTACATGTGGACCCGGTGTCTGTGCGTTCCGTCCTCCGGGCCATCGGCTACCTGCGTCGCCACCAACGGTAATGTCGTACACTCATAGTGCGCGCACACACACACACACTGCTTACACCACACACACCACACTCTTTACACACACTGCTTACACCACACACACTGCACTCAATACACACACACACACTGCTTACACCACACACACCGCACTCCATACACACACACACTGCTTACACCACACACACCGTACTCCATACACACACACACACCACACAAAGACAAGGATCCCCCGTAAAGCTTATAACAGACTGTTAGTGCAAGTTCTGTTAGCGAGCACCTAAGAAGGCCAGCACGGCACACGAGGAGGTAGGTGGTCAGCACCACAGCCTTTGTCTCCCGAATGGCTATGTTTACACACCGCACCAGGTACTCAATTTGAGGCTTAGTCGATGTAGGGGAGGCTCCGGACCGGTTCAGATAATCGTCACTAGTGTTGGCCGTGAGCGGGAATTAAAGTCGGGTCACCGGGTTCGTAGCGCAACATGCTAACCAAAGGACCACCACTCCCCGCCACACCTACAACATACACGCACCTACCACATCACAACTATTCTCACTACACGCAAAGTTGTGGTCGTTGCTGCCGTGGTTGCGGCCATGTGCATCTGCGTGTGTCAGGCCCAACTCGCAAACGCCCTGGGACAACAACTTCTGGCTGAGTCTCAACCACCTGCAGGTGGCGAGCGCGGCACAGGCGTGCGGGGCACACTTCACCGCACTGCTCTACGCCGAGATCTATGCCGGCACGCATCGGTACAGCCACAGCACTCGCTCGCTTGCTCAGCCTCGCACACGCGGCAATAGACGGATCAATGTATATTCAGCCAGGTGGATGGCTGTATATGCAATTGGATGGATGGATGGGTGATTATTTGGATATATTGACTAGAAAAGAAGGAAAAGACGCGTACAGACAGAAGGATGAACTGATAAATGAATGGACTGAATCATGGACAGGTATATTTATGAACAGTAGACCTCTAATAATTCACTTCCTGTCTTGCCTGCAGCAATTCAATGAAGTGCCATCATTCTGGTTCATGACTAGATTAAAGAATCAATTCTTTTTTGTCTCCTTTTTACAGTGTAATTTGTAAAGTTTTGTTGCACCATTGAGCAAATGTAGCATGAACATATTATATGTACTGCATTTGCATTAAATATAAATATTCAATTATTACATAGACAAACAGATGTGTTTCTTGAGCATAAGATTTGATTTTAAGTGATGAATCGATGTTTTATTATATGCATAATGGCCAGGCAGGTGGACGTAGATTGATTGATCAATGGGTAGATAAATTATGGATGTATGGATATGCCATTTATAGAACGAAGAATTGCCTGAAGAATGGGAGGTAGGATAGAAGGACAGAACGGTGGATGGGTGGATTGATGGATGGACAAAATAACGGACAAACATATGACAAACGGATGGATGGACAGATATGCATACACAGAATAGTGAATGATGGGTGTGGAGGTGGACATACTGATAGATGGGTGGACACACACGTAGTTGGATAATTGGACTGATCGACAGATGAACTGACGGATGGATGCACAGAGAGGTGGGACAGGTGAAAGACAGTCAAGCATCTGTGATCACATTACTCAACCACCTCACCATGTCATCCACTCCTGCCATCGTTGATGCAATCTCAGGCCCCAGGATGGCAGCGGTGATTTCAACGGCCGTTCGAGCCATGATGAGGACAATCACAAGTCGCTGCTGGAGAACATCAGCGAGACAGGGATGGATGAGGCGAACATCAGCCTGCAGGTCATACGATGAGCATAATGTGTGCTTCGTGAATTGGATCAGTAAACGTATAAGGATGAGGATTTGTATTAATATGGTGCTTGCTTAAATGCCTCGGCAAATCAAAACGCCTTATATCACATGTCGTATCAGCCATGTGAATGCCATACTGCAGTCTTACCAATGTGACCCACAGTGGCAGCTGTCGCTTTTGTAGCACAGATTTTACACAGTACCAGCCTGCACGTGGGCATCAGTCTGCCAGTCAGGGGTGACGCTGCAATGTGGCTTTATCCACTTAATAAATTTGCAAGCAATTGATCACATTTTCCAAATTTGCACCATAACGCCAGCAACAAATGGACTACTCTTGTTCGAGTAACAGCGGGATCTTTAACGTCCGCTACAAAGCATATGGCGCAGATTTAATGATAATACACTCGATATTGTTTGAATATGCTTTTTGATAATGGCTGCCATTAACCTCTTAATGTTACGTGATTACTCAAGTGACATTACATGCAAAAATTTTTTTTTTAAACGTACGGCCCTTTGTCACTCCACTGCTGGATGAAAGCCTCACCACGACATGTCGGTCATGGGGCTTTTTTGATCATATTTCGCAAGGCTGGTCAGAATGGGTTGGTGAAGAATGGCAAACCAATATATTTTTTTAATAGTTTTCTCTTTTTACATGTTATTATCGATAACACTAACACACTCAAATTAACAACCCTGGTTCGAAAATGAGGTTTTTGTTTCCACCGTGTGACTCCAGGATCTGCTGCTGGAGGTTTATAGAAGCATCGGGGAGCCCGACAGCCTGTACGGCTGCAGGAGAGGTCACCCTGTCCATGCCCTGGCCAGGTGATTTCCTCCTTTCCATCATCGAAGCGCTCATGCGAGCACATGCAAATTCTGGCACCATGCGTGTTCTTTTTACTGCTTTCCAACGAAGGTTGAAAGTGTTAATGAATTAGCCATACCTGTCTGCCTGTCTGTCTCTCCAACTATCCATCTCTGTCTATCTATATTTTGAACTACAAAACCTTGCTGATCTCGTCAGGAGCATAAACCAGCACGCTAAATCTGATCATTTTCATAGCGGTTTTTGGCTAGCCATCGAATAAAGATGGCCACTGTATCATGCGGTTTCAGATGCACTTCTACGGGGACAGTCTGGAACACCCGGTATTAGGAAGCCAATGGAGCTATACACTTTTAAATCTAGATTTAAAACTAATTTCTTTAGTACTGCTTTTTGTTTAGTTTGTCCTTCCCCTGCACCTCCGATTAGCACCGTTGACTACGTACAGTGCGATAGAAGTTGAACATACATACATCTGTCTGTCGGTCTGTAGCTGTGGATCATGATACATCTCGTAAAGATGATCGAATGTAAATCACGTGTTTTAGTTTAAAGTTCATTACTATTTAGGACTTGCGCTATAGAAAACTGGCCAAAACGGAAGGTGCCATTGTTATTATTGCAAATTAATACTTTCGTGGACAAATACATATTGCAAAGCATTACGGAAGCCATGCACTTTCATGAGTTTGTTTCATTATTTCTCATTAATGAAGATTCCAACCCATGTCAAACTGGGTCACGCAATTATAATACTAATTTACAAGAGAGTCAATTTGAGATTGAGACTTCTAAGATAAACCTTGAAATTGATTCTGATTTCCTCATACTTGTTTATATGTGTGTCGTGTGTGTGTGTGCCCTGCTGAAGGGTGCGCACCTATGAGCATGAGGGGGAGTGGGAGAAGGCACTGGGAGTGTATGACCTTGACACGGCATTGCCCATGGGCGTCAGGCAAGCGGGGATCTTACAGGTACCGGTGCCAAATGGCATTTCAAATAAAAATTCCCCCCCCCCCGCCCCTACCCACTTCATTGACCTATACACTTTGGATCCTGTAAGTGCTGGAACTGGGCCTCACTTCGCATTAGAAGTTCCCCTGCTGCTTCACCTCCACATTCACCTCCACATTCACCTCCACATTCACCTCCACATTCACCTCCACATTCACCTCCACATTCACCTCGGATCCTGCAGGAGCACACTTTGGACTCCATTCACAATAAAAGTGTGCCCGTGCACATTTTAGTCATCTGTTCATCTCAGATCCTGTAAGTGCTGGTGCTGGACCCCGCTTCATATTAAAAGTACCTTCTATTCACTTTACCCATCCCTTCACCTAGGAAAGTGTTGTAGGCTGCTGCGGGGCTATGCTGTCAGCAAAGAACAGTGTAGAAAAATGCATTACACTGCCTACACTGCCCACCTTCATCAACCCACACCAACCAGTGTGGTGAAATATGGTCAAATGACTCCCACAACCCGCACTGCGGGATAAGGCCTCATTCAGCAATGGGTTCATAATAGGGCTATCCATGTACATCATAAAGACAATCGTCATCCCCTGATGACGATTGATTGTGTTGCGATCGAAACGTCGTTATATTTTATTATTTTTCTAACTACGCGGCTTTACTTATGATTGCACTCTTGTTGGAGATCATCGACAGAGTGATGCTGTTATTTACCATAAGGAAGCCTAAATTAGTCTCAATACTTGCTGTCACGATGTTGGTTCGGCCGACTGAGCATTGTCGCTCTTTTTCAGAAGCAAACTGGCCACAAATGAAGTGGCTTATCATGTGGAATTTATCGCATCCAAATACTCTCAATGCATGTTTCTAAAAGTGGAGGGAAAAACCGAAGAACATGCAAACTGCAAACATTTGTGTGTCAGGGTCGGGATCGATCGAACCCATAACTTCCTGCATACCAGGCAATGGAGTTAACATCTCGCCACCGTGGCAGGGGAGCCATGCAATGGAACATTTGTCCAGTATTGTTAACGAGAATTTGGCCCGTGCAAGGAAGCTGGAGTACCCGGTGCGTGTTCACTGGGAGCAGGCGCTGCAGAACTGCGGGCTGGACTTGGTGCTGCAGCGATACCTTCGAGGCCTGGAGGAGGAGTCGCCCGAGTGCAGCGCAGACCTAGAGGAGATGCGCTACCAGGCAGCCTGGCGAGCGGGCCAGTGGGACCGCCAGCCCAGCTCTCGGTGGCACTCGCACACACTCGCACACACTCGCACACACTCGCACACACTCGCACACACTCGCACACACTCGCACACACAAGATCAGCTCATGTGCAGTAATGGAATCAATTATTGCACCACGGGACAATGAGAGATGGAAATGGCGTGGGGAGACCTTAATCCAGCAGTATGATGGTTATTTCCATTGGTTCTTATAATGGCGATGTCATCAACTCACTCGAGAGGGCTTATATATTGTCAATTAGTTTTTATGCCTTAATTTCTCCAATTCAGTTTACAGAAAATATCTTATGTTGATGTAGCGTTGGTAAGAGCAAATCTGTTTGCCTGACTCCTCCTTTGATTTGTATTTTGTTACTTTGTTCATGCAGCCTCGATATAGCTGTTCCATCTTACAAATGGTTTTGATCATGTCTATGTATGTTTAACATGTAGGCTTTCGCGACCAATATCCATAATACAGGTGTTTTGGGTTAGATTGCGTAAATATATAAATGTGTCGTTAAACCCGACCACCATCCGACACAAACCTTACTAATTGGCTGTGTTGGGTGGTGGCGGGTTTAACGACACATTTCTATATTTACGCGATCTCACCCCAAAAACCTGTATTATGGATGTCTATGTGTTTTATTAATGCCTCGGTTTGTGAGAGCTTAGATGACTAAATTAAAAGTATTCACTGAAAATAGAATCAAATGCCCTTACATAATCTCTGAAAGGCCAGGCATAATTGTATTTGTTATTGATTTGTGTTATCTACGATCTGACGAATGGTAGGTTTGTGTCATGGTAGAAAACCCTTTTATAAATCCAGCTTGCTTATATGATTGGTTGGTCTTTCAAACGTCTATTATTCGTAATATTTGTTTTGGGTTAGATCGCGTAAATATGTAAATGTGTCGGTTTAACACGTAGGCTTTCGCGACCAGTATTATTCATAAAGGTTTTTGGGTTAGATCGCGTTATTTATAAATGTGTCGCAACCCTCCACCACCCGACACGGCCAATCAGTAAAAATGTGTCACGTTGACAAAAGACAAATAGTTCACTACTTTAGCCCACCGATGTGTTGAAGAGTGAATCCACAACATTTTCAATTTGAGTACGACGTTTCGCTGGAAATTACATCCAGCATCCACCTGCTTCCTGTCTTAAATAGTGCAGGATGACGTCATCATTGTTGAACCCCATCAGGATTCGAGATCAGAGGCGGGGGTGTATGCAATTATGTAATAGATCAATAATCAGCCACTTAGCATGTGATGCACCTGTAAGGAATTGTAATGTGTTGTGTTTGACTTAATAATACGCTTCCAGGCTGTGCCGAGTCTGTAGCTATCACAGCGGTTAAAATGATTTTAATTATTCTCAATTTCAATTGATTCTCTAACTAATATTGGCCAGTAATAATTAGTTCTACATAACACTTCAACGTTATCAAAATCAATTGAATGTCCTTGTTGGCAAGCATGCTCTGCCACTGCTGACAGCTGTGTTTAGGAGAATTTAATGTTCCTCTGGTGTTCTTCTAGTCGATATAGAGGCGTTTCTTTATAAGGAACGAAACAGGCGGAGGACTTCTCCACAAATCTGCCGCCTGATGAAGCTTGTTGTAATTACTGACGAAACGTCGTACTCAGATTGTAAATGTTGATGCTTGGCTCTCCAGCACACCGGTGTGCTGTACTAGTAATGAATTGGCACGTTCTGTTTACGCGACAACCCTTACTAGTTGGCTGTGTCGGGTGGCGTTGGGTTTTAACGACACATTTATATATTTACGAGATATAACCCAAAAAACCTCTTATGTATGATATTGGTAGCGAAAGTGTACGTGTTTAACTGTCTTATTTAGTTCCATGTAGCTGTGGTGCAGTGGTTAAAACGCTATGCTCTAAACCCTTGAGTTCAACTCCTGGTCACGGCTTGGCGAGTTACATCTGGGTTCCTTCTCACCAACCTACACTGAACCAGCGTGGTACACTATGTTCAAACAACCCAACGACACACATGGTGTGAGGAGGTTTCTTTCAATACACTGTTGGATAAAGTGCTGTAATTATAAATATGTGTTTGATGGGAGTAAAAGCCCCTGCGGGCTGTAATGTTAACCGGCGGGGGGCGGGAGGGGTCTTGGTGTGCATGTGTGTGTGATCAGCAGGTCAGAGCCCCGCAGCCTGGGCTACCACGAGTGCCTCTACTACAGTCTCCAGGCTCTGCACGACCGCGAGTTCAGCAGCTTCACCCAGCACCTGGCAGCAGCACGGTGAGACGCACAGCCCACACGGCGGCCACAGCCGGTGTGAGATGGTATTTACATGCCGGGGTCAGAATACTACACGTGGTTAGGGTATCTGCCAAATGGTTTCTTACAACCTTATTAAAATGGTCTCTTGTTTCTATCAAGGAGCAACACTCATAGGCTAACTCCCAATATCATGGGAAAGGAGTGGAAATCATTTATCAGACTGGCACCACCACTGCCAGCATACGTATTTCTTCTACTAAAGTGCATTCGGGCCACTGCTGCTGCAGCAGCCCTGCCCTGACAGCAAGTGTATCATCACAATCGCAGCTCCAGATATGCAGTGTACTGGGTGCTTTATGCATTAAAACATACATGAATTATATTTGGAATTTAGATTCAATGCTTAATTATATGCAGAGCAGTTATTGTACGGCTTGAGTTTGCATTACAGAATAACAGTTGTAGCGTGCATGGAGAAGGAGCCCGCGACCCATGTTCCTTGGGACCCCCGAGGGCGCGTTTGCTAACCAGCACCGCTAGACTACAATGGTTATATCTTTGTTTTGGAATGTAATGTGCAGTGCTTTGTCGATCCACTTACCTGGAGCGTGTTGCCGCACCGCCTCGTGCCAGGGTGCAGGAGATGCGTGAGCTGAGCGCCCTCAGTCTGGAGTCGGTGCACGCCGTGTACCCGGCGCTCTGCCGCCTGCGCTCGCTCAGCGAGATGGAAGCCGCTGGACAACGGCTGTACAGGTTTCGCTCGTTTCCATTTCATTATTCAGTTGTCTTATTCCCCCAGTTATGGTTCAGTTGCGTTGTTATTGGTGGCGGGTTTTTTTCATGAGACATAGAGCTGTTTCAACGTGGAATGCTCACGGCGAGTCTTGGGATGTTAGTCTAAGCTCTGTTCGACAAAGATAATGAACAATGCACATGTATAATGATATCTACTGTTGGATGGAATCTCCCCATGGGTTATTTGACCATTATTCACCATGCTATTCAGTGTGAGTTGTTGACGGCCCTTATAAGGCACCACGTAACCCCTCAAGCCCGATGACCTGGTGGTCAGCAATCGAAGCTCTATCCAGATGCAACCTGACTTAACTTCCCAGATCTGGTGAGATTGGGTGCATGCTTGGTGATTTAGTCACAAAATACTTTTTGTGCCTTCCTGTGCGCAGTATGTTGCACCCCTTGTGTTTTGTTTAATTAGTATTTTCTCATTTGTATTCGTACACTGCTCGAATTTAAATCCACCTCATAATTATTGTTGATGTGGCAACGCAAGCGCTGGGCCCGACGTGGACGCGCTGGCGCCGCTGCAGGACTCGTGGCGCCAGCAGCTGCTGGTGCTGCGGGAGACCGACTTCCGCTACCAGGAGCCCGTGCTGTCGCTGCGCACGGCGCTGCACCGCCAGGCGGCGCCCGAGAGCACGGGGGCCCTCGTCGACCATCTCACGGAGCTGGCGCGGCTCGCACGCCTCGCCGGAAATACACGCGTACGTCCCCCGCGTCTCTGTCTGCCTCCCTGTCCCCGTGCCCTTGTTTCTATGTGTGGCCGTCTCTCTTCCATGTCCATCTCTACATTTGTCACAAAGGGTGTGTCCCTTTGGGGAGTGGTCGTGTCACGGTTAACAGGCTGCGCTACGAACCCGGCGACCCGAACCTGGTCTTGGGTCTCCCCTAGGTTGACTAAGCCTCAAATGACTACCTGGTGTGGTGTGTAAACATCGCCACTGGGAAGGCACTTGCCCCAACAGTCTGTAAAGGCTATATGGGGGATCTTTGTTGTCTGGAGGTTCAACATTCCTACGTCCATCCACCTGTGTTTTGTCTGTTGTGTCCGCATGTGAGTGCCTGGGGGAATCCGTCTTCTATTTTCCATCTGTCTTGCAAATAAAATACCACTACCGTTATTATCTTCACCAACAATCATTAAGAACGATTTTCAACATCGCCCGCATCACTGTCATTATCCATTCCTGTGCTGTCGTACTGCCGTTGAACCACAGGTGTCGGAGAGGGCGATACAATCAATCAGGCAGTGCCCGAGACGCCCACACGGGGTCCATGCTTGGCAGGTGGAGGATGCTGAGATGTTTTGGGCCAAGCAAGAGCAGGGCCGGGCAATGGGCATCATGAAGGGCCTCCTGGGAACACTTAAAGCTCAGGTGCTGCCTCCTTACTCCATGCGACTTCAAAGACACTTAAAGTCCTATAGACAGCAGAGGGGCTAATGGAGCAAAACAACTGTATTAATGAAACGTTAAAAATGGGACAAAGAATCGAATCTTGAATGAAAGCGCGGCTCTAAATGATGACTTGGATCGCTCGTTTGGTGTAATGTTACACCCATTATATTCAACCAATTCCTTAATTATGTTGTATTTTAATATGCAGAATGATAACTAAAATGAGCAGAGGAAATCCCATGCATTTAATGAGAAAAACATTAAAACTGCACTCTATAGACTGCCTGTTAAAAACGTCCCACATTTAATATTCTGTAGGATTAGAATCAAAATGTTACCATTTATTCGAGTCATATGCTTATGATCTACCAATAATACATTTATGCCGATTCAATGAAGGAGAAGGAACAAGACAACACATACGAGGGCAGACGATACGAATGAGACAAACACAAAACAAATGTTGATTTGACTGTTCTAATCTAATCGCAAAATGGTGGGGGGCGGTTGTGGATTGATTAATGTCCAGTTAGCTTGCTCCATGCGGCCTAGTTGCCCGCTCCATGTGGCTTTGCCGTGCACTTGCAGGTGGCAGGCGAGTGTGCGAAGGAGCTGTTGGCACTGTACGCCGAGTGCCTGGGCCGCTATGGACACTGGCTGGCCGAGACGTGCTCGGAGAGCCCCTCCATCATCCTCAGCGAGTACCTCGAGAAGGTGAGGGCCTTTCTTTCAGAATCTGAAAAAAAAATTATACTGGAGGAATCCGTCAAGCTAGAAAGCTCTTTTTCACAGATTTTAAAATACACGTGCAAATATTATGTAGGGGTCGACACACTTTGCTACAATCCCTGCGACAAGTGTTCGATTCCTGGCTACCCATGACATCATTTGAAAATTGGTTTCGGAGCCTGTTGTGGGCCGGCTCTCGGGTACTTGAGCCTTAACTGAGTGCCGGGTGCAGTGTGTGAACGACCGCAATGGTGAAGCACAAGGATGGTTGGGCATATCGCCGGCCAAAATTTCCACTTCGGCTGGCAGTGGCAGCCTCAATAGATGTTTGCAAACTAACTTTAATTATTGCACAATCAGTATCGTTAATTGGGTGAAAATCTCGCAAATATTGTGAATATTTTCCATGATGGTGTTTTGGTGAGAATGGCTGGCATTTTGAGGCATCAAAAAAGTGCAACTATATTCTGCTAACACACACAAACATGCTTCTTTGAATACACTTTTTGCTGACTGTTACATGAGCAACACTATTATTGTATTATTGCATCAGAGGTTTCGTATTATTTAGACTGTCACTATGATATGGTTATGTAAGTGGAAATTATATATGAAGTACCCACCCTATTTCTATGTTACACAATGTTCAGTCAGAAAAATGTATACAAGGTAAAAATACAGCAATTTTAACGGTTTTATATTTTGTTCTCTCAGTTTAGTTGCTACATTTTTTTAGAATGCAACGTTTTCACCATACCTGCATTTCTTGTTTATGGTGTCTCCTCCCTCTCGCATCTTTGCAAGAGTCCCTGGCACCTCCACTTCCCCATCCCTGTGCCGCCCCTCGATGCTCCCCCTCCGTCTGTGCGCCACCCCTCTGTGAAGCATCATCCATCTTCGTGCTGTCCCTCTACGCTGCCTCTTCCACCTTTGTCCCGCCCGTGTATTACTGCCTTCCTGGCACCCACCCCCCTTTGCCCATCGTGCCCGCCTACAGGCGGTGAGCGTAGCGGAGCGTGCGTGGGGCGATGGCAGCGGCGGCAGCGACATGGGCGAGGGCGAGGGTGGCCGCGTGTGCAGGGCGGCGCTGTACCTGTCGCTGGCGCGCTTCGCCGACGCTCAGCACCGCAGCATCGTGGCGTACATGCGCTCGGCCGAGTACGAGAACAAGCGAGCTCTGCTCCGCAAAGCTAAGGAGGACGTCACCCTCTTACAGTCACTCAAGCTGCAGCCATCCAGGTGAGTCGGCTGTGCAGGTGGACGGAGGCGGGTGCTGTGCACCTTGCCAATCGGTCTCTCACTAACAAGTTCCGTTAAGCACACGGTTAGACTGGAAGACCAGTCTCTGCTTGGGTCTTTAGACAATTGACTGAAAGACCAAATCTCTTAGTGGTTTTCAGAAATTTAGCTTAGATGTATCAATATGTAGTGAGCGGCTTCCGAGACACGTCGTGTAGAAGGCTTCTTACTTATTGGGAACACACTGGGCGATACATTTATGTAACGCAGCTACACATAGCCGACCCTATCACACAACCCCATCGTCGGCGTCCAACTACGTAGCTGTCCGACTAGTGCAGCGACGGCAATGATGAGAGCCTTGCAGAAGATCGGCCACGTGGTCGGACGACGAAGAGAGATGACGGCGAGCAGCGACGCAGCCAGGACCCAGGACCCGCAACAGCTGTCACCCCAACCGTTGGGAAAGAACCATCTGAGGACCCAATCAAAACCATCACCTTGCCATACATAGCAGGGGTCACCAAAAATAACTCCAAAATTATGAGCAAACAAGATGCAGATTCGATTTAACACAGGACATACAATTTTGATCTGGTCCCATCTGTGAAGGATGTGATCCCTGACATGCAATACCCCGGCGTCTACAAACTAAGCTGTGTCTGTGGCAGTAGTTACATTGGGGAAACAAAGCGACATGTCTCGGACCGTGTTCGTGAACATAAGGCAGATCTGAAACACGGTAGGACCAATACCTCGGCCGTGACTGATCATTGTTTTAATGCGGTGGGCTCACACGAAATTGATTTCTCTAAAATGAAGGTACTTTGCAAACCCACTGGTCATCAACAAAGATTCGTTCATGAACCCATCCACATATACAGACACAGCCACAACTTCAATGGAGAAGATGGGTATAAACTGAGTAATCATTGGAAGGACGTTATTAACCAGTTTAAGTCATAACTGGCTGTGATATTCCCATCCTACCGACGTTAGTTGTTATTTTCGGCACTCTGATTTGACATTAGCAGGTTAAATTTCCCACACTAACAGCCACCTTGCTCGCCAAGCTCGACGTTGCTGCTCTGCGATCTCGCATTAACATGCTAATCTCTCACAGTAACATAGCCACCTCCACGCCCTTGTCGTGGAGGTCGCTCTCCGATCTCCCATTAACATGCTAATCTCTCACAGTAACATTACTAGCCTCGCCCACTTCGTTTATGACCCTTGGGCTACAACCATTTTAAACCTTTAAAACAGTCTGCCTCAGCAGCTTTCCCCCTCTCTTTTCTTCTTGATGACGAATGCTTGTGTTGCGATCGAAACGTCGTAGTTTTTTATTATTTTTTGTTATTTTCTTTGAACCTATCTACGTGACTTTACCGAAAGGCCCAAATAATATAAGGGGATGTTCGTGTTTTTGTGAACGATGCAGGCTATGCAGGGGCCGCTTGTCCTTGTCTGTGCGTGTCCCCAGGTACATGGTGAAGCTGCAGCGCGAGTGCGATCTGGACGAGCGGGAGCTGCTGTCGCTGCGGCAGGACCGCGAGCGCTTCCTGGTGGAGGCGCTCGTCAACTACGTGCGCTGCCTGCGCAGCGGCGGGGCGCACGGGGAGGCGCGCGCATTCCGCCTCGTCTCGCTCTGGCTCGAGAACTCGGCGGAGCAGCAGGTCAACGACGTCATGCGGGTGAGATTTCTGCGTGCGTGAGGACACGCGGGTGCTAGAGCACACGCGCTAGAGCACGCGCACGCACACGAGCACACTGCTGTGATTTTCCCCAGTGTTTTTTTGTTACAAACAATTGCTTTCCTAAATTTTATCCCAATTGTGCTCTTCCTGACATAACCCTGAACAGTGGCATAATCACTGTCAACATAATCAGAATCAATTGTGGCATCATTTGCAGCATCAGTAGCAACAACATCTTCAATACCATATTTTCGTACTATAATCTATTGCCATAAGTATCACCATCATTACTATAAAAAAATGTTCATTCATACATTTTTCCCTATGGTTATCCTGATTGTGCTATTGGTGTCATGACTTAAGATGGGGAATCCATTCAGGGTGCTCGCAGAACAGTGCAAACCTGCGTGTTAGAGAACAGCGTTGTAAAGTAGATATCAACAAGCTACCTCTGAGATCCCTTCAAGTGACCTCGAGTTCACAACGTTAGGGCACAACTTCCCCACCACGACCTTTGCCACTTATTTGATGGGACAGTACTCCTGCTATGCAAACCAGGAGTTGGGTGAACAAACGAACCGTACGACATACTGGCCAAGTACTTCCCGCAAAACGGAGGTCTAATGCCAGGATATGGGGAATTAATCCTATGTTTAATATAGATTTTAAATGCACTAGTTAACTGCTACACAGTATATGTTTATTTAATGCGCAAGAATACTATTATGTCACATATAATTTATATAAATGCACAGAATACATGAAATCGTATGTAATTTATATTAAATGGAACTTAATATGTTACGTAGTATATAAAGCATATTAAATGCAATAGACTACCATTCTGTAATAAAGTAAAACATTTATTCATACAGCAATTTTTTTAAACCCATTTTTAACACTGATTTCACCCACTGCCACAACCATCGCCACCCTCATCCTTGTAAATCGTCACAGACTGGCGTGACAGACATCCCTCCGCACAAGTTCCTGCCGTTGATTTACCAGCTGGCGGCACGCATGGGCACCAAGATGGCGGGCGGAGAAGCCTTCCACAGCATCCTGCAGAAGGTGAGGGCGGCCGACACTGCCGTTCAGGGTTCTCGTGATATGGCGATGCTAAGGAATATCGTAAAACTAGATATGAATATAAACAGCAACAGTTGTCATCAGAGCGCTGCTGGTCATTACTTTAAATGCGTTTTGGCAAGAACGAAGTTGCAAAGTTATGTTGGACAACCTGGGCCACACAGCCTTAGTATGTTTCTACAGGAAAAGAGCAGTTTTTTTTGTTCGATATTCTTTGAACACTTGCATATGCAAAGATAAAGATCCCCTGTATAGCCTGTATTAGACTGTTGGGGCAAGTGTTGTTAGCAAGCACCGATGAAGGCTGGCATGGCACACAAGGGGGTGGTTTGACCAGCACCGCCTTTGTCTCCTCGGTACTGAGGTCCACACACCGCACCAGATACTCTTTTAAAGCTCAGTCAATTTACAGAAGGCCCAGTTCATATATTGACTGCTGATGTTTGCCATGGCTGTGATTTGAACTGAGGTCTTTGGGTTTGTAGCCTATTGTGCTAACCACTACGATGCCACTGCTCCTCACAACACACACAAAGACAAACGTGGATCCATCAAAACCGTTTCTCCCCGTCCCCCCCACCAGCTCATCCTGCGCGTGACGCTCACGCACCCGCACCATGCGCTGCTGGTGGTGCTGGCGCTGGCGAACGCTGGCAAGGACGAGCTGCTTCAGACAGTGGCAGCCAGGGATGGTGCACGCGGGGGCAGCCGCTTGAGCCGGGGAGATGGCAGGGGGTCCTCGGCCCCTAGTGACGACGTAAGTGCTCGCAGTCTCATCTGTATGTACGTTGTTTTCCAGCTCTTTTTTCAGAAGCCGCAAGACAGCTCTACAAAGTGGCTTATCATGTGGAATTTTAAAGTAGCTACATGCTCTAAATGCATATTTCTAGATGTGGAGGGATAACTGTAGGACCCGGAAAAAATGCACACGACCATGGGGAGAACATGCAAACTACAACTATACAGGTGTCAAGGGTCAGGATCAAACCCACGACCTCCTGCATACCAGGCTAGGAAGTTAACATCTCACCACCGTGGCACCCACTTTTGAAGCCATGGAGAGGACTGCATAACCCTGACCCTAAACGAGACCATCGCAAATACCCTGACCATTGCTTTAAGCCAGATCATAGCGATAACCGGATTGATACCCGAACTCACAGTTATACCTCGACCATAACTCTACTCTGTTACAATTCATCCCATTACTCAGACCATATCTTTAACCATAACGCAGGCTTTATCAATATTTAGACACGAGCAGGAACCTGCGGAACTTCCGCAAGGATTTGGGCAGTCCCCGAAGACATACACACATAAACACACACTGACTTTCACATGTGCACACAAAGACACAGATCCCCCGTATAGCCTTAATAGACTTTAGGGACAAGTGTTGTTAGCGAGCAGCACATTTGAAAGCTGGAACGACGCACAACAGGGTGAGTGGTCAGCACCACGCCCGGCCGCCTTTGTCTCCCCAGTGGCGTTGTTTACACACCAGGTACGCATTTGAGGCTAAATCAACGTAGGTCCTAGGGGATAATCATGACAGCTGTCAAGGTACACACTCACTTTCACATGCACACAAATACAAAGATCCCTAATATAACCTGAACAGACTGTTGGGGCAAGTACTGTTAGCGAGTAGCACATAATGAAGGCCAGCACGGCAGACAAAAGAGTGTGTGACCAGCACCAAGCAAGACCACTTTAGTCTCCCCCGGTGGCGATGTTTACTACACACACCGCACCCAGGTACTTATTTGATGCTGAGTCGACCTAGGGGAGGCCCAGGAGCGGTTCAGATTATTGTCACTGGTGGTGGCCTTGAGCGGGAATGAAACTCGGCTTGATAGGTTTCTAATGCAGCGTCGCGCTGAGCTCTACACTACCGCTCCGTGTAGCCTTAACAGACTGTTGGGGCAAGTGCAGTTAGTGAGCACCTATGAAGGCTGAAACGGCACACTAGGGGGTGGGTGGCCAACACCATGCCTGACCGCCTTTGTCTCCCTAGTGGCGATATTTACACACCACACTAGGTACTCATTTTAGGCTGAGTCAACCTCGGGGAGGCGATCTCGAGTGCGATGATTGTCACTGGGGTTGGGCGTAAGGGGAAATCGAACTCGGTTCGCTGGGTTCATAGCTAACCGCTACACTGCCGCTCCTGACATACACACAAACACAAAACACATACACAAAACACACGCACGTGTACACACACTCTCAAAAAACACACTCACAGCAGTAATGTTAGGACTTAACAGCTGGCGGAGGATCGTTCCGCCAAACCAAAGTTGGGCGGTTCGTGTCGCTAGTGCGAGTAGGTGTTTGCAAGTTCTATTGAAATAGTTATTTCACAGAATGTGTTATCTACGTGTTGTCATAAGTGGGGCTTTCGTCCAATGAGTGTGCCGACGTACGATCATCAATTGGACCAGTGAACGGGCAGGGACTGGCCGTAGGGTGGTATGGCAGTGAGTTGCAAATAATGTTGCATTTTGCAGCACAGGAATATTAATTATTGCATGGATAGGGTGTCGCACACTCTTTGGGTCTTTCGGTAAAGTCACGCAGATGGAATAAAAATAATAAAACATCACGACGTTTCGATCGCAACACAAGCAATCGTCTTCAGGTGAAAAAATACAGGAGAACTGCTGAGGCAGGAGAAATATTGCGGGAGATTGTCTCACCTTTGTTTTAGCATCGAAAGTTTGTATCATAACATTGACAGCTAAATTGATACTTGAGGCAACGCTCAGCGAGCGGCCAGTATAAATTTGCGAAGTATCAAATTATGTTAACGAGTCCTGTCGCCCACGCCGATTGGTTGCGGTGCGTAACGTCACCGCGACCAAGCAGCCAACCAGAGGGGCCGAATGTTGCAGGAAAAAAGTGTCTTAGTGTATTATTATTTAAGATTACTCTAACCCTAACCCAACCTGCAGCTTTACCCAGACACTACCGATTCATAAGAGTGCATGTACATTATTAGTGCCAATACACTACCGCCCGTTCCTATCTTAAGAACTCTAGTGCATGTGTATGAGTTCCTGCGTTTGTGCATATCTGTGTGTTGTGGACAAGTGCAAGTGTGCCGGCGAGTGTGTTGCATGTGTGCATGCGCGTTCGTGGGCAGGATCGTGTCAGGGCGACACGGGACCTCGTGGAACAGGTGCGAAAGCAGCAGCCCGAGCTGGTGCGTGACACGGAGAAGCTGTGCGACGCTTACATCGTGCTCGCCAACATGAACGCCGAGGCCTCGCGCAAGCAGACGAGTGAGCACCTTTGATGACTGGGGAAGCCCCATGACATTTGCCTCTCTCGCACCTCCTGTCTTTAGTTTCCTTGCCTTACATGTCCTTGTCTTTCATTAGCTCTCTCCTGGTGCCTCTTGCTTTTTCCATAAAATAATTGTAAAAAAAGTATCTCCAATAAAACTAGAAGCAAAATATATTTTTTTTGAGAGTCTGTTTTTATTGAAGAATGTCTGCACTTTGATTTGCAGAGGATTTGCTCATTCCAAAGGATCAGCCCATCAAGGACATCAGAAATCTGTACAAAGTTGTTATCCCCACATTGGAACTGAAGGTAAACCAATTCTCCTTGGTACACAGGTTGGGTGGTGGATGATTGGCTTAAGAGGTGAGAGCACTGAGCCAGCAACTGCAGAGATCCTGCAGCAACAGCTGTAGTGTGGAGAATAGAAGTCTGGTGATGGGCGGAATTCCTGGCTCGAGGTCCCGAGGGGTCAGGTACAGGAGAGTGCGCGAGAGCTCCTGGCGCTTGGCAGCGAGAGAGGGTGCTGTGGGAGCGGAGAGCGCGAGTCTGCAGGAGGGCCGCCTGATCAACGCTGCGAGCTGCATCCAACTCCGTGTGCTAGGACATCATCTGTTTCGAGTGTTCATTGTAATGTCAAATGTTCAGCGAGGTGTCAGATATTCATTGTTGCTCTACTGAGTATGCCCTGCACGTCTCGTGTGAATGCCATTGGTCAACAAGTAGGCTTTGTGTGTCACTACCATTGTGCTATGCCGTGTACAGTTGGCTCTCTGTGGATTTGTGAAGTGTTTGTGGGTGTGCGTGCGTATCCCCTGCATACAATGTGTGCGTGAGATCGGTTGCAGAGTAGGAAAGGATCAGGACCGCTATAGGTGTCTGTGTGTGCACTCTAATCTATGCGTTGACCTGCTGCTTAAAGGTGGAAGTTGGTGTCTTCTCAGTGTATAACCCACAATATAGGCTGACACCCCTACTCTTAAGTGTCCACCCATGGTTTGTCATTGGCTCCCCCGCAGCTCGTCACCACCCACCTCCAACGCTAAACATGGCCTGGCTGTAAAACACAAAGTGGTGCATAACACAAACCTCAACACTGACTTTGTTATTGAAATAACATTGTTGACTAAATGGAAGGTCTAAGGAGTTGTTGTAACTCTCGGCCCTGCTTGTATATTGACTTGACTATATCCTGTGGAGTTTTGACTAATTGGAAGCTGATACGTAATTGTGAAAATAATCTATGTTCCGGATTTCTTCCCACACCTTCAGGTGGACCCGACGGGGCAGTACCCTGACCTCGTGACGGTGCGTGCTTTCCGGCCACACTTCCGGCTCGCCGGAGGCGTTAACCTCCCCAAAATCATCGACTGCGAGGGATCGGATGGACGAACTTACAGGCAGCTTGTAAAGGTGTGTTGGCTATTAAGGAACAGCAGCTCCGCAGCAGAGGACCCGATACAATGAGACAGGGCCAAACAAATGGTGTTGCACAAATATATTCTGATGCACGTTGTCCAAAGGCCCCTTCAAACACACTGGTCTGCCAGCTTATTGTCTAAAATTCTAAGTCTGTTGTCTAAAGACCCTGTCTGAGATGGGATTGTCAGTCTTATTTTTAAGGACCCTGTCAAGATCAGTCTAGCAGCTGGTTAAAAAACACGTTTATTTAATCGCTCAGGGTTGCACAATTCTGTAATTAAAACAAACGGACACAGGGCATCGCCACCAAAAATAAAATCCGTGTGACTGTTACGGCAAACAATAATAGCTATGGAGTTCGTACAGTGGCAACGAGCAGTATCGATGACCGTGATGATTGTGACGATAATGATGGTGACTTTATAGTTTGTATGGCCTCGCTTGGCAGGGCCGTGACGACCTGCGTCAGGACGCCGTCATGCAGCAGGTTTTCCACATGTGCAATGAGCTGCTGGCCGGGAGCGCAGAGACACGCACCCGCAAGCTCAGCATCCGCACGTACAAGGTGGGTGATCATGCGTCCTCGTCATACTCAATTATGCCGGGTTAACACTCTGCGTCACGGGTGTGGGCTGTGTCTCTTCTCTTGGCGCCTGCTTCTTACCGCTGACTGGGCTAACGAGATGGGGTGCCTTGCCTGTGCCGCCCCCTCCCACGTGGGACGTGTAAGGTGGTGCCTCTGTCACAGCGGAGCGGCGTGCTCGAGTGGTGCGTGGGCACCGTGCCCATCGGCGACTACCTCGTCCACAAGGACACGGGCGCCCACACCAAGTACCGGCCCAACGACTGGCCCTCCATGCACTGTCGCAAATTCATGAATGTAAGGGCCCTCTGGTAACCAGGGCTGCCCCCACTTCTTATCACTAAACCCTTAGTAATACAGCTTTGAAACCTAACCTGGAAAGCCTTAATGCCCAAGCTGTAAGAACTTAATGTAAAAATGTATGTATATTTATTTTAGTGTTTAGCGTCTAAGGATTAAGCCTGAAGCTCATTACCGTATCTTCTTTGTACAAACTAAGCCCTAAGTTTTTTGCCAGGTATCGGTCGTAAAGCCAACCTTAAGAACAAGGACAACAACAACAACAACAACTTGTATTTATGTTGTGCCCACAATGCAAGAAACATCTCAGAGCTCAGGTTTTTAGCTGAGAGGAGCCCCTAATGGCAGCTCAACCCCATAGCCATGTAACGATAGCCGACCTTGATGGATGGGTGGATGGGTGTGCCACGCTGTCCACATGTTGCGGCGCAGGACCGTAGGAACGGGGACTTGTTCCTCGCTTACCAGGAGTTGTGCCACCACTTCCGGCCCGTTTTCCGCCACTTCTTCTGGGAACGCTTCCTGGACCCGGCCGTGTGGTTTGAGCGACGCCTCTCCTACACGCGCAGCGTCGCCACCTCCTCCATCGGTCAGTCCCCCGGGCTCCCGTTGGTATCTCGGTGTTTTTTAGATATCTTCTACTTTGGGATACTCTTAGAAATGTAACTTTAGTAGGTGGAGCCAGGTGGCTCAGGGGTCAGAGCACTCGGCTATCTCTGCTGAGACCCCAAGTTCGAATCTGGACCACCGCCCATGATTAAACCAGGTTCTCAAGTTGATGGTCTCAGTCCAGTCATCAATGACTGAAACAAACCCATCACATTTAATTTTCTTTTTTTACTTAATATGGCATCTTCCAGTTTTACGAATTCAACATGTCAGTTTCATTTACATCAGATGAATAATATTTGTATGGCATTAAAAGGTATGATGTTGGTTTGGATAAAGGGACTTATACACTTGACTATCAATTCAAAAGAGATGCATTTATAATAAGTGTTTCCTCTTTTTTTTTAGCTGGTGGTTTGAAACGAGGCTTTGTGCATTCCACACATAGTATAGTGATTTCACGTTACATACACAGCATGATGAGAGGACTGATATTTTGATCACAATCGTGCCTTTTGCCGTCTGGCAATCATGTTACTGCATGTATTATGACTCTTGTTAGTTTTCAGCCCGGATGAGTCTTGTATTCTTGTCTAATGAGTCCCTAATCTATCTCGCAATATAAGAATTGGTTAACTTCCGTGCATTAGGGAAAGTTTTTATTGTTATAAATTATACACACGGCTACATAGCACTGTTAATCCACAGCATGTATTAGCCACACTGGGATAAATGTAATTCCACTGGTTCTTCCACGTTCTGCATTGGATTCACATCACCGAATAGGTTGAAGGAAGACACCGCAGTAGATGTGAACAGGCATAGGAGGTTGCGATGTGAGGGACACGTGCAGGGTGGAAGTGGGCAGGGTACCAAGACAGGCACTTGGAGGGGCATCCAGAAGTCGGCACCCAAGCAGAAGACCGAGAGCCGGGTGGTCTTGAAGAGACTGTAGGAATGGTCCTTGAAGGATGTCGACTCTACACGAAGGGGAAGACCTAAAACCAGAAATTGGGAAGATGTAAGAACACACAGTGTATGTTAAGTGTCAATCATCTAGCAGAAGGAAGAAAGTGATGGTGAGGAGTACGCTGGCATCAGCATTATTGGATGTGATAATCCGAATGTTACCGTACATTGTGATTGTCGTTTCGCTGTAACCCTCCACTCCGCGTGTGCTCCCCGTCGGTGCAGTGGGCTACATCGTGGGGCTGGGCGACCGCCACGTGCAGAATATCCTCATCGACCTCAACTCGGCCGAGCTCGTACACATCGACCTGGGTACTCGCCGACTCTCGCTCCACCGGCAGCTTGATCGCTCGGGATGCGACGATTCGCCCACTGTGCGACGATTCAACGGATTGTATTCATTCGGGATAAAAATAATTAGTATATACCATAGTGTTAGTGCAGTTCTTAGAAAAAATATATATCACAAAAGTGCTATATTTCACATCGGAGGAATCTCCTAATTATTTAACTCAGTTATGCAACTACTTTGCAGGTAAGTTTCTAACTTGGCAAATTCGGACCACGTTGCGACTCTTTGTTGATTAATATCCTGGGATATTTTAATCTTTTGAGAGTTCGAGTACTTCATAGAGGCAGGTGGTTGAAAGTTCTATAAGCAGCTGTGTAACCTAGCCACTTGCCACTGTTGGAGATCCTGACCAAAAATCTGAAGGACATTGGTTAAAATAGTAGTTTGGGATAGGCTATGCCCATCACCCTCCAGGGTCAAGAAAGTGTGTCACCAGATTGTCTAAAGTTAACGGTGGTTGTTAATCGACTGGCAAGCAGCATAGGAATGTGGATTACTATTTGTTTATAACTGGATTAAGGTTGTCAATGGAGGCAAGGACTCTGCCCCACTTGGTTCATCTGATAAGGGGGACACATTGGCTTTGACTTGAAAGTGCACGTTGCATCGTGTTTTTAATTGGGAGTAGAGGAACCACCCTGGGACACAATGTTGTTGCTGCGCGCTCGTCCAGGTGTTGCGTTCGAGCAAGGCCGCGTACTACCGACTCCCGAGACTGTGCCATTCCGACTGACGCGAGACATCGTGGATGGAATGGGCGTCACGGGCGTGGAGGGCGTCTTCCGCAGGCAACGCTTCCCTTCGTTGCGCTCACGTCATCGTGATTGCGTTCACGTTGATCATCGTTGCCGTCATTGTCATCATCTTAGTGGTCATTGTCGTCATCACCTTGGTTCCCATTATAAACAGTGCCGTCATCATTGTCGAAGCATTGTTATCAATATTATTATCATTGTAATATTTCTTGTTTTGCCATTTATCAGTTTTCGAAAACTTTTCTTATAATTCGTTGGGTCTTTCGGTAAAGTCACGTAGATTAGTTCAAATAAAATAACAAAAAAATAACAAAAAACGATGACGTTTCAATCGCTTTTATTGTAATCAAAACGTCGTAGTTTTTTGTTGTTGCTATTTTCTTTGAACCTATCGACGTGACATTTACCGAAAGACCCAAAGAATATGAATTCCTACAGTCACGAAAGCTTTAAGTTAAGATCTTTTCTTTATAACTGCTTTTTGTGTTTGGTTTGTTGTTCAATCTTGATTTGAAGCTTTCGTGACTGCAGTAATCCATACTCTTTAGAGTATAGTTTGTTGTTCTTCCCCGCACCTCTGATTAAGATGGTTGGCTATGTATGGTGTGAAATAAGTTCAACATACATTGATACATCACCAGCATCAACATCTTCATGTATTGTTTTTAATGTAAGAGTTTGCGTGGTGGTAGTGGTGATGTTAAAGCTGTTTCTGGTACGAGTGCTGGTATTGGTGGTGCTGGTGATGGTCGTGGTAGTTGTGATGGTGGTTGTGGTGGTAGTCATGGTGGTCGTAGTGATGGAATTGGAGAATCGTCAAAGAGAGCACTAACACCGATCCCCTGTGTGCAGGTGCTGTGAGAAGACAATGGAGGTCATGAGGAATTCTCAGGAGGCCCTACTAACCATTGTTGAGGTCTGTTCCCATTGGCACTTATAGACTACATTATTTAACATATACTGTATTGTTGTTCTTTGGTTTTTAGTTCAAGTAATGTTTCAGCACGAGGCAACATTGTGGTCAGAAGTCAGTGCACCAAAATCCACTGCTGTACGATACCTCTGTCCACCCCACATCTGTGCTTCCCATCTCCACCAATCAGCACTGATCAGCACTGATCAGCATGGTGTAAAGTATTGTCCAATCAGTGACCTGCGTAGCATCGACAGACTGCCATCCAGCAGTGAATGTGACAAAAGACTGTCTGTGTACAATTGTCATTGACATTTTTTAATTATTATTTTAAATGCACAAACATAAAACAATGCTTATGTTTGTGCATGAGGGAACCATCAACGTCTTAAACACTGTTGCACTGTGATCTGGGCAGCCTGTGTTTGATTGTTATTCACTGATATGACACCAATGGCGCCTGGTGACTAACACTGGCCTGAGCCACCCAAAGGTTGATTCAAATGAAAATGTGAATGAGTCCAGTCTGTTTTTAAGTAAAGAGGCAGCCAGGCATGTGTGGGCCATGCTATAGGTGTGGTGTGCCTCCATCGATTGGCTCTCTCTAACAGATCTTGCCCAACTGCATATTTTGGATAAACAGGGAACGTTTGATGAGTGTGGTGGGTATTAATCTGTAACCTCGTGCTTTGTAGATAAAGGTTGGTAGATCACAACATATGTAAAACTTCAAAACCTGCTGGGGCTTTAAGGTGAACAGGTGATGGCAGTAGAGCAAGCCATATGGCTGTTTGAGTTTTTTATCTTCTCATATATATGGATTCGTTTAGGTACTCCAATTCCTTCCCCCATGCAAAACTCTTATGAAAAAGGAATGGACCTAACAGGTTAATACAGGACTGAAAAAAGCCTGACAGTGAAGCTCTCCTTGATAGATACACTTTGTTTACATCATTGCAATGTCAGTGGCGACAGGGTTGCACAGTCGTAACACTTGTGTGTGCCTCACGACAAGGAGGAGCTCGGTTCAGTTTCTGACTCGGGCGCATTTCTGCGTGTAGTTTATATTGTCTCCTCCTGTATGACTTTCCTCTGGATGTTCCATTGCTTCCATAAAAACACATTGGTGTTGGCAAAACATTTAAATGCAGGACCCTCCTGAAAAATTGTGTTTGACCACATTTACACCATTGAAATCTCATTTGCCAGTAGAAAAATATGATAATTGTTTTTTTACCCTTTTATTTACCCTTTTATTGGTGCCAGATAAAAGGGTAAAAAACCAATTATCATTTGACCGCATTGTTGATTTCCTGGGCAAATAGGTCATTACTGTTATATAATATATGTTCATGTGCCACTTTGATCCTAAACTCTCAACCCCCCAAATCTGTCTTGGCAGGTGCTGCTGTTCGATCCACTGTTTGACTGGACGATGAACCCCCTGAAAGCGCTGACGCTGCAGACACGAGTCGAGGACGAGACTGAGGGCACCTCCACCATGGGCCCCACGCTGGGGAGAGCGCCTGCATCTGGGAGGGCCGTGCACCAGGAACGAAACGGGTGAGGAGAGAGCACGTGGCTCAGACCAAGGCAGCTCCATTGCTCCGATGAGATGCTCAGGTCTCCAGGTGACCAGACGGCTTCAGCACGGGACTCTGAGAGGACAATGAACCCCCTAAAAACGAATTGCCATCAGCTCTGGCCTGTATACAGCTGGATGGAAGCCTTTCCTGTCTCATGCCTGCACGTAAACCAAGCTCATCGCTGTGCTGGTTATTCGCTTGGGTTTATTTTTTCTTTCGCTGCCTTTATGCTACTACCAATCTCGTCCATGGACCATCATTCCTTCTCGTGATATGATCTGTCGAAGCCCACTTCCTTTCACAATATGATGCATTTGATTTACATTTGTACCCTGAGTTTCATGCTCTTATTTCTATCTCAGAGTAATCACAGCATGCGTCCCTCCATGCTTACTTGTGCACTTTTCAGTTTTTGGTCCACTTTTGTCAGTGTTCATGTTTTTTTATCCATATCCAAGTGGGTAATGCACTTTTGTTCATTGCTGTTGTGGTTGCACACTGCTGTTGCCACGTCCATTACTGCTGTTGCAACGCTGCTCTATTTTTATTGTGTCTCAGACGGTATTGTTATTGCATCTCGGACTGGTGATGGTGTTGTTGTTGTTGTCTCAAACCATGTTGTTGTTGGGTCTTGGACCGTGTTGATGTTGTGTCTCTGACTGTGGCCGCGTGCAGCATGGACCCGCAGAGCCTCAACAAGATGGCAGAGCGCGTGCTCATGCGGCTGCAGCAGAAGCTGAAGGGCGTGGAGGAGGGCTCGGTGCTCAGCGTCCCGGGCCAGGTCAACCTTCTCATTCAGCAAGCCACCGACCCCAAGAACCTCAGCCGACTCTTCCCAGGATGGCAGCCCTGGGTTTAAGGCTTCTTCCACCAAAAGTCCCACAGTAGAGCATCTCGCTTACTCCCCCCCCACCCCCCATTTAAGTGGCATCTGGTGAAAGGAAGGAAGCATTGGCATGGTGTGCTGGCATCATCGTCATTGGCCATGAGGACATTGTGACCTGGACTTTGGTAAACAGCAGCGTGCTACCACAGCAACAATTTAAAGTTGTGTTTTGCTATTGTAACTGCTAACGAAGGAGAAGACATAGAATACATATAGGCAAATGGTAGAATAGTGTCAGAGCAGATATTGAAAGTTGATGTTGACATTGTAGCAATGGAGCTCATTGAGGTGTGCCAAACCACTCAGCTCCCAGAGGGTCATGAGATCAACTTCCAGCCAGGGGTTAACTTAGTTCTTCATCCCTCTATTTCATATAGAATTTGTCCCACTTAATGAGAAGTCAGCAATGGCTGTATCGTGAATACTCTGGTCTTTGTCGTAGGAGTTTGGAATGTCCTACATTACCTCGAGAGCTCTAAGGGAAACAACCATTCCCCAATGCTTATTTGAGTGTGAAGACTTCTTTGACATGTATTGGCACTCAGGTGGTTTACTCCAAAGTTTAACCGAAAATGTCTGTTTATTTGGAAATTTTCCACTTGAAATTGGCAAAAGCTGCCCAGCAGCTCACTGGATGATGGATTCGCGTGAATGTATCTTGGTGTGAGCACCTTCGCCTGAACAAAAAACTAAAGTTTGCTCACGTTCTTCCCTCCTAATAATGAAATCATTTTCAAGGAGCCTTATAACTATGCCTTTATTATTGTATATGTTATCACTGTACTTTAATATTCACATCATTCTTGTCTTTTATGATGAATTGCACGTAAGTTATACTTGTAAGACTCTCTGGATGTGAAATATAGCTTTTGTTTATATGACACTGCTTGAGATTATATTTGAAATGTTTTTTACAATGTGGCCAGAAACATGAATACTCATGTTGACAATTTTTTTAGCAAACCAGCCTTTTATTTAGTACACGAGAGTATTCGACTCCAACAAGCAAATCTTAGTCATCGTCGATCTGAATTTTACCACCCTTCATGAGCTGATATATACCCAGAACTAGGCAATTGGTGGAGAGGATATTCAATTCAGGATCATGGGAATAACAACACTACAATAATTTTTTTTTTTTAAAGAATGCAAGATTCCTGGATCGAATTGTGACCCTAAATTATGACAATTTCTCCAATCACTAAAGGGATAAATATTTACATTCCTACTTAGATTTAATTGAGGTTGACTGGGGGAGAGAATGGGGCAGACAGTTATGTATCCACGTGTGAAAAACAACAACAGCTGCCATTCACCACTAAGTGGCAGTGACATCACCATGGCACTTGTGCCAGGCTATGTGTACTTTAAGGCCACGTGCAGTGGTGAAGGCTTGCTGGCAGGAGGTCACGGGACAGGCCCAGGTGCTATGGATTGTCTGTGCCCCCTACTGTGCCAACTTATTGTGTTTTAGCTGCTCGGCGTTCCACTCGTTGTGAGCATCGCTCCTCCGCCCTCCACTGTTGTTGGAGGGCGACTGCCTCCAACTGCGCAGTAGCGTCCTGCCCATTAGCGTCATTCATATGAGCCTCCTCCACAGGCTAATCTTGACACTGCTGGTACCAGTAATAGGCATGTGCACTCCACATCCTCTTATACCCCATCAGCTCCATTTATTTTCCAGCTTGCTCCGTTCCCGTTTAGCCCCCTATATCCAGCCAAACAGAAGCTGCTTGGGCATGCTGTGGCTGGGCATGCGGGCTACATAACCCAGAAAACGCAGCCTCGGCTGCTTGAGGAACTCACCGATGGGACCGTGTCCAGATATTTCAATAATTTGTAAACTGCTCACACAATCCAGCCTGGTTAAACCCAGGGTGGATTGGAGAAAGGACAGCCTGAATATTTCAAACAGACGCAGATGCCCCAGCAGAGGTGCCCACACCTCAAAAATAGAGAAGGGAAAGCATGATGGTCACTGCATCGCAAGCTTTCAGATGCGCTTCTGCGACCGTCTGGAACGCTATTCCGGTATTAGTAAGCTATGCACTTTTGAATCTAAATTTAAAACTGCTTCCTGTGTTTAGTTTACTGTCCTTCCCCTACGTCTCTGATTATCACAGTTGGCTACATACAGTGTTAAAGAAGATCTACATACATTCGTGGCCAAGAAAACCTGTCTGGAGTGACAGACCTGGTAGCTTCACATAGCGTTAGACAGCCAATTAAATGATAATGCCACTCGACTGATTCGGATGAGACCTCCACTGCCAAACCGAGCTGGTCATAAGCACACTTCATAAGTGTGGAAACCTCTCCACTGTCTTCACACCTGCCGCATCATCAATGTGGAGTTGAGGGGGTGGAGTGTTTGATGACACAATATCCAGGCAGGTGCTTGTTTTTTAGTTTTTGTGGGGCTGATGTTAAGGCACACTCAAATACATACAGCCACACACATGCTTGCAAGTTCAACTATAAATTCACACTCATGGGGGAGGCCCAGGACCAGTTCAGATATACACTACCACTCCCCAATATATATGCACGCTCATGATGACATATCTTATCACATACATACTGTACATATCTCTTACGAATAAAGCTCGTTATCGCTTCTATCACTTTGAATACATCTCTCTCCTAGCTCCATATATTACATCCCTTAACACATCTCTTATATAACTTCTCAATACACTGTTTGAAGTTTCTTTATAGCTGTTGGAAGTGCTTTTTAATTCCCCCTTGCAGCACTCAAGTAATTTTCGCCATACAGTCCGGGGCCTATTTTAACCTGACGTAACCGGAGATGTCTTTGGGTATGGTTAAGGCTACGATTTTGGCATGGTACTGTAATTTATAGGAAAGAATCATAGCCGTGGTGTGCAGAAACAACTACAAATTCACTTAAAGGTAAGATAATAAAATGGGGCAAGGCCACACCAAAAGCCATGGCTAGAACCACTATATGGGGGCACCTGGTTGCATCGAGGTTGATCTATACCCCTCCTCCATTATTTCCAAGATTTAAGATTCTTCAAATTCACGATCTCCGTGACCTCCGTGACAATCGCGACCTCTGATGATTACTCATCGTGTACACATACAGCCCTGTTACAATGTAGCCCTGCTAATGGCGTACAAACAAAATATGAATATTACGTGATCTTTGGAGCAATTTTAGTTTTTACTAAAAACGTGAACTCCACTGCCTCGTGGACGAAGTGTAGTTATTGCATTTAATGTTTAAAGTGACTGGGCAGCGGAAGATGAAGCCTAACAGGGCTCTGGGTAACTAGAGCGATTGAAGATTTGTATTAAAATGTGTCGTGTATAATAAGATGGCCTCATCTATGAGATGGTCTTGTAATGCTTTATATGTAATCAAAATTATTGAATTTTAACTACTACACGCTGTGTCATTTGGTTGATAATTTTTTATTTTACAGGTGGCTGGATTTGGCGTTTTTGGTATTTTTACATTTTTGTTGTGACCTGTGCCATTCGAAGAAAGAGCTCAGTGAAAGCTAAGATATTGAAGCGACATAATGCTATGATTAAGTTGCAGTGAAAGCTTTATGAGAAGAAATGAAAGCGTTTGTAAAAGAGAATGCAAGAAAAGATGCGCATGACTTAAAAATGCAAAGAGAAAACTGTGATGAAAGGTGTTTCATCAATGAGATGGTCTTTGAAACGAGTTCCCCAATTCAAACTACTCCATTGAATCCACGAGACAGTTTCCTGAAAAAACCATCAACGTAGCATGGATGTTACTAATCCTGATGAAGATGAGCAACGTGGACTGCTAGCAGAGCAACAAGGTGATGATACACTTGTCGTGTCGGTGAGTCGGAACGATGTTTGTAGAGGCACCTTTATTGAACACATGATCTCGCCTACACACTCTACAGTCGCGAGCCGTCTAACACCGACGGCGCTGACAGAGACAGCTGACGGGCTGTCCAGCAGCGCAATGTCGAGCGAAGACGGCAGCGACGACGAGACGATCCAAAACCGGCAGCACCGAGTTGCCGCTTTCGTCCCCTTTCCTGCTCCCAGCGCGGCCTGGCTGCGCCTCCTTCTCGAACCCACGAGCAGCAGGCTCCAGGGGCTTCCAGCAGATCGGGCCCTCCATGACCCTTGCCCCGGTTCCTCCGCCCTGCCGACACACAGCCGTGTAGATTCTCACCGGCGTGTGTCCTGTTTGTCCACCGCAGTTGTCGCTGCTGGTCTACAGCCGGCGCTATTACACTACACGTACCGATGTTGCTGAACTCGCACTGCCTATAGAGAAGAATCTATATATATAAAATCGTTCATGTCTGTCTGTCTGTGTGTGTGTGGACTTTGGCCCATACGCACTTTCATTGGACGGCGGTTGCCCCTGGCAACGGCTAGCCACGCCTTCGCCGCTTTCATTGGACCTGGCAACGGCTAGCCACGCCTTCGCCAAGGGCTGCAGTTTCATTGGACGGCGGTTGCCCCTGCCAACGGCTAGCCACGCCTTCGCCACTTTCATAAGCTCCGTATTTAATTAAATAATAGCCATTACACAGTATTGTTGGAGCGCTAGGGGGGGGGGGGGGAAGGAACGCCACCCGTACCCTGCCTCTTCCAAGCCGACAATTTTAGGCGAGGCCGCAGGCTTTGCACGCTACTAGGCCTCGACACCCACCACGCCACTCTGAGGTAAATTCATCAAAGTTTTTCCTACTCTTCACTACACCCCCACCACAATGTGTGCTATTAATATTACTTTTAAACCCAACGCGCCAACAATCGATTACTTTAATGTTCACTGTACAAATACTCATTAAGCTGGGTGAGCGTACTGCCAGTCTATCATGTACACTGTAGCCTGCTTATTAAGCTCGGTGAGCGTACTGCCACTCTATCATGTACACTCTAGCCTGCTTATGAAGCTGAGTGCGTGTACTGGCAGTCTATAATGTGGACTCTTGCCTGGTTATTATAATCGATTCTTTATATGTTCTTTGTACAAACAGTCATTAAGCTGCTTGAGCGACCCCAGTTCGATTCCAACTCACGCCCACCACCGCTGACGATTATTTGAAACGGACCTGGCCCTCCCCTAGGTCCACTCAGCCTCAAAAGCGTAACTGCTGTCGTGTGTGAACATCGTCACTGGGGAGACAAAGGCGGCCGGGCGTGGTGGATCCAAGTCCCGGGCGAGGCTGGGTCATGTGTATGTGTGTATGTGTTTATGTGTATGTCTGTGTGTCTGTATGCATGTGTGTATGTGTTTGTGTGTATGTATGTGTGTGTGTATGTATGTGCGTTTTTTTGTATGTGTTTATGTGTATGTCTGCGTGTCTGTATGTATGTCTGTGGATGTGTTTGTGTGTATGTATGTGTGTGTCTATGTATTGTGTGTATGTGTTTCTGTGTATGTATCTGCGTGTATGTATGTGTGTTATGTGTCTGTCTGTGTGTCTGCATGTATGTGTGTGTGTATTGTCTATGTTTTTGTGTGTATGTATGTGTGTGTTTGTGTGTATGTGTATGTCTGTGTGTATGTATGTGTGTGTATGTGTTTGTGTGTATGTGTGTGTATGTATGTGTGTGTATGTGTTTGTATGTGTTTGTATGTTTACGCTCGCATTACACAAATGTGTTGCAGGTCTAAGGCGTTCCTCGCCCAGCATTGCCGCTTTCTTTTTTCAGTCGTTTACTGCCGTACGCACCTGAAAGTCGTGTGTGTCTGCAGCAAGCGCGTGTATGTGTACCTATGGATGCGCGCGCGTGTGTTGTGTAGGGGGAACGGTAGTGTAGTGCTTAGCGTGCTGTCTGTGTGTGTGTGTCTGTGTGTGTGTGTCTGTGTGTGTGTGTCTGTGTGTGTGTGTCTGTGTGTGTGTGTCTGTGTGTGTGTGTCTGTGTGTGTGTCTGTGTGTGTGCGTGTGTGGTGTGTGGGGAGCGGTAGTGTAGTGGTTAGCGTGCTGTCTGTGTGTCTGTGTGTGTGTGTCTGTCTGTGTGTGTCTGCGTGTGTCTGTGTGTGTGTCTGTGCGTGTGTGGTGTGTGAGGAGCGGTGGGTGTAGTGGTTAACGCTACGCTGCGCTACAAACCCGGCGAACCGAGTTCCATTCCCGCTCACGGCCACCACCGGTGACGATTATTTGAACCTCCCCTAGGTCGACTCAGCCTCAAACGAGTAACTGGTGTGGCGTATTAACATCGCCACTGGGGAGACAAAGGCGGCCGTGCGTGAGTGGTGAGGGAGGGAGAGTGCTGAGGGAGGGAGAGTGGTAAGGGAGGGAGAGTGGTGAGGGAGGGACTCAGCCGCAACACGAGTAACTGGTGTGGCGTATTAACATCGCCACTGGGGAGACAAAGGCGGCCGGGCGTGGTGGATACAAGTCCCGGGCGAAGCCGGGTAGTACAGCTAGTTCACCTATAATGTGGTGAAAAGCCCATCGCTAAGTGTATTTTTGCAAGGGAGACTTTGGGGAAATACTTGTACAGGAAAAAATAAAAAGCAAGGGAAACAATACACAGTTCACAATTTGTGTTTGTAGGTCATTTAATGATCTGATCAAAGCTGTATCATTAGGAACCCTCCGCCCACCCGACGCGGCCGAACAAATTGTCACATTTAGAAGCGTTTAACGCAAACTTGTGTTTTAATGCGCGGGAAGAGTTAAAGTCACACACCACAGCACCACAATACTCATCAATGCATTGCACCACTACACGCCTGCACCCCCACATGAATACACCACTATAGTACACACTACACCACTTGCATATACTACAACACCATTGCATTACACCACTGACCACTATAACACACCATCACACCACGAAGCGACGCCATCACTTTCTCACTTATGTCTCACTCATTTACTCCTTTATCTCTCAGTAAATCATTCCACTCATTAATTCCCCTAATCATCTCACTCTCATGCTCCTGTCATTTTACTCATTTGTAATGTACACACGTTGTGGCGAGAAATGAAATATTTTATTTGCAATGGACAAGCGCTTTAAGGAATGTTGTAATTATTGAATTTAACAGTTCGTATACGCGGCATTGTGGGATTGAAAAACTATTTTTGAGGTTATGTGCATTTTGAGGCTGCGTGGAGTGTTGATGGCTCGCTGACAGGTCAGGAGACAGACCCAGGTGCAATAATGGGCTGACTGACAGATGGCACCGCCTGTGCTCCCTATTTTGACAAATTGCTGAATTTTAGCTGCCCGGCGCTCTGCTCGTTGTTGTGTCGCTCCTCTGCCTTCCGTTGTTGTTGGAGGGTGACTGCCTCCAACTGCCCAGTAGCAGCCTTCACGAACCTCCCCCATAGGGGCCGATCTTGACAACAAGGCTGCTCTTGGTACCCATCATGGGCAAGTCCACTCAGCTCCACATCCTCCTGTATCGCATCAGCTCCATCTCTTTTCCAGCCCATGCCGCACCCGTTTAGCCCAAATTATCTGGCCAAACAGAAGCTGCTTGGGCAGCCTCGCCTGCTTGAGGAACTCACCAATGGGACAGTGTCCAGATCTTTCAAGGATTTGTGAGCTCCTCACAATACAGCCTGGTCAAATCCAGGGTGGATCGTAGGAAGGACAGTCTGATTGTTTCAAACAAGTGCAGATGCCCCAGCAGAGGGGACCAAACCTCACAAACACAGAGAAGGATGTGGCCGAGAAGACCCGGACCTCCGTATGGAGCAATATGACCAAAATCTCACGTCATAAAAACAGTTTCTTCCCATCCGCTGTTGGCCTCTTCAACTAGGCCAAGGGCTTAAAATGACTTTTACACTTAAAATGACTTTTAAACTTACTATAACATTTTATCTACAAAATTACAGCTTGCCATATTTACAACATGTTATCCTATTTGTATTTTTGTATTTTAAGATTGTATATTAGGGTTAGGGTTACGGCTAATTCACATTTTATATTGTATACTTATTCAAAATGTTACATACTTTAGCCCCTTAGTATTAGTTAGACTTTGTAACTTTAGTATAGTTAGACTGTATACCACTTATTTAATTTTAAGATTCCTTGTCTCTGCGAACTTTCATGGCGAATAAAACCCCTTTCTGATTCTGATTCTGAATAGACCAGGTAACTTCCACACAGCGTTACACATGATTAAAAAAGATGCCACGAGACTAAATTTTGACTGCATGAATTCATATTCTTTGATTCTTTCGGTAAAGTCGCGTAGATAGAAAAAAATAATAAAGTTAATTTTAAAAAAACCACGACGTTTCGATCACAACACAAGCGATCGTCTTCAGCAGGAAAGACGATCGCTTTGTGTTGTGATCGAAACGTCGTGGGGTTTATTATTTATTTTATTCACTTCATTATTATTTTTTCTATCTACGTGACTTTACCGAACGAACCAAAGAATATGCCACTAGACTGATTCAGTGAGAACTACACTGCCAAACCCGAGCTGGTCATAAGCACACTGCACAGGTACGGGAACATCTCCACAACTGCCCCATCAGAGTTGAGGCTGGTGAGTATTTGATGGTAGAGAATACTTCGGCCGGTGCTTCGTTTTGGTCGGAATAATTGTAAAACCCCATTTCTGATTGGCATGCTCCAGTCTCCAACTCCTCAGTGAGCACATACCTGCATGGAGGCATACAGTGAAATTATTATATATACTGACTTTGTGTACGGTAAAGTATTTCAAAATAACATTGTAGATCAAATATAAAGCGTCGTTTATGCTTACCCGATAACTTAACATTAAGTATTTTACAGTGTTTCTTGACATCACTTTATGTTGCATTTTACACTCTGAACATACTTTCAAAATTGAATTTTACTCAAGCATAGTTTTGTTGTTTGGTTAAAGTGCCTCTTACGCAGTGTATATGAATTCTTAACAACCCAGTAATCGAAGTGCCGACATTTGGTATGAATTTTACCTCGGGCATTTTCAAGTTCACTTTTGTGCTACTAAAACGAATGCACACGGACGTCATTTGTTCCACCTCCGGAGGTCTCGGCTGTGGCTGCGTTGTCATTACCCATTGCCAGACGATGCATGGTGCTCATATAATCACTGCGTTTAAAACAACAACAGGACTCTAACTGCTCAGAAAACTCAGACATGCCATTCCATGTCTCTTTCTTGAGTCCAGTCTTCTTATCTTTGTGGTTAACTACACATTCAACATTTTCTTCAGCTACTTGTTTAATGTAATCTTCCATTTTCGTTTTGTACAGTTGTCGTTCAACCTCCCGGTAGCGCATTCGGAACTTTAATTCTCGGACGCTCATTTTGCTGCAGCACCGAATGCAGCAGGTGACGGCCAAGGCCAGGACCGCAAGAAGCAGGAAACCACCGAGTCCCACCATCTGTATTGAATTGTGATCACAGGACAAGTGAACAGCACGCGTGTGTTTGAGTACATGATCCTTGAATTACAATTGTTTCAGATGTTACATTTAGGTTTGCAACATTATAATAAGATGAGAGGCCATCAAGATGAGTCTTAATGCCTTTGTAAGAGGCACCTGCTTAACTTACAAGATCTGATGACATCGGATGCATTCTGGGTGAGTTGGTCATAGCTACACATGGCTGAACCTGGATAGTGCTTGGATGAGCGAACACCGTGAAAAACAGGTGTTATAGGCTGTAGCAGGCTACGTTGTGAGCAGAGTGCAGCAAATTCTATTGTGTTGTCGTATGGCCCCTGTTTCCAGCAGCCTGCACTGATCAGCTTGAAGTGTGGACAACAACATCCACGAACCTCTTTGTGTGGTACATACAAATGCACCATATAAGCATTAAACCACAAATACATTGAACAAATGACTGAAACTTTCAAAACGTAATACTTATTAATTTTTCGCGTAATATACTGTAAAGTGCAGTCCTGTATTATACAAATAATGTAATGATAGTTCAGTACCTGTGAGATGAACGTTATTTCATATAAGACCTCTTTCCGCACGGTGTTGCTCGTTTCGTTGAGGACGTTGATTGTTGGGTGCAGAGTGATGGCCTCACAAGGCATGCGAGCGAGGACCATGTCCATGTCCGCTTTGGTCATGTTCAGATGCAGGAGTCGTGGATATTTGTTGATGTCAATGTACGTCGTAAATGCACATACCATGTAAACCCCTTCCAGGAGTGACGAGATGACCCAGATGCATCCAGATGGCAAGGCCAGTCCAAAGATGTAGAAAGCAAAACAACATTTTAAACGTTGTGTAGACTTTATATTGTCTTCATTAGTTGGACTGTCTTCATTTGGTTGGCCTCGTCTGATCTTACACCGGTTCCAGCATTTTGTTGCCCATCTGCAAATTTGATACTCAGGTGTCTGTACAATTGGTGTTTCACTCTCGTTTTCTGTATATGAACAGAGTCCTGATGCCCAATGCCATGTTATCCGTTGGAGAAATATGCTGAAGATGAGCAATACAAGTGCTGGCACAAATAAGACACAGAATCCAGCTGAAGCATTACATTTCCTGTTCACACAAGGGCACTGGAAGACATACTTAGAGAATATTAACTGGCTTGCAATGACAAGAAAAGGTATCATTCCACGCCATATCAATTCCCGTTGATGCTTGATATAATTCAAAAGGACTGTAAATATTTCTGGCATTTTTTCAGCAAATCAAATAAAATGAAATTTCTAAAAAAGTATTGGCTAACGTAAAAAAATCTAATTTTTAGGTACCGTATTTTAACTTTCAATGAAAACTTTTTTAAAGTATATTAAAAAGGAGAACTCGCTTTATATGAATTGCACAGCGCGGTGTTAGTAGCAGAGTTCTGGAGTTAAACGAAGGAGAGTCGGTTAGTCCCGTGCAGTCCAAGTCCTTCTGCCTTCCTGTGGTAAACACTGTTTATAAAGAAGAGGAAAATGAAACTTATTTCACGTACTTCCATCTGCATTTTTAAACAGACATGGACCGACATACTGTCCACATAATTGCGTCACACATCAGTTGTGAAATAGAATGTTCCTCTTTCTGATATCAAGACACCCAGTACATGTCAAGAAGACGCCTACATATTCACGTGTTTCCATATGCAGGCACGACGTGCTCACCTTCAAAAACAAGCGTGACTTGGCATCTATGCACGAAAGAGGCTGTACAGCAGATTAACATCTTTCAAACATCTGCACAAGGTTTTGTTCCCTCTGAGAACGCTACTCTGAACAAAGAGACATGCATTATTATTGAAACCTTTTCTTGACGAATATGTGACGATGTGATCATGACTGCGATGATGATGATCATGCTCATTAAAAGATCATTCTGTGCCAGGAATATCGCTCATTTCACAAATAAAAAAGTACTTTACCCACAATGTCAAATGTAAGGTGTTCTTTAAACAAAATTCCACACAGTGACTATCCTTTTGATTGCTAGCAAGAGGGAAGTATATGGCGTAACACTTTCATTTTGTCTATAAAAAAAACCTTAACAAATTCGTCAGCACTCCCTTAAAATTAACATGTTTCAGGCAATGGCCGTTCTTCATGTCACAAACAGAAAGGCTCGAGAGAGATCGAGTTCATAAGGGTTGGGAACTCCATGGGACTTAATGAGAAATAGATTTTTAAATGTTTTCTAATAACCAGTTTTTTTTATTCCGCATATGAAGTTACATTATCATAGCTACCGATAACTCAAATTAATCATAAGCATTGTTGTGAATATAAATAACAAAACAAGTAGACTTCATCATAGTCGTCTCTACACATACAACATGAAAGTGTCTTGTGGAATGTGTAATTTCATCAGATATTATGTCAAGGCCGTAATAAAAGTGTATTGGGTTAGATCGCATAAATATAAATGTGTCGTTAAGCTGGATGACATCAAACCTTCTGAAGCTAAACTCGAAAAGACTAAATTCATCGTGCTTGGAACCCACCATCAGCTTGCTCGAGTCAACTGTGAGTCGATCCACAAAGGTGGCTGTGACATCCCAGTGTGGGACAAGGCAACATGGCTTGGTGCCCTTGTCGACAGCGAACTCGCATCAGGCGCCCCACTGGACGGAGCTTCTACCACGTTGACAACTGCGCCGCCGCAGCAGCAGCAGCATCCCGCTGTGCTGCTCTCTGTGTGTGCAGTGACTGTACAGGCTGCAAGGATGCTCGTCCACGCATTCATCGTCAGCCGCGTGGACAATTGCGGTGCCAGCGCTGTTCACCTGCGGCCACTCCAGTCGCTGTTGAATACTGCAGCTTGTCTGATAGGAGACAGAAACATGATCCCATCACGAGCTTGATCTGTGATGAGCTGCACTGGGTCCTTATTAAATACAGGATTGCGTTTAAATTGTGCCTCATCGTCTTCCAGAGTCTCCATCAATCTGCTCCGTCCTATCTCGCCTACCAGTGCCTACCAGCTCCAACAGACCCAAACCGACTCCGACTACGATCCACAGCTCGCGGCGACCTGCTGCTGCTGCTGTGCCCGCTGCCTGTCCGCCTCGTGCCTTGCGGCCAGCGCAGTCTCCGAGTCTCCGGCCCAAAGAGCTGGAACACGCTACCGACTGATTGTCGGAATTCGTCCCTGAGTCTAAGCCAGTTCTGCAACAGACTCAAAACAATGACTTTAAACTTTCGTGACTGCAGGAATTCATATTCTTGGTTCTTTAGGTAAAGTCACGTAGATAGAAAAAAAAAGTTGAAAATAATAAAAGCAAAAAACCACAATAAAAAATAGTTAAATAAAATTCAAATAAATAGAAAATATATTCTTTGGGTCTTTCGGTAAAGTCGCGTCATAGAAAAAATAATAAAAATATCACGTTTCGATCGCAGCACAAGCAATCGTCATCAGGAGAAAAAAGAGGGGTAAAGCTGCTGAAGCAGGCTGTTGTTCAAGGTTTGAAATGGGTGTAGTAGGTCCAAGGGTCAATGACCCTTGGAGCAAAACAAAGCTCGCCTCCTCCCAACTCCCACTTTGCTTTGCTCCTGCAGGAGCGAGCTGCATGGGCAGCGCTCGTCCCCCGCCCACTCTGGAGCCCTCAGAGCGCCTCAGAAGCAGTGACATTTGGAGGCTTGCCCCCTCTTTTCTCTCCGCCTGATAAAGACCGCTTGTGTTGCGATCGAAACGTCGTGGGCTTTTTGCTTTTATTATTTTCATTTTATTTTTAATTTAATTTTACAATTTTCATTTTCTTATTTCTATTGTGGTTTGTTGCTTTTATTATTTTAAATGTATTATTTGTATTATTATTTTTATTTAAATTGTATTATTTTTAGTCTTGATTTGAAGCATTCGTGACTGCAGGAATCCATACTCGGGTTCTTTCGGTAAAGTCACGTAGGTAGAAAAAATAATTCTTTGTTTTTTTCGGTAAAGTCACGTATAAAGATAAAATAATAAATTAAATAATAGCATACGACGTTTCGATTGTCGTATGCTATTATTTAATTTATTATTTTATCTTTATACGCGACTTTACCGAAAAAAACAAAGAATAATTCCTGCAGTCACGAAAGCTCCAAAATTAAGATAGAAAAAATAAATAAAAGAAACACGACGTTTCGGTCGCAACACAAGCGTCCGTCATCAGGTGATAAATAATGATCTGCTGTTGTGGCTTTATATAGGTGTCGTGGGTTTAATGACAAGGGAACTTCTCCGAGGCAACACATAGAGGGGTAACGGCCCCTCACACCCGATACACTATGGAGGTTACTCTCCAATCTAATACGCCGCTCACTGGTTAATCTACAGGTCTCCCGTGAGTGAAGCTTGAATCTTCACTGGTCAACAAGCTGGAGCCGACCCTTGGCAGGGCTCTTCAGTCCTCAGGAGGCTTCTTGTCTTTCTAGATTTGAAGCTTTCGTGACTGCAAGGATTCATACTCTTGGGTTTTTTCGGTAAAGTCACGTAGGTAAAAAAATAAAATTAAAAGTTAATAAAAATAATAATGGAAATAAAATAATAAATCACGACGTTTCGGAGGCAACACAAGTCTCCATCATCAGGTGGGACCGTCACAGATAAAATTACTGCATCATCTTGATGCAGTGATTTATTATTAGATTTTATTTCCATTATTATTTTTATTAACTTTTAATTTTATTCTTTTACCTACGTGACTTTACCGAAAAAACCTAAGAGTAGGCTTATTGTCTTCAGCTGGACGACGACTGCCGGGACCGTCCAGAGGTCCGGCTTTTATAGAGAGCCGTGGCTCGCTCTGCCCCGGCCACACCTCCCTTCTCGATCCTTCTCGCAGAACCTGGGGGGTGATGTCATCCCCCAGCCCCCCTCCTGGGCTCTGAGGTCTGCATCTCGGTTACCGTTGGGCCCCGTGGCCCATGGTCTATTAACACTGGGGCTCAGCCCCTCTTCCGCCCCCTATTGACACGTATGAGATACCGGCTAACTGCTAACAGCACAGGAAGTGTACAATAATACCTCGACATCGGCATGGGGGGGAAGGGGGTGGGTTTTGTAGAGTCGTGGCTGCAGGAGTTCACGAGGAGAGGGGGGAGGGTTTGTGGCGGGCAGCCACCACTCTACAACCCCCCTTTCCCTCCTCCCGTGTCTATATAAAGCCACAACAGCAGATCATTCTTTTCTCACCTGATGACGGACGCTTGTGTTGCGACCAAAACGTCATGTTTCTTTTATTATTTTTTCTATCTACGTGATTTTACCGAAAGAACCAAGAATACTCAAACCAATGTTGTTTCAGAGAGCCTACTTCAATACGTGATCAATGCACATTCGTGATGGACTGGACTCATAGGAGTGTGCAACAACAAATGTTTTTACATTTGTAGAGCCAGTGCGTGTGCAGAGGGTGCAGGGACAGTGCATGGTCAAGCGGTCACGTGTAGTAATTAGGGGGGATTGAGATGAATAGAGGGCGAGTTGAGACACAGGGGGAACCATCAAAAGAGTTCAAGAAAGGGGACGTGGCCGGGGATAAAAGGAGGCGAGAGACGAGGTTCGAGGCTGCCATGGGATCGGGGTCGACCGTCTTCGCGTCGTCGCCACTTGCGTGCCATCCCTGGCCCAAGTTCTCTGCGTGTCATCCCTGGTCAAGTTATCTGCGTGAAGCACCCTAAATAAGAAATAAAGAAACCCTCTAGAGTTTGTGTTGTCCGATAGTCATCACACAAGTGTAGTGGCATAGCGCTGGCTGCTGGCAGAAAAGGGGATCTGCGGCGTACGGCAGTCCTGACGTCAGCAGGCCAGGATACACGCGAGAGGGGTATCTAGGTGACACGTCACAGAAGGGCCCACCAGAACCCGCTGGTAGGTTCCAGAGAGGGGGCGTGGCCACGCTGACGTCATAAGCGGGGCCCCTGTGGGGGACCTCGGGGCTGTTGTTGGAGTGGGATCCCCGTTGTGCTGCTCAAGTCCTTTGTCGCCATTCTTCTCGTCGTCTTCACCATTCTTCTCGTCGTTGTCTCTGTCTCTACCAACTGTCCAGCGCGCTTTACACAGCGCGTTGACGCAGTAGAAATCGCGTTGACGGCGAGGCGTGCCCCATCGCCCTATCCCCGCCGTTACTTTCCCGCCCGCTGGCATTCGCCTCTGTTCGCACAGCGGATTAAGGCTTATCCACCCCGGGGGGGGGGGGGGGTGCATATTCATGCCGCCGCCGGTTCTTTTGTCCAACGCTCACCTTTGCGAGGGAAAAGCGCCCCTCGTGCGTTCACCTCTAGTGGTGGGGGGGGGGGGCGTGTGGCGCGGGGGGCGATCGCCCGATCGGCGGGGGCCCGGCGAGAGGAGGAGGATGGGGGGTGAAGGGGGTGGAGGGCGTCGGCCCCCACAGTGACGCTAAGCACAAAACCACTCCATGCTTCTTTGCTTATCATTAGAAAAGTCCGAACACCAACTATTTCTTATTTGCTGTCACTCAATGGTACGGCTGTCAGCTGTCCTGCTGCGTCTCCCGGTAGCTGCAGGTGCAGGGCTCAGCCACCAGGTGGCGCCTCGCGGGCTGCTTCGTCACCAGGACCACCGCGACATTGCGGCGGCTCTGGACATATTGAGGGATTCTTTTTACTGAATTCGAAAAACATGTTTCTTGTTATTCTGTTTCCCGACCCCCGTGTCAGGAGTAATGATTGTTATTGTTGCATGGAAGCACAGTGACGGATGGCGAAGGCTTTGGGGACGCACTCATCCAGCAGTAGACGGATCGTGGCTCGCCATCGAACAGCGGCGCTTTCAGGCACGCTTCTGCGGCCGTCTGGAACGCTCCTTCCCACATTAGGAAGCCACTGTAGCTACGCACTCTTAAATAATCTAGCTTCTCATTATTTATAGAACTTGTTTTGGTGTTTAGTTTGTTGTCCTTCCCCCGCACCTCCGATTAGCCACGGTTGGCTACGTACGGTGCGAAAGAAGTCTATGTGTTGCTCTCTCTCTATGTATCTTTGTGATATCTGTCTGCTTATATGTATGTCTATAGTTTTCTGGTTAGATTTGTGTTGCTATTTCATTTATACCTGATGATGATTGCTTGTGTTGCAATCGAAACGTCGTATGCTATTATTGAATTTATTATTTTATCTTTATACGTGACTTTACCGAAAGAACCAAAGCGTAATTCCTGCAGTCACGAAAGCTCCAAATTAAGATTAAGTTCAACATAACCCAGCCTGGGCTGATGACAACGATGGTGGAGTTCTAGAGGTTTTTGTCACCCCCCACCTGCCACCCCCTTGATCTGGAGGGTTTCCCCTCCGATCTGGCATCGCCGCCGCTCGCGAGCGGTGTTGTCGGAAGTGACGTCACGGGCCCCGGCGTCTCGCTCTGGGCAGTAATCGGCGCCGATGTTTATTTCTGTCACGAATTAAAGACGCGGAAATAAACAACAAAACTTCGTGGCCATGGCGAGTGAGGAGAAGCCAGTGGTCTACACGATGGAGAACAGGCCCATAGTGACGTGTAAGATACAATATTAACGCGTGCGTCGGAATCAATGTGTGGGTCTGGGACTGCTCCTGGAATCGGACCAGGCCCCAGTGCTTCCGAACTATAATCCCACATTAGTTTAACTATTAATAATAATAATGATGATAATGGTTATTGTTCTCATTACATGACTACTGCAATATTTTACGTGCGCGGTTCTTCGGTGCATTCGGTTGTGATGTAAAAAAACATTGCTGAGGTGCACTGCAGTGGTGGTAGGTCCCGGCATACGAACGTGGACAATATCGATACGCAGTGCGTGAAGGCTCGGAGCAATTAATTAGCATGTTGGTGTTTTCATATGGCGGGTATATCGATAAGGCGGGTATATCGATATGGCGGGTATATCGATATGGCGGGTATATCGATATGGCGGGTATATCTTGTACATGCGAAGCCCTTTCGGCAATGCACTGCTCGGTCAGGGCCTCTTCTTCGCCGTGATGGCCGCGGGAGGTATTTTGACCATACTACACCACGCTGCCTGATAGAGGTGAATGTGTGTCGTTAAACCCGCCACCACCCGACACAGCCAACTAGTAAGGGTTGTCACGTCAACAGAACGTGCCACCACGATGGTTCGTGTGGGTTGGTAAGTGCGGGGAGCATAGACGTCGGAGCACGATCCAGGTTCAACTCGACTTAGCTTCCGAGATCGGGCGCATTGCGGGTGATTTAGTAATTGGCGTGGTGTACATTATTGTAATACAATTGTACATCTTAATATCACAGTGCTGTACTAATTGAACGTATGTTTATTAAACGTGCGAGAGCCCTTTTAGGTCAATTGTTTACATTTAGTATTTCAATACGGTACGTTTAGTCATTGGGCTCTAACGAGGTTAAATGTTGACAACTACAGTGTACAGTATTGCCAGCACCACCTTCTGTACAAGACCTGTGAGTCGGCCTATAGATTTTTGGACGAATGTACTTCAGCTGCATTTTTATAAATTATGACGTTCTCGCATTTATGAGCCTTAGCAGACCGTGGCAAATTAAAGAATGCTTCTGTGTGGCCTGAATATCATGGGGTCTATTCAATACACGACAGAAATGCAAAACCAAGTCCGTTTCCTTGCATTAACACATGCCGATGTAAGATGTTGGACCAAAAGTCCAATATTCAGGTAGTGAAATGTATTTATTTTAAAGTAGCGTAGCAGACACTTTTGTATGCTAATGACTGTGATACCCACAATCCAGCATGCAGGTAGATATTGGTGGTGCAGTGGTTATGCATTGGCATATGAACCCAGCGACCTGAGTTTTATTCCTGGACACGGCTAAGAACGGTGGCGAGTGAGCTCTCAGAATCATAATATTTATCCTGGAGAAATCCGATAAGCTATGAAGCTCTTTTCACAGATGTCCAGTAGGTCTGAATCGGTACTGAGTACCACACCCATTCACCAACCTGCACTGACCAGCATGGTACAGTGCGGTTAAGACCCAAAACCAAGTCTACTTAAGAAAGAAGGAAGCCTTGATTCCTCAGTAGATTGACAAAGGATTGTGCATCACTATTATTGATATAGCATGACAGTGCATGCTATGGTTTTTATCTGAATTTGGTTTTGTTACTCGTTGGTGCCCTTGAACCAGATATGTTTTTTTTGTTTAACACATCCTAAACATTCATAACTTGCTTATGGTAAACACAGCTGTTTTGTGTAATACCAGGGGCAATTTTTTTCATTGCATGCAGGTGGTGGAGACCAATCCCTGTTCTCATCTATTTACCAAACCCTGGTGCAGCAACTCCCAAAAGAAGCAGTTGAATGGAGGCGGTAAGTGTTGCCTGTCTGCATTTGACACACCTTACAATATTTCTGAGCCATCAAACATTTAAAGTAGGTTGCAACCAAAAAAATGAATTGTCTCGTATCTAGGCTGCATGTCCTGAGTCGTTCAACACGAGTTTGAAGTATAGTTTGAAATAATAGACTGTAACTTGAATTTGTGACATACTTTTTCTTACATCACTACAGGGACATGACCACAGCATGTCACTGCAGTGATATGTCATCAACACTATCGCGATCAACACCATTGCAACAAGCACCATCACCATTCGTACTATAATCGAACGTACACGAAGGTCATGGCGGTGTGCGTGAGGGTGATTACATCACCATCTCCATTCGCAACACCGCCGTCAACACCATCATCCACACCATCATGAGGGAACGTGCACGAGGCTCTCGGAGATCTGTGAGATGATGATGAGGGGAACGGCACTGTCAGCATCAATATGTGCCTCGGCTATTACTGATGCTATGTACTGTATTTAAAAAAAAATCACTTTCAGGTCTCGTTTCTTACTAATGAAGGTTCGACTCATGTCAGAAAGCCCGCAACACATGGCCTATTTTGGAATCTACATCATAAGTACTATTTTTTTTTGGTTACAAGTTTCATGAATTACCTTATAAGCATTAATATCCATCTGTAGCAATATTTTGAGAATGTTGCATTTTTGTGAACGAAGTGGGTGACTCAATGAATGGGTGCCATGCGCAGGTCATATGGGCGTCCCCCAAAGATGATCAACCTTGAAGCGAACTTTGTGGCGTTCAAGGAAGATCTGCTGCCAAAGGAGGGAAGCAAGGCCCTGCTTACATTCCCCTTCCTGCACATATTCTGGACGGATTGCTGTGTGAGTTCTCAGCACGACATAAAGCGTGCTGTTAATAAGCATGTTAATGGAAACGTAATGCCCATTTTGGGTAAGTGTGTAGGTAGGTGAGTAGGTATGTGTGGAGGTGGTTATGCAATGTATTAATTTGAAAAAGAAAGTCATGAAAAACAATATGATAACAACATGTGTACATGATAATGTGTAAAAATATGAAACTTTAAAATTACTGTGAAACCATAACTTTGCTTTAAATAAAATGACATTTTCAATGTAGCTCCTAGTAAAATTGGTTGCATTATGTTTCATTTATACTTACATATTACACTGCTAACATGAGCACCATAGATTAACTCTGCACTTGGAAGCTATTTGCACAGGAAACTTAAGTTAGCCTAAGTCATTACGTTCTGATTTCACTGGTCAATTCATTTCCAAAAATACTATTTATGTCTGTCAGGATTTATAAAAATGAGCAACATTCGTTGAGAAGTCAATGGCAGCTGTTCTCTGGATTGACTGACTGCTGCAATCAGAATATGGGCTTTATATCATCTTTACAGAGCTATCAACAGGGTATGAGCATCTCGCTTTGCTCGAGTAAAAAAACTACTAATTTTAACGAAATTAAATGTTTGTCATTCATTATCACATTACCACTTTCAAAACAGTGCAGCTGAAAATGGTTTAGAGTTTCCATATTGTTACTGAACTGTCAAAGGAAAACAATCGATTGGACCATGAATTGGGACTCATACACTTCAGGTAATGGTGGTGATGAATATGTTTGGTGGAGGTGGTTGTGGTAGTTGTGGTAGTCTTGGCATCGGGTAACCAGAAGCTTTTCTGGCTGTGGGTTCTGTATGCAGGAGTCGGAAGTGTACAAGGCATCGACGAAAGAAGAGATCACGCGCTGGCAGTCAATGCTGCGTGCGTACAACAGCCCCGACTGGCTGGTGGTGCTCGTGGAGAATGAGAACCGAAAGAAGAAGCAGCCCATTGCCCTGCCACGAACCTCAATCATCGACAAGATCAGAAACGACTTCTGTAACAAGCAGAGCGACCGGTGAGGCAGCTGTGGTGGGCGCTGGCACGTATGGGGCTAGGGTTAAGGATGTGGTGTGAAGCTAGGGCTAGGCATATGGTCAGAGATAAGGATAGTGTTAGGGTTTGTTTGGTTACTTTGGTTGTGTTTGAGAATAGTGTTGGGTTGGCTAGTTTGGTTCAGGGTATAGTCTGAGTAGCTAGTGTGGTCTCCCACTTGCCAAATATGGCTTTATCTTTTAGATGTTGCTTTTCATTTTAGGGACCGGATTCATGTTTTAGAAATATATTTGAATCACATTGCCTCGTCACTTTGCCCAGTTGTACTTAATGGAGATCTCTGTACATCTCTGGAAAAAAGTGTTTGGAAAAGCAATATTCACCAACATGTCAATATATAACGCTTGGCATTTGCAGTGCAGGTCTGCAAAAGGTATTTGTAGGAGGTTTCATACTTTGTATGGACGTAATAATATTTGTTAAACACTGTAGAGCAGCAAGATGTCTGTAAGATTATTATGCTGTCTGAATATCAGCGTTTGATCATATTTATCCAAAATTGCATTGGGGATTATCAGGACACTCCGGGTTTCTCCCACTGGTCGTAGACGTGTAACAATACACCCCCATTTCGTTTTAAAGCTTTCGTGACTGCAAGGATTCATCTTCTTGGTTCTTTCGGTAAAGTCACGTAGAAGGGAAATAATAAATGATAAAAATAAAACAATAATTAATGAATACAAATAAAGCATACAAATACTACATAATTATGTTATATTTTTATTATTTTATTATTTCCCTTCTACGTGACTTTACCGAAAGAACCAAGAATATGAATCCACCCCCGACAAGTCAATGATATTTGACAATTATGGGTCATGATTTCATTCAAGAATCAATTATTTAATTTCTTCTTTGGACTGTCTCATATTTATTTTCTGTCTTGTTTGAACCATTATACTGAGTAATACCTTATATAAATTGTAAATATTAGGATCTTATTTAGATAATTGTATGCATTCATCGATTAAATGTTCGTCATCAACAGCCATCATCAATCCACCACTGCTGAATTCAGGCCTCTCCCCAAGCCGTCGCCATATCTCAGTCCCACGATGTAACAATCCGTCCAGCTCCTGCACATGATCTAACTTCACCACTCTCTCTCTGTGCTCGACATCTTCTCGCATATTCTCTGCTTTTTCTTCGACTCCATCGTTAATGTCGTGCGTCGCTGTTGTCCTTTCTAGCCCGAGCGTACTTATTCTTTTTAGAGGTCATCTTCTCTAATCCCCATGTGTTCCGCTTTTTGTCTCTCATTGTTATTGCAAGCATGAACCTCTTTTTCTTTATGCACATTTCAGCTTTGGCTCAATATTTTTGTCTACGTCTATGTTTCTTACGTGTAAGTCTGAGATTAAACATGTTCTCAATTCGGTGCAATTGAATCGTTACGTACGAACAAGCCGGACCCTCGTGTAAGAACAGTCTCCTGACACCCATGCATCTCCCCCCTTTGCCCCCTGGGCGGCGGCGCCGTCTTTAGGTGCGTCGTGCTCACCGACCCCCTGCGCGACTCGAGTAAAACGCAGGAGTCGTGGGCCTCCTTCGTGGCGAAGCTGCGCATGCTGCTGCTCATGTCGTTCACGCGCAACCTGGGTCGCTTTGAGGACGACATGCGGGCACTGCGGGAGAAGCGCACGCACCCCTCCTGGAGCTTCTGCCACTACTTCATGGTGCAGGTCCGTGCGCGCGCGGAGCCGGGCGGCGCTTGCCCATTGGCGCTTGCCCAGGCACGCAACGGTCAATGGACATGTTGCCCCCTTTTAATCCAACTCAGACCATTCTATCACATACAGAACGGGTTTCTCTTTTCATTGAGCAGAGATCACTGTTTATTCAACTTTCAGCCATTCTTTATACAACAGAAATGACTTCTTTTTTTATTTAATACATGCCACTAATTAATCCAGTGCGGGCTTATTTATTCCAGCGATTACATTAATATCTAAAGGCAAATGACTGGATTCCATGAAACAGGTTCTTGGATATTGGGTGTAAACGTTGCAACAACTTTGGGATCTAGCAGAAGGAAGTCCGCAAGGGGGAGGGGTGGTGGCTTATCGACATGAGCTGTTATGCCCACTTAACCCTGATATTGTTTACTACTCCTAGAGACCCGTGGCCTTATTTACATGGATTGTTTAAAAAGTTCCATATGTCAAGATATATTGTTTGCAGATGGTTGTTAATGTAATGGTTTGCCTGTTTAAATGGGGAATGTGGCAGAGTGTGTGTGTGCGTATTTGTAGTGACATCAGGGATGTCACTGTATGGTGCCGGCCCGGGAGGGCCGTGGCGTGCGATGTACTTACATCGCGGACGGCACCGGGTGGGTTGCTGTGTGGGGCCGGCTCTAGAGCAGCACGGCGTGCGATGCACCGTCATCGCGTACACCCCGTAGATGGGTGTAGTACCAGCCCTAGCGGGGCTTGGTGAGCGCTGGGATAGCACGGGCACCACGCATGGCGTGTAGTGCGGGCTCCCTCCCACAAGGGGGAGTGGGAGAGTGTCAGTCCAGGGGCAGGGTTGCCCCTGGCTGCGGCACTCTGGTTGACCCCGTAGACACGTGATCCGGAGTGTCCACAGAGGAGGCCCCAGGTGGGGGGGCTAGGGGGTGACCACGTGTCCAGGGAGAGCTCTCGAGAGGGATCGAGAGGGAGCTAGAAGGCTCGAGAAGGCGGGTGGGGCCGAGGGTGGAGCAGGCCCCGACCTGGGAGGATATAAGGTGGGTCCCTTAGAGGGACCAGGGTCTCTTCGTTCTACAAGCTGGAAGCTCCATGTCGACAAGCTTCCAGCTTCCAGCTTGTCGACGTGGGGGCCCTACCCTTCGTCGCTGTAACTCCTCCCCATCGTGTAGTTAGCTGGGTGGTCACCACCCTCGGCTGTATCTGGTAAAGGGCAGTTACCCCTTTGTACTGGTAGGAACCTCCTGGTTACACCAGCCCACAGGGGATATTGTGTCCGTCCGTCGTGCATCCAAAAATGGGAGGGGTGGGGCTGGGTGGATAGGGGAGGGTGGGGAGGGGCTGGGTGGGGAGGGTGGGGCTGGGTGGGGGGTGGGAGGGGTGTTTCTGGGTGAGGAGGGGCTGGTCACCCCGTGGTGCCCTTATAAAACTCAACGTTTAACCTACTCACGCCGGCTTGTGCCCGCCCTCACAGTCGGGCATATTTGCGGAATACACCACGCCGCCGTTCACCCTGGCCATTGACCGAGCAACCCAACGTTCCTACCAGCTCCCTCCACAGGAATGTGTTTTATACGCGTTACAATAAATGTGTTGCCTCTAAAGAATAACGTCTGCGACTCAGTTGGACTCACTCCACATTGATTAATACACTCGGCTACACTAATGAGCTCGGTGACCTGTCTTCAATTGCCGGCCATGAGGAACAACATCAGTGGCCTTTGTAAAGTAATTCTCAGCATCACATGAATACCTGGTGAAGTGTCGTGGTCAACATTGGCAATCGGGAGACAGGTGACTGGACATGTGTGGTGCTGGTTACACTTCCGCCCGTGGAATGTTAATATGTTAATATTAGTGGTGCTAATAGGCAATCGCTAACAGCACCTACTACTGTGGGCCGGTCTGTGAGACTAAATGGGGGTTTGTTTGCCCTTTCACAGGAGGAACTCGCGTTTGTGTTCGAGATGCTGAAGCAGTATGAGGACGCACTGGTGCAGTACGACGAGCTCGACGCGCTCTTCACTCAGTACGTCGTCAACTTTGGTGCCGGAGGTAACAACAAGTCTCGCCCCGTCACCCCTGCGGGCTGTTTCGCTCTTGAGTAGTAGGACATAATAGATACATCTTCTTTGGGTCTTTCGGTAAAGTCACGGAAATAGGTTCAAAGAAAATAACAAAAACGACGACGTTTCGATCGCAACGCAAGCGGTCGTCTTCAGGAAAAGAGGGGGGGGGGGTAGCTTCCAAAGGCAACTACAGAGAGTCCCCGAGTTACAACGGTCCCACTTACGATATTTCGATCTTGCGATGGCGATCGCGATACGACAAAATTGTAACATATTTTACATTTCGCGCAGTAGGCAAACGCAGCAGCGTACGAGGTACGATGCTGTACGTAAGACGCCTGGGTAGGCTAGGCCATCTTCGACTTCCGATATTTTTGACTTACGATGGGGTCGTCGTAACGCATCTCCATCGTAAGTAGAGGACTGCCTGTATTTATAAGGGCTTGAAAAGGGCGTAGCCCAAATGGCAGCAGCCAATGAATATGCAAGTGGTGGGCAGCCAACCCGAGGGTGGTTGGTTTTCCACCAATCAAAGGGCTGCCGGGTGAACATTTGATTGATTGCTGGAAAACCAATCACCGTGGGGTTGGCTGCCCACCCACCACTTGCATTATTGGCTGCTGACATTTGGGCTATGCCCATTTCAAACCCTTTCAAGAGTTTGGAAGCGAACCCCCCTTTTCCTGAAGACGACCGCTTGTGTTGCGATCGAAACGTCGTAGTTTTTGTTTTTTGTTATTTTCTTTGAACCTATCTACGTGACTTTACCGAAGGACCGAAAGAATATTAATTCCTGCAGTCACGAAAACTGTAAGTCAAGATATAATAGATGCAATTTACTGTAAACATTTAACAGAAGTGAGCATTTTGCATAGAAAATTGTTCCATGGTCTCATTGTATTGAATGTCAGAAGAGCTCCTGTCAAATCAATAATGGAGTGTCCTTATGCAAGATGGTGAAATGTTTTCAACTTCACATTGGTGAGGCTACATTCTGCTCTTACAAAGGCAGGTAAATTGTTGTAGTTTTTTCTGCAAGTTTTGGGCAACCCATTGATAAATTGGCACATTTATATGTAGGGTAAGTCCCTGACAGCAACACAAGTTTAAACTAAATTATAATTCGGATAATTTTCACGAGAGTTTTGACCATATTTTACAGATTTACAGACAGAAAGACAGTGTTAATACATGAATACTTTCAGCCTTATTTGGGAAGCATTAATCAGGGTCCTGAGAATCAATGCAGCGTTCCTGGACACACGGTTACATTAATGGCACCATTCTCATTAACACCACGCGGACGCATGTGCGTGTTTGTGCAGACACTGCCGATTGGTTGTCAAGCTTCCGTCGGCCAGTCAGCAGCTGGGTGGGCCTGGCACTGTGGCGGCCGATCGACATGGGAAAACGAGAGGCGGTGCAGACGGGGCAGGCTTCGCTGCTCGATCTGCGCAGCTACCTCTTCTCGCGCCAGTGCACACTTCTCTTCTTCCTGCAGCGTCCTTGGGAGGTGGCGCACCGGGCCCTTGAGTTGCTGCATAACTCTGTGTTGGAGTTGCGCATGCTGGAGGTACAGCACGCACGTTGCAGCAGCAGCGTTTCACGCGAGGTCTCGGCAGCCGAGTATGCCACGATAAACCAAACGTGACTGGTCAAGATCCATCCATATATGACGTGGCACCACGGAATACTGAACAGTCATTGTTAATTATTAGTGGAATGGTTAATGTCTCTTAAGGCCCGTAACCACATCACCCGAAATGCACCCAATCTCATCAGGAGTCGCAAGATCAACAAGGAAAAGTGATTAGATGGGTGACTACCATATACTAAACAGATTGTTATAGGCTGCGGACTACATTGTGGCCAGCAGAGGCCACTGCAAAAAATTATTTGTTTTCCTGTACTTCTATCTGCCCACATCTGTGCCACCCCACTGTCACAAACCTGTCCTGACCAATGTATTGATCAAATAACCCCAACGACCTTCATGTCATTGGGAAGCTCTCATAGAGCAACATATTGACAAAAGGGGCTGTATATATACACTTTCTCTAAGATGTTTTATCCAGTGGGGTTAGTTTACCAGTAATATACTGCTGAGATGTGAGTTTGTCATGTAAGAAGAAAGCGCAACCCAATTGGGTGCTGTATTATTTCCAGCAACAGGATTTAGCGCAGCCTCAACGGACTTGACACTTCCCATTGATTGTTGACTTTGTGTCATGAGAGAGATGTAGTGCAGAGTCTGCACCTTGGATTCAGTGATATCACCGCCATGCCCCAGAGAGCCTCTATGGCCCAAACACTCGGATGTTATGTAAACATAGCAAGAGAGACACAGAGACAAGACAGACACGGGCTTAAACACAGAGAAAGACACTGAGAGATCCATAAAGACAGATAGAGATGTGTAGAGAGAGATGCACAAATAATGTAGGGGATTCTAAATACGTAAGGGGGGGGCCCTGTGTGCATGCACGTGCAGTACACACAGACTGCACTGTTACACGTCTATACAATCAGAGCTCTTTGTCTTTTTGTTTGTTTTATTTTATTCAAGTAAATAGTCCAGAGATATATCTAAAGAAGGCATGTTAAGGGAAAACATTTTTATTTTAGCAATTCAACAGATCCCGTTATCTTTGTTAAGGTCTATTAAATCAATGTAATCTCCAAATCACATTGCTCACGTTGAAATTCCCAGATCCAAATGCCGGTGGGTGCGGTTGATTGCTGGGTCTACATCAGCTGCCTGGAGGTGCTGCAGAGGATCGAGACGTTCTGCGACACCAACCAGAATGACTCGTTCGCTGCTTATGCGGCCGGTCTGCGGGCATACGCACGGGAGAAGGTGGGCATCTTGCACACTCAACTTTACAGTATTTGGCTGCTATGACGTTTCACGTGATAAGCCGTGTCATTGAAATATCATTCGTGACCAGGTTGCTTCTAAAAAACAACCTCTCTAGCTTAGTGGGCCTTACCTGGTAACATAAAATATCGTTTCTAGTTTAGTTAAAATATAAATTAATCCCAGCAACCAGGATGCACACATTGTGCAGGCCTTCATGCAATGGGACATTGATACTTGGTTATGAAGCTCTCAGACTAAATGTTTTGCTTGTGATCTTTGTGTTTTGAATGAAATTCAGTGCAAACTTAGACTAGCTTTAGGGGAACGCTTTTTGAAGCCCTTTTCACATTATGGAACTCAAACTGGAAAATGAGTGTCATAAAGGTCGATTTTTTTAAATATTTGTAAGTGATAAATAACTTAATATTATTGCTTATGAGTGGTTTCAATGTTTTCTGGTTACCATCCACAAATAATATTTATTATAGACTGCCAGTACACTCACTCAGATTAAGAACAGTCTACATTAGTGTTTTTTTTTACTTAATTTAATTTTCATTATTTTACATTTTTATTCACTTTATTATTATTTTTCTATCTACGTGACTTTACCGAAAGAACCAAAGAATATGAATTCCTGCAGTCACGAAAGTTTAAAGTCAACATTTTGGGAGTTTACCAGTTTAAATATCACTCGCCACTGACATGTCGTTGTGGTCTGGAATTGAACCGAAGTGGCCAGGTTCAGAGGGCAGTGCCCTTGTCAATAAGCCACGGCTCTATCCTTGAGATATATAAAATCAACACAAATTCTAGTATGTGCCATGCATGCTTGCAAATGTGCATGTTTGTGTTTAAACAAGCAAGCTTGTGCTACATTTATGCATGTTCACTTACAGCTCCAAGGCCTGGGCTCCCTGTGTGGCCTTATGTCTCCTAATGGCCCAGACTCGGAGGAGCTGAACCGCACAGTGGACCTGCTGGCTGGCCTACGGGATGACGACGAAGACAGTCGTAAGATGGAGCATGCACAGACAATGGATGACAGTTTATGGAGCACTCCCTGGCAGCGTTGTTTCATTTACACTCGGCTACGAGTCGCACCGCTTCGTCAAATGTCAGCAGTCCCTGTTAGTCAGCAGTCCCTGTTAGTCTATACAAATATATCAACTGGTCCCCATCATGGCAATGTCGAATATTCACTCACCATTGACTCAGGACCAATAGCAGGGATTAACATCATCAGTGCCTATTAGCGAATGGGGCCTCTGATCTGTGTTTATTCAATAACAGTTAGGTGCATGGGAATGATTCTGTAGTTCTGGAGGTAAGCAGCAGTCATGGGGGCCTATGCCTAAGGACCATGGGCTCCTGAGTAGGCTATTAATTTATGGAGCACAGCAAATGGCTTTCTCCATATCTGAAATTTGGCGTGCAGATGCCTCTTTGGCCCCCTACGTTCCCATACACATGATACTCGAATTAGATGTTTTAAATGTCAATTTTAAGATGTATTGCCTTTTATCCCTCTGAGGGCATTTGCATTATCATAACCACTTGCAAAGAAAATTAACCGACTATTGTATGAACATTCACAATGTGTTTGCTGTTTGTAAGCAACTATAAGAAACACTACTTGGGGTAGTTTAAAGTAAACAAGAGTGAAGCTTTGATCTCGTGTTCTTCAAAGGACCAGAAACTGAACTTGAGATTCAGCAAAACATTGAACCAGGGAATGCTATTTCTTTGCCATAAAAATTATGCATTTCATGCAATGGGTTTCTGCTGTTATGCTTATCTCTGTCGATCAACGCCTCTCTGATGCTGTATATCTATCTCATGGGAAAACATCAGTTATAGAGTTACTTGTAGCAAGTACATTTAAAATCCTGTTGGTAGGAATATGTCAGACTTAAAGAATGAGATGAAAGATGTGGGAATACACAAGCAATGGGAACGTAGTGATGAGGTTTAATTCTAAAGTATTTACACATTTCACGATAGCATCTATACTCTTTGTATGGATTCCTGCAGTCACGAAAGCTTCAAATCAACAATAGCATCTACGCTCGCACATACTGACTATTATGCCTAAGTAATGGAGCTCATTTTATGTCATTGTTTTTTGTGATTGATTTTGTTTATTTAGTTGATTATTTATTTGCAGCAAGCAACATTAACAACCCTGGAAAGAAGCTAAGAGAAGCCCTGTCTTCAATGGAAGCCTATGAGAAGCATTACATGGTATGGCTTAATATGAACGCATTGTGATGTACAATCATTATTACAATTGCCCATGAGCAAATCAGCCAGAATCCAGTGTGGGTCATGGGGGTTATCTGACCATACCCAAGCTTCTCAGATCTCAGAAGCTAAGCTAATCTGGACCTAGCTAGTGCTGGTATGGGTGACCGCCATGCATACAACTGGTGCTGTGGACTCCTGTGGGGATTCTTTTCAGCAGAGGGCAGTGCAACAACATCCATTATTGTACTGTACTATTATCCACTGTATATGCTCCTCAGCAACCCACGTTGACCATCGTGTTGAAGGGTAGTCACAATTCCCTCGTGACCCGCACGGCATTGGGAGATTCTCATCCAACAGTGGATTGACAAGCATGGCTGTACTTGTAGATCATTAATACTGTGGAATGATGTTTTAATGAGGTGAAGTGTTGCGAATGAGCATGTGTCAATGTATGTCCTTTGAACCTTGTGATTGTTACAATGCTCACACACTCATCGCGAATTGTCTCAATTAGGATACTGCAGCAAATGGATCTGCTGCCCGTTTGGTGCATGCCATGACTGTTGGCATTTAAGCAAGCGAGCATTGTCAGAGTTAGCATGCTAATACAAAAACGAGGGCTGTGTGTGATTAAATATACATTCTGTGTATGACGCATTAGTATCGATCAAATTAACTGCATATAACTCATTCACATGAGGCCATAGTTTCCATTTTTGTACACGGCTCCCTTTTCTTTGGGATCTTGTGTATTTCTCTATTATACTCTGCATGGCGCATACCGAATACTATATGCTTGACACTCCTACAGACTAAGTACTGGTAGGCAATACCTCTAGAAAAACGCGCCCGTGAAGGTTGGCGTGAGCACTGCATGTGACCGTGTGTGACTGCTGACAGGAGCTGTCGGAGATTGCAATGGGGACATACAAACACATTGGGAGGATTCGTTCAGCCCGACTGATAGGCACGGACCTGGCGGAGTATCACATGTGAGAGCCCACACTGCTCCATGCACGCAGTTCTGCACAGCAAACTCACGTGGCAGTATCTCCCATCATCTGTGCCTGTTTTGTTTTTTTCACTGCATTTTTTCGGGGGCAACTCGGGTTTGTACGATTAACACTCAACCATATGCCCTACACCCTCTGCTTGAGTGCAGGGATATGTGGATCGTCTACATTGTGTGCGTGCTTACCGAGTCTGTGCCCCTTTGTGTTGGTGTCCGTTGTATAGGAGAAAGGGAGAGCCGCAAAAAGCTGAGGCATTTTTGTATGATGCGCTGAAGACATACCGAGACGAAGGCTGGACGCTGCCCGTCACACACACACGCAAGCAGATTGCCACTTGCCAGAAGCAACTGGGAAACACCACCAAATATCCTCGGTCAAGGGATCCTACCTGCAGGACTTCATGTGTCTCATGTATTTCTCTATTATACTCTACATGGCGCATACCGAATACTATATGCTTGACACTCCTACATCCATTGCTTTTGTGACACACAAGCAACCGTCTTCAGGTGAGACAGAGAGAGACAGGCTGCTGAAACAAGTCCTTATATTTAGAGCCGAGAGGGGGGGAGGGGGGGACGAGAGATTGTGCCTCAGCGAGTGGGAAAGCCACCTCCTCAGCTCGTCATCGTCGTGGAGGTCATCCTCCCTTTCCCCCCCATCTCGGTTCCCATCTTTGGATTTCACACTCGCTGAGGCACAATCTCTAGCCCCCCCTCCCCCTCCCTCCCGGCTCTAAATATAAGGACTTGTTTCAGCAGCCTGTCTCTCTCTGTCTCACCTGAAGACGGTTGCTTGTGTGGCAATCGAAACGATTATTACTTTTCTACCTACGTGACTTTACCGAAAGAACCAAAGAGTATTTATTCAGATACTTCGACACACAAAATTTGCCTTGGACATAAAAAAAAATCTTAATTGAAAAGCAGTTGGACATATTCCAAGCAGGATTTTTCTAAACAGCTATAATGTCCATTTATTTAGTAAAGCCTCACTGAGTGTTATCAGTTTTGTCTGACTGCTAACACAATTCCAAATGGAAGTGTTTTTTTTTCTACTTTCACGTTTAAAAATGAGAAGCTAAAATGTAACTTAGTGTGTTTTATGCAACTGGTCTCATGGCTATTTGTAGCCCTGTCATTGAGGGCATAATCCTTAACAGACACTGCTGCACATACCTGGAGATGTGCAGCCTCCTGGCCAGTGATCTGAACCTGCCTGTGGATGAGAGGGAGTCTTACTTCAAGGAGATCCTGGGGTCCAGTGGTGCAGAGGACCATGGTGAGTTCAGACGTCTGTGCGTGCGGTGGGCTTCGCACCCAAGTGTTTGCCTCGGGGTCTCGCCAGATTGCACATGGTCAAACGCATCTCACAGATTCTTATATTTCAGCCAATAACCTTGTCAGGATACCTGTAAAATGATACATGTAACTTTTTGAAGCGCAATCTGGGACGTGCTACTCCAGACTGGCCACTAGGCTGTGCTCCTTCATACTCTGAAAATCGTGATGAGCCCCATGTAACTCGTGGAAAATAAACGTCCTCAGAGCTGGGGTCGGCCAAATTAAGTGGTTATTTTATGATTGTCCAAGACCATTACAATGCAGAGTTGGGTTTAGTTGTGGGTAGTTGAACCTAGATTTGAACGTCGGATCTCAGACTTGCTGGTTCAGTGGTCTGACAACGCCATTCTAAGCCCCTATGAGACGCGTCACGAGACACATCAAGTGCCTTGGCTTGAATTCATGACTTTATTAATGCTGGACTCGGTGGCTATAACACATCTACTTGGCCTGGCTCTTTTTTAAACTGCCATTTTTACTTCAAAACTATTTTGTTTCAAAGGGAGATGATTACTATATTTGGGTAGAGGAATGTACACATACACGGTGTTTATTTCTCTTTACGCCGAGGGGCTACACGATTAGTGAGCCCATTGTAATAATCTTTGTCTCAACAGAAAGCTGGGTGCTTTCTTTCAGAACTGAACTTTCCACCAACCAGTTATATTTCACACCTCCAATTAGCCCAGTTGGCTATGTACGGTGCGAATAAAATGCTATTTACATACGTATTAAAACAAATAAAATGAAACACTTCAATTTAGATGTAAGGGGCAAAGTAGTTGCATCAATAACTAATCGACATTGTGTCAAGCGGGAGAAACGTCGCAGTCAGCCCCATCTGTCTGCCTTGCTGTCGTTCCGGGCGGCGCAGGCGAGATCCTCCTGCCTCTGGAGCCGGTGCTGCAGCTGTCGAGCGTGCGCTTTACCCCGGCGTCTGCCCTCGTCAACCTCAACGGCACGCTCGTGCTGCAGCTGGTGCTCGTCAGCCGGCTTCCGGCCAGTGCCAACTCCACCGCCATTTCCATAGCCCTCGCTCATGAACCGCGGCCTGGCCCCGCCGCCGCCGCCGCCACCACCGGGGCTACCGGCGGCACGCCCCGTTACCCGGATGGGCGAGTCGTGTTCCCGGGAAACGCGGCGACGGACTTGCCCGTGCGCCGGCAGCTCCCGGCATTGATCGACTGTGTGCGAGCTCAGGGAGAAAGGCCCACAGGTGCGTTCGTGTGGCACCGCCTGCCGGGAAGTCGGTGTTGCAGGGTGTTAGTAGAGACCCGCTGCGTTGTTGGATGGAGTGAGCTGTCGTGTGCTGGTGTCGTAGCTCACACGCCAAATAATACCCCCAATTAAGTTATCAGCTAACAGGAAGGTAGTTGTACGGGCCTTTCCCATCATTGCTAGGTTTCTAATAAATTGAGCACTAAGGATGATGACTTCTTATGAATAAAGTGATCCTGTCTCATCTTTTATAGCTCTTACATTTGATCCTACTGCATCCATTTACTTAGTTTATTATGTCTGTGGCCCAGAGTTCTCAGCAGGCTAGTCAATCTGAAGAGAGTATGAACACCCTTGGCCCCTCGATCCTTGTTTGAGAAATGCTAGAGTAATAAAGAACACTTGAACTTAGCCTGGTTTCTTGTTGACAGCAACTCACGAGAGCCGTCTTGTCGCTGCCCATAGGCGGATGCCCCACTGGCGTCGAGCGGTGTGGTATGCCGCAACTCGCACATGCTGCTGCGCCGTCAGGACTCCAACACGTCCTCAGGCCGCGGTGCTGATGTTACGAGGGAAGAGGCATCGCGCTCGCTCAGGGCCACCGGCGTGCAGCTGAGGCCTGGAAAAAACACCGTCACCCTCTCTGCCGTGGTGAGAGCAAAAGCGCCATCGTGGAGGTCCTCTACAGAGTGGCTCGCTCCTGACTCATTTAGGGCCGATCAAACATTGGGGTGGACACGGTTTGTGGGGAAGTCTGTGTTGCCACCGAGTGCTCCCCTCCCTTTCTCCCTGCGCTCCTGCAGGTCACAGAGCCTGGCTCGTTCACACTAAGGCAGCTTTGCGTGCAGCTGGGCTGCGTGCATCTCCTGTCACGTCGCCTCTATCCTCCACTGCAGTACGACGTCTATTCACAGGAGCCGCAACTCAACCTGCTGCCCTCGCACGGTGCTGCCACACACACATGCACGCGCGTACAACACCAGCCACCGGTCGCCATTAAGTGACGGGGACTTCACACCACTCGTGCCGTGAAAGGCAGCCGGGTGTAATGATGGCCTCACTACTACCTCGTGCGCTATGCTGGCCTTAATAGGTGCTCACAGTCCTTGCTCCAAAAATCTGCGAAAGGCGATGCAGATGTTCTTTGTTTTTATCAATGCTTGTGTGCATATGTTTGTTGGTGCACGATGAACAGAGCCACTGCTAGCGGGTGTGCCTCAAGAGCTGACTGTGACCGTGAACACCGGCTGCTACTCTGTGCGTGGGGGTGACGCCTTGCAGCTCAGCCTCCCAGCCGGGCTGCTCATCCTTAACTCTGGCAAGAACACGGCACGCATCAGCACCGATACTGGCGGTAAGGGCTTTGGTGGGTTGCGATATGCCACGCGTGTTTGATTTATTGCACTGTCACAGCTGCACAACATTTGATACTGCTCAAAGGATTCCAAAGAGATGACTGTGTACGTGCGTTTGTACCAGGAGGCAGCCCAACCTACTAATGGGGTCACATGACACTCACCTGACCCTCACCTCCTCATACCAGATGTGCTCGGCAGACACACATACTAGACACTCGCCACATACTCACCACTAACTAGACACTGGGTGCACTCAGCACACACTTACCAGACACTCACCGATCACGTGATACCATTCACCAGACGAACGTCCACCAGTCACTATTTCTGACTTGGTACTAAACACTCACCAGATACTTAATAGACACCTGACCACTCACCTGACACTCATCACTCACCTGCTATTCTACTCTTACCAGACATACTCTTTGGTTCTTTTGGTAAAGTCACGTAGGTAGAAAAATAATAGATCACGACGTTTCGGTCGCAACACAAGCAATCGTCATCAGGTGGGACAACCGCAGCAAGAAAAGACTGCTGAAGTAGGCGAGAGATCTGCCGTGGCAGAAGGTTATATACTGCCGACAATGGTTTTGCCACCAAGTACTAAGTCATGTTTTGCAGAGGGGTCAAATACTTATTTCCCTCGTTAAAATGCAAATCAATTTATAACATTTTTGACATGCGTTTTTCTGGATTTTTTGTTGTTGTTATTCTGTCACTCACTGTTCAAATAAACCTACCATTAAAATTATAGACTGATCATTTCTTTGTCAGTGGGAAAACGTACAAAATCAGCAGGGGATCAAATACTTTTTTCCCCTCACTGTATGTATGGCAAAGTGATGGTATTGCTTCCGACTCTCTGTGTGTCTTTCTCTCTCTCTCTGTTCATCTCTCTCTGATCTCTCTTCTAGTGACCCGGGTGCTGCCTATGGGGTCCACTTTCTGCCCCGCCTCCTTCTCCCCCCCCTTCTGCCGAGGCCTACTATACACTACACTATACACTACACTATACACTACTATATAACCTCGTGCCACGGCAGATCTCTCGCCTACTTCAGCAGTTGTTTCTTGCTGCGGTTGTCCCACCTGATGACGATTGCTTGTGTTGTGATCGGAACGTCGTGATCTATTATTTTTTATACCTACGGGACTTTACCGATAGAACCAAAGAGTATGGATTCCTACAGTCACGAAAGCTTCAAATCAAGATCTTACCAGACACTCACCACTCACATATTACTGACAAACGTAGTATCATTAGTACCACAGGCTGTACGACAATGCAGTACTATATAATAAGTGGTGTGCACAGAGTGCAGTAGTGTGATTCATCCAAAGATTTGTGACTGGTCATGGTTTATTTGACTTGTCAGAAGTCTTAGGTTGTACTTGAGTCAAAATGTAATACTGTCCTCCTGTCATCCCACGGCAGAGGAGCTCCCGGACGCCGTGTTCACGGTGTCTCCCTCGGAGCGCATCGTGAGCGTCAACCTCCCCGCCACGCCCTGCTACCACACTCTGCGCTTCAGCCTGCGCGTCGCCTGCGCACTGCCGCTCGCCGCGGCTGGCGGAGCAGACGGGCAAAATGGAGCACCGGTGGATAAAGTGGAGTCACGAAAGGCGGGCGGTGGTGCTGTCGTCGAAGCAGACGTTCTTGATCAGAAGGCAAGCCGGCGTGTCAATCGTACCTGTGGATGGCTGCGAGGGTTTTAGGGTGGTGTTATGGTTCACACATTGGACTGAGGTCATGAACAACTTGCGTACGTGACAAACAGCATCACGCAAACGTCAGAGGAAGGCTTCTTCATGAACACTTATGAAGACTCCTCCCAAATGTAAAATATATAAAAAGATCAACATTTTTACATTTGTCGAAATATATTTTACTGCAAACTGTGGGAGTGTAAGTGCTGGTAATGGGTCCTATTATGGCCATTATGATACACATGTTATGGAGTTATGATACACATGTTATGGAGTTATGATACACATGTTATGGAGTTATGATACACATGTTATGGAGTAGTGGGGCCACCATCACACATGCCAGGCCACCTTTGTCTCATCACTGCTCGTGTTCCTGATGGGTGAATTCGTCATAATATTGTCACAATAAACATTAAATTACATGCAAGAAAATTCCAGATATCTATTAATATAGAAACCTTCCCAGTAATGCAGTGAATGTGGTATGCTGTTGGGCTGTATGTATTTTATCTGTGTTCAATCAAGTCTAGGCTGACATGTTGCTAATTGACAATCTCCTCCCTGGCAGATCTCTATTGACAGTCCCTGGTCCATCTACTCCACAATCGTTCCGCTGGCATTCAAAGTTCCCTTCCGTACGCGGCACTCTCTGCTCACGGCTGGGGAGAGGTCAGTGGAGGCCATGAGCTCACATTGCACGGCACCACCATAAAGAGAAATCAACCCTGGTAGTAGTAATAAAAATACCCTGCTTCTATCTATTCCTAGCCCTACCATTCCTCATGTGTTTAATCCTGTCCCTTTGGTTCTTATCATAACCAAAATGTTCGCTCTAACCCTTGCCAAAATGTGTCCCTAAGCCCTAGTCCATGGTTCTAAACTGAGTGAAGACTAGAACTCTAATTCTGTAATTAACTCCAGCCCCTGTCTTAGCCCTTAGATCTGGTCTTTCTTAACCGATATCTTAACCGTAGTCCTAGCCATAGGTTTAATCCTAATTCTTTCTCTTGTCCCATCCTATCTGTACTCGAATGTCTAACCCTTGGAAGTGTCGGTGTCTTTAACCGCATTCCTAACCTTGTTCTATCCCTACTGCTACCGCTATGATCAACCTTGACCTTTTCTCACCTCTTACCCAATTCCTAACTCTCTCTGTAATTATATATCTAGCCCTCGCCCTATATTGAGCTCTAACCCTAGGCTACACAAGATTGTTTCCAATAGGGAATTCTAGCTAAAAATTCACCAGTGGCTGTGCAAAATAAGAGCACACCAAATACGATATTTGAATGGTCACTGATGGCTCAAACAGCTCAGCTTGTTGCATCTAATTATTGCGTCTGCTTTTTTTGCTTTTGTGGTTTAAATATGAACAGAAAGTTTGTGCAGGTGTGCCTGAGCAACACGACTGAGGTCGCGTTCGTGTTGCGCGACCATCATCTGGGCGATGTGACGACTCCTGATGGTGATGGCGGCTGCCAGAGTGCCCAGCTGAAACCGCTCAACCCACTGAGCCACAATGTAAAGGGAGCTTTATAGACCCACTGAGCCACAATGTAAAGGGAGCTTTATAGACCCACTGAGCCACAATGTAAAGGATGCTTTATAGATCCACTGAGCCACAATGTAAAGGGGGCTTTATAGACCCACTGAGCCACAATGTAAAGGGAGCTTTATAGATCCACTGAGCCACAATGTAAAGGGAGCTTTATAGATCCACTGAGCCACAATGTAAAGGGGGCTTTATAGACCCACTGAGCCACAATGTAAAGGGGGCTTTATAGACCCACTGAGCCACAATGTAAAGGGAGCTTTATAGACCCACTGAGCCACAATGTAAAGGGGGCTTTATAGATCCACTGAGCCACAATGTAAAGGGGGCTTTATAGACCCACTGAGCCACAATGTAAAGGGAGCTTTATAGACCCACTGAGCCACAATGTAAAGGGAGCTTTATAGATCCACTGAGCCACAATGTAAAGGGGGCTTTATAGACCCACTGAGCCACAATGTAAAGGGAGCTTTATAGACCCACTGAGCCACAATGTAAAGGGAGCTTCATAGATCCACTGAGCCACAATGTAAAGGGGGCTTTATAGACCCACTGAGCCACAATGTAAAGGGAGCTTTATAGACCCACTGAGCCACAATGTAAAGGGGGCTTTATAGATCCACTGAGCCACAATGTAAAGGGTGCTTTATAGATCCACTGAGCCACAATGTAAAGGGTGCTTTATAGATCCACTGAGCCACAATGTAAAGGGAGCTTTATAGACCCACTGAGCCACAATTTAAAGGGTGCTTTATACATCCGAAATAGAACAGAATCTGAACGCCACACAGCACCACTGTGTTACCTTTGTTCTGTGCTGTTCAACTGTGCTTCTTTAGTCCGTTCGCGCTGCAAGACTTTGTTTAGACTAATGTGAGATGTAATAATGAGTAAGGCCATCCCAACAGCAGTCTCTTGTCCATCAGCCATCGTCCCCCCCAAGTCTTCTTCCTTTTGACAATCAATATTACGTCTCTGATTTTCATGTTCTCCAATCCATGTGTTTTTCTTTATCGCTCAATGTATTCCAAGCATGCATCCACACACATTTGGCACATGTAGCACCTATAGTAAACATTTTTAAGCTTTTAGAATTTATTCAACTGATTCCGCACCATGGAGATGAACATGACCCACATTTCTTTGATCGGGGAGATGCTTGCTGCCTTTGGTGTTAGGACAGGCAATCCCTGAAGCTCCTTTTCTCAGTTGTGACGTCGATGTTGGGGACTTAACAAAGCCTCCTCTCCCGTTCCTGCAGGTTGTCCTGGGCGGGCAGAACATGTGGTTCATCTGGGAGCTTTTGCCGACATCTCCAGCCGCACCACTGCGATGCCACTTCTCTGTGGGTTTCTGGCCGGAGGAGGGAGCCCCGGGCAACCCGTCTGCTGGCCATCCGAGCCCTGACAGTCCCCTTGAAGACGTGGACAACAGCGCCCCCGGGGGCCCTCCTGGTCCCACCACCACCGCCGCATCCGCTGAACCCAGCAGGCACCGCTACGAGTTCACGCTCAGCGACTTTAAGGTGAGACGGAGGCTATGTCTGGATTGTGTAGAGCCTTAGGCAAGATACCACTATTGAGAATTCATATTCGAGTCCGGTTTATATTTTAAATGTGTTTTCAACAGCAAGAGGCACAGGGAATGCAAGAACCAGGGTACGTGACATCCAGACGACAATCAAAACAAGTCGAATAACATTGAGATGTCCCCACGTTATGAGCTAGGAAACAAGAGACGAGCAATAGACACGAAAAAGGACTCAAACAGAAGAATAGAAAGAGCTAGGAAAAAGATAATAGAGGGACAGTATGTACACAATACGGTGAAGGGTTGTCAAGTCAGGAACTAGTCAATATAAGTAATATTTAAAAAACTTTTTTAAAAACACGCTTTAATTAAATGTACCGCAATAATGCATATATTTTGCACGGCAAGTGAGCTGTGACGTCACATCTGTCACGTGACTCGTGTGCGGAAGCGTAACGGAGTGTGCCTGCTGATCGCGGGTAAAGTGAAATACAAATGTGTTGCAGGTCTAAGGCGTTCTTCGCGAATCTTTGGTTATTATTTGAGTCGTTTACTGCCGTACGGACCCTGAAAGTTGGGTGTCTGCAGCAAACGCGTGTATGTGTACCTATGGACGCACGCGCGCGTGTGGGGGGAGCGGTAGTGTAGTGGTTAGCGCGCTGCACTACGAACCCGGCGACCCGAGTTCGATTCCCGCTCACGGCCACCACCGGTGACGATTATTTGAACCGGTCCTGGGCCTCCCCTAGGTCGACTCAGCCTCAAACGAGTAACTGCTGTGGTGTGTGAACATCGCCACTGGGGAGACAAAGGCGGCCGGGCGTGGTGAATCCAAGTCCCGGCCAAAGCCGGGTAGTAAAGCTCGTGATAGAATATAGTATTGTCATCAGTATATGACATAAGTATACCAAGTTTGCAGTCGATGCCACATTGGGAAGTAGGTAAAAATTGAGTTACAAGATTTGAGGATACGACAACAACAGAGTGAGTTAATAAGGAGACCAAATAGTATAATTAACTAAAAGTGACCACTAACACTTTTTGTATATTTTAAATAACTCCTTATAATGGAATTGGCCAGTGCACTACCCTCCTGAAATGGTCTTCAGAAGTTAGGGATTCATTTGTAAAAAAAAATTTTAGAAATTTCTGCAGTGAAATATCATTTAGGCCTACTGGTCTATGGGATGTTCTGATAAATATTTCGAAGTCCATGTATTTTAATTGGCACACTTTGATGAACAGATATTGGTAATTAAAATGTCAGTGGCTTCTCATCTTTTTATCTAAACTGCAAACACGGGATTCTCAAACGGCTCTCACCCAGCTAAACAAATTACAATTAGAAATTAATTACTAGGTTGCTTCTCAAATGGCTAAATTAATTTGCAAGCTTTATAACCAGATGAAAGCTCGTTGGGGCAAGCTTTCTTTCCCAGGGAGATTGTGAATAAAACACAGAGCAAGTTAAACAGAAGGGGCATTAAAAAAATTATCCTTCACAAATTATAATTTAGTAGTAGGTTGCCTAGAGGCTGCATCTAGCCCGTTTGTTGGAATAGATGTTCATGTAAGGAATCAAAGATGTATGTAGAACTTATCTAGCACCATACGAAGCCAACTATGCTAATCGGAGGTACGATGGTTTGGGGGTGCCAACGCTGTTGTCATCAGTCAAAATCATCGTCCCTGTTGTCCAGCAATGATAAATCACGTGTAATGCACAATTCATAAGAATTCTCAATGCACGTCTAAATGCACATTTGCATATATACGCTGACAGGTTACATACCTCTAAAGATAATTCGAGTAGATTTTAGACAAAATAAAATGTAATCGATACCTAACAGGATGCTTTATTTACTTATATTGTTAGATTAACCTTGAACGTTGATATTTTCAATTTCAACTGTTAAGTGCTCATTTCTTGTCAACTGAACTTAAAGTCTCCTGGGGTGTAGACGTCCGACGGCTCATGGACACTGAGCCTGCTGCTAGACATGTAGGCGAGTAGTGGAGGACGGTTAACTTAGCTTAAAGCTCTCTTACCACAGGGCTGTGCCAAGCCAACCCGGTGTGGGTCAGCAAGCAACGGGTTGTTTTTCCACTGCAGAAGCCATTCCACCGACATCAACTGACACGCAATGAACAAGTTGAGTCACATGTAGATGACGCTGTTCTCTCACCGAGTCATAACTGATGTCACATGCAACATACACATCGCTAGCCCTGCCCTAGAACTCAATAGGTCCCATTCAGATACAGACATTCTGCGAGGCAAGCAGGTTGCTGTTGGGTTCCGGCTCGGCATGGCCAGTAGCTGGTGAAATACCATCTGTACCACGAGGGCCTCGCTGTTGCTCGGCTCGAGTGTGCCAGTGGGAAGTGTTACAATGCTGTTTGTAGGTATCTCACACCGTCCCCTATGCACCACAGACTCTGTACATGGTTCTATCTGAAGTGCGGCCACCTACTGGCTTTGACGCATGCCGTATGGGCGAACTGTGCTCACTGGATGTGAGCATTACGCGGCTGCAGAGAGGCGTTGCCACCGATGAGGAGACCCCCCCGAGCAGCCAGCTGTTCTACCAAGGTGAGCGACGCAGCTATCAGGGATACTTTGTTCGATTGAAGCTCTTTGAATTGAAAAGGGCATTTGTTTAAAAAGTCTAACTCTGCTGATGAGGCCCAACATGTCAAAACCTGTGCAGTTCTCATCCTTAACTGCTGGCGGATATTGGTCTGGAAAGCCATGACTAAATATTAATGCATTTATATTTGGGGACATGGAACAGGTCTGTTTATATATGAAGCTTATTGAAGGATGCAACTCAAACACGTGAGGAAAATCATGCATATACATGGATTATAAGAAAAAGCATGTCTTTGGAATTATTTCATTAGCACAGAATATGACGAATAGCTGTCAGGGCAAAATGCTTTTGCATATTTGCAGTCCTTTCTCTTAATTATCTCCAAAGTGTTGGGCATTTGCTCAACCCAGGATAAGCCTGGAGTTCACCCACTTGGAAGTGGGATGAGTGTATTGCAATTAAATTTGAGTTTGATTTGTTACATGGATCCCATTTAGAAAGTTACCCAGCTATTTTAAAAGGGAGATCTGTGGTGCATGTGTACAGCAACAACATAAACATCAATATTGCAGAGAACAGTACAGGGTCCTTAAGGAATATTGCACAACTAATAATGTATTTGATGGCCATAAACGAAACACCTGAAAAATAAAAAAGCTGCAAGAGGTGCCAGAAAAAGTTAGGCACATGTACAGATAAGCTGTGTATTTTAGTCAGTGACAAACACATGCAAATAAAACGAAACTGCATCTAACATTATACGTCTGGTCACAGCCACCTACAACAGCAGCAGGGTCAGTGCCAGTGTGAGGCAGTACAGCCAAGTAGTTTTGAAGAACTGGCAGTCGGGATTGAGTTTAATTTGTCCTCCTTGATCCACCTCTCCTTGCTGCCCCCCTGCAGTGGCTGACAACTGCAGCAATTGGGCTGTGTGCGGCAAGAGCTCGGGGCTGGTTCAGCCCGCGCCCGGGCCAGGCACCACCCACTCCCTGCAGCTGCAGCTCATGCCGCTGTTTGCAGGGAAGCTGCCCCTGCCCGACGTGAGGCTGGCGCGGTTGCTGCCATCGCAGGATGCACCCGGCCCTCCCTCTCTGCACCCAGACAATGGTGAGGCCAGCCCTGATGCTAACACGACTGTTGGAACCCCTTTTGTCAGAATCAGAATATTTATACTGGAGGAATACAATGAGCTATGAAGCTCTTTATAAACATGTACAGTAGTTTTAGATGTCCAGTAGTGTTCCCAACCATAACCCTAATACAGTGTTCTCAAAATACTGGGTAAATATGTGGCTCATTATAGCACATCAACTCGTGATGGCAAAATAAAATGCGACCTACAGTAATTCCATCTAACAGATGAAAAAATGTATGATGCACAGTGTCTGTTCATTGTCCTGCTCTATAAAGAACAATTTGGCTTTGAGTTGCTCTAAAAAACAAGGCCGTACACAATATACATGCGGTGTGGTAATATCTAGGAGAGATGCCAGCTGTGATCAGAGGACCAATCCAAGGCACAATTACTGTACGCCTTTTGCAGTCTCCAGATCTATTACAGAAAGTGTTAGAATTGGGTGTTACCCCAGAGGCAGTGCCAATCTGTTTCCACAGCGATCAGAAACAGCTCATCAACCTGAAACCCCAGACAGCACTTTACTGTTGAGGAATCACTTTTTACTTCTACAGTAAAACCTTGGATTGCGAGCATAATTCGTTCCGGAAACGTGTTTATAATCCAAAGCACTCGTATATGTTGTGATCACGTGACGCTCGGCAGACAAAGCGTAGACGTACTACTCGTATTGCAAGACCTTGCTCGTCTACCAAATTAATATTTATTTTAAAAATTGCTCGTCTTGCAAAACACTCGCAGACCAAGTTACTCGCAATCCAAGGTTTTACTGTATTAGTATTCAACAACTTTAAGTGGCTGCATACAAATTAACAAAACCCATGCACTGTCCTCTCCATCCATGCCCAGTGCCAGATGGAGAGGGCGAACACGACGACGCAGGTGGAGCAGCGGCGTTGCCCAGCGACACGGACAGTGTGCGCAGCCGGTGGTCTGGGGGCAGCGCGGGTAGTGGTGGAGCGGCTGGGCTGGGCAGCTCCTTCCCGCTCGTGCCCCGGTTGCAACAGTTTGCAGCAGGGCAGGTTTACCACGCCAGCCGTGCTGCGCAAGTGCTGGTGCTGCCGGCACATGACCACAGCCTCCTGGACGTCACGGCACCATGACGAGCGCTCCATTGTCGTCACCGCTCCCAGTTTGTGCGGTTAAGTCTCTCAATGGGAGATAAACGATTCCACTGGCACAAGCCAGGATGGGAGAGTCACGGTATGGGTCGTCTTATACCAATTGTTTGTCATGCTGATATGTAAACAATCCCTTGATACGCTTGCTTTGTCTCCATCTGGCTTGGGACCAAACAGGGCAAAGGGGATGGGGCTAATGATTAGAGGGTCACCACACCATTTGTATGTAGACCTTTTTTCAGCCAACCGTGCTAATTGGTGGTGTGAAACCTCTTGACAGGATTGTCATTGAACCACATTTTGCTTGTCTCTAGATGCAACTTCAGTGTGATACCAAGGCTACCACTTTAAATACATGGCTCCACCTGAGTTGGACTGGGGCAAGCTCAGCCCTGATGAGGCCAAGGTTGTACAGTGGAAGTAATTTTCAGTTGTCAGATGGCTCAATACCATTTCTGATCCTGTGTTTGAATCTGGAATTTCTGAGATCTTACTGGATTCTCAAGTTTAGTAAATGGCCACAGCCTAATAACCAATGATTGGACAGGAGGTTTTTGCACTTAATTTGGTTTGTTGCATTTCATAAAAAAAAAGTACATGCAACACTTTGCAGGGCATATTGTGGGGCCTTAAATGTGTAAAGGTGTAAGTGACGAAGTATATTTGGGACACCCGGATTCTATTCTTTAGGCCTTTCGGTAAAGTCACGTAGGTTCAAAGGAAACGACGTTTCGATCACAACACAAGCAGTCATCAGGAAAAGGGAGTTAGCTTCTAAAGGCAAACTGTTAATAAAGGTTTGAATGAGTGTAGGCCAAATGTCAGCAGCATGGACAGGGCAGCTGTTAATGTAAGTGGTGGACGGCGATCGCGATGGTGGTGGGGTTTTCCACACTTGGCCTGCCACCACGGCAGGTAGGCTGAGGTGGCTATGTTAGTGAGAGACGTTAATGTGAGAGGTTAGCACGTTAATGGCAGATTGCAGAGCAGCAACCTCTTGGTCGGTGCGTGAAGGTGGCTGAGACATTTTAACCAGTTAATGTAAAATCAGTGTCTAAAAAATAACTATCATTGGAAGGTGGTAGGACGGGATCACATCCAGTTATGACTTACACTGGTTGATAACATCCCTCCAATGATTGCTCAGTTTGTACCCATCTTCTCGGTTGAAATTGTCTATATGGATGGCTTCATGAACGAATCTTGTGGATAGCCAAGAATATGAATTCCTGCAGTCACAAAAGCTTCAAGTTAGAACAGTGGCCAAAAAACAGGACTTGGATTCGACGTCTTCACTGAGAAGTGTTTTCACCTCATGGCAATACCATAAAACATACTGTGTTAATGGTCAGCTTATAATATAGGCCTGCTCCCTTGGTCAGGATTCAAGCATCAATCTGCTGTTGTGGTGCATGTAGAACCTTGCCTCTAATGACTGTAGGTCATGTGAACCAGTCCATGTACATAGACTATTCAAGCTCCCTTTGCCAGGCCCAGGAGGTTCTCCAAGTGGATTTGCACGATTTAAGGCTGGGACATCCTTCAAGCTAATTGTGATGTAATGAGCTGTATGGAAGAAGTTGCAGCCCAAATTCAGTTTCAAGCCCATTAAAAACAATTGAAAATTACTTTTGATCCAACTCTTTGTGGTTCTTTCGGTAAAGTCACAAAGGTGACTTAGGATATCCGACCAAAGCTTATTAAAGTTTAAAATAATCATGCTCATCACTTCCCTCCAAGCCCTTATAGCTATTTATGACAATAGCTGTGCCACACTATTCCTGGAACATCCTGTTACTCATGCAATACCTAGATCCATTGTCTTCCGAGTCAATATTTCCAAGCTATTCATTGGATGAAACTCACGGATCATGCAGAAACAATTGTATCCATGGATGGGACTGAGGTTTAAGGGTATTCATGTTAAAGATCATTACAAATCTAGTGTGGATGTGTATGGTGTAACAATCAGATTTTTTTTTAAAAGGCTTGTACACTGCATAATCACGAATGTACATTTTTTCTCGTGTCCCTATTTATCATGAGTGCATGCCTAAGAGGATGGATGTCAAGCACCGATTAATAACTGCTCATTCTACATTACTTTTGCAGTGGCACCGAGCACTTTAATGCCTCATTTAAGCGATCACTGATGAATGGATCAGGTTAACATTCATGTACAAGTGCTTTGGAAGTATCAAGTACTCACATACGTGCATGTTTAGTCAGATCTGAATGGGAAAAAACCCTGGAAATAAATAGCAAAATACTGGGTTTTTTTGTCCCACATTCATTAATCCAGGAAAAATCGATCGATGGAAGTGGCTTTGGTTGGATGCAAGATCACAATAAAGGGTTCACACTTTGCACAGAGGCAAGGAACGTGTCACCTGCTGTCTTTACTCATTCACCACCAATCAGGCATCTCCATTTTCTGCTGCCGAATCGGATGGTAGGCATGCGTTTTTACCAGCAGCCAGTTTCTCAACAATCAATGCTGAATTATTCATGTACACTAAATATCCCCCCCCCCCTCACCCCCAAAGGGTGCACTCAATAAAACTGAAATTTTACATTTTTTTAAAAGCTTCAAAGCACTGTTTTGAGTTGGACAATTCAGTGATCACCATGAAATAAAAAGGCACACGAGGTCAGTTAATTGACTCAAGATGTATTAACAATACAGGTTGACCAAAACACCTCATATGAGGACACCGTACTGCTTCAGCACCGCTGTGTACGCGCAGATCTTTTTCTCCACGTTCTTCTCAGCTTTTTTGCGCAGCGTCTACATAAACACACAAAAACACAACACTTGCATTAAGCTGAGTCGACCATCAGAATCGAGTTTTACCATGGGCGTTTTTGGTAACGCTGTGTTTGCCCTCTCAACCCATGGGGTAGAATAGAAATTTCATTGCATGCTCCCATGCAGAGCCACTGCCTTCGAGCATGCAGAATTTTGTTGCTAAAATGGTAATTGTTATTGCCCTTGCTCCACCTCAGAAATTAGGTTTCTATCACACTCAGTCAAACAATGTAGGTAAAAGTAAAACATCATCGATGGAGCGGCATGGGCGCATTCACAAACTGATATTTAAAGGGGTAACACCACTTTCACCCTTGGCATTCATGTTAGACTTAAACTACTGCTCTGTACATGCACTATAATGGTTATGTCGTAGGGTGCAGCTCTATTGTGCATCACAACTGTCGTGTGGTTCTGTACGACTGTTGTGTACCGTCAAATAAAACGTACACGCTCTCGTGAGTGGCGTGGTTAACGTGCGGTGGGGGGACTGTTGTGCATTGCGAACCACTGTCTTCTTCTTCGTTTCGTAGTGCAGCTTGGCTTTCTGCTTCCTCTTCTCCTCCAGGGTAGCAGTCACTGCCTGGTACTTCCAGCCCACTTCATGGGACAGGCGGCCCAGTACTGCAAACTACGCACCAAGCGCATGCCAAGCATACCAGGCAACACACACACCAGGCACACCACACACACACAACACACCAACCATGGGCAGGGCACAAGCACACCACTCCAAACAAGCAGAACACATCAAACAATGCACAGGACACACCGTCACCACAACACACAAGGTGAGTTTCGAAACATTAAGCAGTGGCCAAAATCTCAACTGTCATGAAACCATTAATAAGATACTTTTTGCAGTTCTTAAAGTTGTTACTTGCTGCGAGTTATTAATATGGTGGTCTAACACCACCATTCAGCTTCTGTGATTGGGAGCCCTGGCTCAGATGGTAGTGCATGTAAGTGTAATTTCACTCTTGCTAAAGTCAAAGTGTTAAGTTAGCATCACTGCCAGGGGCTCACAGATCCTCATCGAAGCTTCAACAGCGCGGCACCAAGGGGCACACGGTCCTCATGGGCGACTCCTTAAAATTGAAAGCCTCCGGGGCACCAAGTGGGTGCGTGGGTGACTAATGGTCCGATTGTCAGCGCATGGTCACATTTAAGGCAACCATAAGCTTTGTCAACCTCATTACATCGCCTGGGGTGTAGACATCAGCCACCAAAGATATGGCGACTGGTATTTCAATGTTCTACACACTCCTACAGTCCCCCAACTCACAATTAACTGGAGATAATATCAACCATATCCACCCTTTAGATCTACATTGTACCATGCTTGCACTAGCTGAAGACATTTTGTAAAGATTTCAATCACTAATCTAATCAAACTTGGTACGCGTTAAGATTTGTAAAGTTCAACACATGCAGCACAATGGTTGTGCTGCTGCTCACCTTGCGTGTGGGCTTCAGACGGACGACTTTGAGGGCAGCCGGAACAACCATGCGCTTCCTCTGTGCAGACACCACAGTGTCAAGTCACAATGCATCCACAATTGTTCCATGCCAGGTCACATTAGCCCATCAATAATCATATTAGTGCAATGCACAAGGCCACTAAGAGACATACAATTCACATCAAGTGTTAAGAATTTTATTTCAATTATATTCACCATGTTTGCAATGATTCACCCCCACAATGTGATCAATTGTTGAAACATGGCATCTATTTTTTGGCCTTGTGGCAACACTTGGAATTGACCATGGTATATGCTTAGTATTCGGACGAACGAGTGAATTCACTCAATGCCGCTTGAAAACATTTGACATACAAGTTTGATTTTTAGAGAAATCCGAAAATCAACAGCATAGTCCGAAAAAACATGAACTAGATACTCTTTGGGTCTTTCGGTAAAGTCATGTAGATATAAAAATATTAACTAGAATTGTATTCCTATACACAAGGACCCGTGGCATAAACGTAAAACCCAATTTAATCACTCTAACCATCCCCATTCACTGCAGAGAAAGCCAGGCTATGGTTTCAACTTATGTAACATTTAGCATCTTACAATACCAACCTCGCATGGAGCAATGTACATAAATCAGCAGAGTACTGCAGTAATATTCTATGCCATGGTGCGAGCTTCAGAAGCCAGATCCGTAATGGGCATTTTTTCATCACGTGTCAGGTTGGCAAAGGTTCTCATCATCAGCTGCAGCAACATGGCATTCTTCACAACTATCCGACGTTATCACGGGGGTCGCAACATGTGGCCGTTCTGAGTAGGCACCTTGTCATAGGGCGGTGGGATCCCGTCAAACACCTTCAGGCGATCCAGTGCGGCCTGGCCCCGCTTGGTCTTGTGGGGCACCATGCCTGCATTGCACCAATCGCAGCACAGGAGTGTTAATAATGTACGAGCTGATCAACAATACTGCCGCAAACTCGGGAGGACACACATGCAGGACAAAAACCTACCAAGTCTTCAGGACACTTAACCTTTGAGTTTTAAACTATTACGACAGATGTGGTTTTTACACCTTTGCATGGCCTATACAATGCCAAGGAAATCCAAGTGAGTTCATTCACATGCAGCAATGTACTAAAGTTTAAGAGGAAATACTTTTGAACGCAGTGGTTGCTAGCCTCAGAAGCCAGATCCGTAATGGGCAACTTTTCATCACGTGTCAGGTTAGCAAGGATCCTCATTGGCTGCAGCACTACGGCGTTCTTCACCACAATTACCTCAGATCCCGCACCTCCTATTAGCACGGTTGGCTACAGACGGTGTGAAAGAAGTTCACACACACAACTAGCAAACAGCATTATATCACAGGGAGTGAGAGCCATAGGATTGTGGGATTCATCATATATCTCATGTTACCTGCTGGGAGCCATTTGAGGTAGAGTTTTTAAAAGGACAAACTCAAGAGCCTTATTCTTTTTTTATGTAGTTAAAGGTATTATTTAAATATTCCAATTGTGTCTATTGCTGTTTAAAGTCAGACTGTCAGATTCATGTTGGACCATTTAAGCCTGGCAGACTCCCCCATCTTGGTGGTACTAACATAAAAATGCCATCCAGCAAACATGTTTAACAATCCTGGTTCTTCAACCTCCACCTTACAGCAGGAAATTCGCTTTGTTAATTCACCCCAAAGAAAATCGCCACCAACTCTTCTATAAAAGGCCACTTTACAGGTAGGCTTGTTAGCCACTTGGACGTCTCATCATACACGCGAGCAGACGGTGGTGCGGTGCCAATGAGCAGTGCAAGTATCGAGCAGTACCTCTCACTGTCCGCCAGAAGATGCGGCTAGGCGCACGGAAGTGGTACGGCCCACGCGACGGGTTGGTGTTCATGCGCTTGCGCAGGAAGGCCAGGTACTTCACTGTGGAGAAGAGGAAGAAACTGCATGCTACTCTAGAATCTGTTGCATCTTTGAACACTAGTTGTATCCATGACGTCTCATTGGATGGCTGTGTCAACTGCAGCAGCACTTTTCATGGCTATGCAATGCGTGAATTTGAAGGATATGTCGGTTGTGTTGACATGTTTCTCTGAAGATCTTGTTCAGAATTAAATTCTGCTTTTCTCGGTTCATTTGTGGGATGTGTAATGCATTGTCGGCTTGCAATTTATCATGTTGAGATGTGTCGATTAAACAGACCACAAGGGCAGTTTCACGTAAATGTAGTACAGGTATGATTAAATCATGCTGAAAACAAGCCCAGGCTCAGATGGTAGTGCATGTTAAAGTAATTTCACGGTCGTGAAACTCAAAAAATATATTTGATCATCATCATTGCCAGGGACCCGTGTTGTTCCAGCAAGCTCAATTATCAACAAGTGCTTAAGGTTTGATCTTACCAAATCAGCAATATCATATAAACGGTTGTCTAGGATTCTGTGTCAATAACCACATGAATGTCCTCACTTACGCTTGTTCCTGTAGAAGTTGCCCGAAATGTTGATTCCCTCACATCGTACAACTACCACTTTGTGACCTGCACATCAGACACAAGCAAGTACAATTTAAGGACTACATTAAATCGGACAGAAATTCATTTTTAGTAAATACCAAGGCAATATGCTGATATCAAACGTTCTATGCAGCCACACTAATCGCACCTGGAGTGCAGAAATATTTGTTTTACTTCGTTTTTTTTAAGTAACTGCCAATCCTATCCAAGAACTAAAGGGTTCTGACCAATGGTATCACTAAGCTGTTAAGCAAGTTTAATGGTGATACACCAAGGGATTAATAATTATTAAAATGTGCGGTGTCCTTGGATGGACACATTCCTATGCATGACAACCAGCTCGCTTAAAATCAACAGCTGCATATATCCAGACCAAATGTAATAGTCTGCATCCATGTGTTCGTGGAGCAGTGATTATTTTCTTCATACGGCAGTGGACTAGCTTTCAAAAGTTGGGTTACAAGTAGTGATCAGAAAACAATGGGTACCAATTGCCATGTCACAATGTATAGATGTTTACCACGAGGCATCCACTGAATCGGCATATAAAAAATGTTAGGCTAATAAAATACCAAATAAAAATCAAACACACGATACTGTAAAGTACAAGGAAAAATCCTTGAATAAAATTGTGATTCTGAATTTATGACCAATGAATTTCATGGTACAAGTTAATCATTACACCTATATGGCCAATCGCTTTCGCCATGCTTTTTCATTCAACGATCACCCATATAAACAGACCGATGTTCAACAAGGACTCTTCTCTCAGGGCATCAGGAAACATCTAGTTATCAATAATTTCACAACCACACAACAAGTCGAACACGCGTGAACTGAAGTGTTTCGCTGCTGTTCTGTGCCTTTGCTCCATCTCAGATAATAAGTTCCTATCATGCTTAAGTCAAACAATGTAGGTAAATTTAATGCATCATTGATGGAGCAACAGGTAAATGGGAAATTCGATACTAGCATTGGAATATATCACATCTGAACAGCTACTCGTGTATACATAACGAAATGGCGTCCAGTGCCGAAATTATACGCGATTGCTTATGACTTCATTGGGCCCTCCAACGAGTCGAATGAACAAAAAAATACATCAGCTGCCTTGTTTTATTTTTAATTCAACAATCGCGTGCGTGTACATTACTCACCAATTAGGATCTGCTTGGCAACGATAGCCGACAGACGACCGAGCAGGTGACCCCGCCCGTCAATCAGAAGCACCTGGAAAGTACATCAATGCCCTCATCATGCCGTGTGCTTATGTGCGGCCCTGTTAATTCAGTGGAGAATCGCTGCATACGGATCAAGGGAATTATATGTCCATCCTTAACCACGTTGGTCATTGCACGCATGGGGGCACCGTCTTCTGCTGCGCGGTTACGTACTGTACTGTATATTAGACACTGTACATTTGTACGCACACGAGCGTTAAAGTCGCATCACTTTAATTAAACAATGGCAAGATACGGAGCCACAACGTAATTCCAAATTGCATTTACCACGGTATTTCCTGTACATTTGTTTGACTCTTAAGGGTTTCACGTGGTTATAAGTGAGATAAGAAACGTTACGTTTTTAATCGTGAGATTGAACAAATTCCCAACATGTTCAGATAAAAACGCAATGATACGAACATAAAGCCGATGGCGCACGCGCGTCACATTACCGCAGCGTGAAAGTAGCCACTTAATTTTATTTCATACTCTTGATGCCAAGTGTCTTAAACCACATCACTATGCAGTTTACACGAGGGCTTCATTAATTTCCGTAAAGGCTGCGTGGCCATCGATTCCTACACCGCTTGACGACGAGACGTTAAAGACGCGCGCCAGATCATTAAACGCCGGCCTCGCGGGGCCGGCAGCTGCCCAAATGAAACACGAGGCGAAGCGTCTCGGCCGCCTGGTCGGGCCCAAGGGCCCGAGCAGGCGGCAGTGGGAATTCCACATCGCCAAGATGGTGACCCGCTTATACACGAAATCCCAGTTTGTAAGCATTGCCATTACTCGGCTAGCGAGG